CCGCATCCCATACGCACATAATACCTTCATCGTATACCATATAGAATCTTCACCAACCACGTGCATTGAACTCTAGCCTAAGTATTCCGCATGATATCTGACCGTCACAGAAATCGCCTTATCCCCAAGTCGACTCCCGATCCATCACCGGCTATACTCTCCTGAGGTATCAAGTCACCTACACATGAATCAAACAAAGAAACCATATTGCGAGACCAAGCTATCTCTAACTTGACTCATTAGTAGCAAACAATAGTATTACATACGCATAGTATCCATCTAGAAGCCATAAACATTAAACAATCACGGATATCCAAACAAACAACTCGAAACTGAATCCGACACAGAGTCGGCTGGTTAGACCGCGGGCTGGCCGGTCTGACCGCTCGGTATATGCCTGTCTGACCGGACCACATATCCAGCAGCACCTATATATCACCTGTTAAAATCCAATCATCTCCAAAACCACTTCGCCAATAATATCCAAATATTAAAACCAATAATCACATATGCCAAACAGAATAAAGAATAAAAACACTTTGATTTTACGCTTAGAATCCCTCCTCTCCAGCTTGCAAAACAGAGCATGTGTTATGGTATAATTAATTAAAAATTACTTTAAAAAATTTAAAGAATAAATATAATATGATTTTAAAGCAATTTTTTATATTTTTTTTAAAAGTACCATTTAATAGTTTAGGAAGCGAGCACATGAAATGTGAGGGAATAGAAGTTGGGAAGATGAGGTAAATAACACATCGTTAGGTAGAATGGAGTGGAGGAACTTTTCTGTTTAGCTTTGGTTGGATGCTTTATTTCTTATGAAATTGAAGAAAATAGCCCATTCCAAATCTATCTATCTATCTATTTAGTATTATATACTAAAAGTCCATTAAACTTCTTAGAAACGCTCTCAAGCCGCCATGTGGCGTTCCTACAAATACTCCTAGACCACTACATGGCACTATTTAATCTGACCGTTGATTTTCATTTAAATTGGTGGACCCGATACTTTATAACGTTAGATTAGATATACTATTTTAAAAAAAGGTATGCTGTGGGCATAAAAGGAAACAAAACATAAGTAATTCATGTAAGTACGTACGTACATACAGGAAAGGAAAAATGAATCTTATCTCCCGTTCATCGGAAGAAAATAAAACATGCATACCGACTTACGATAAAAGCGATTAAGTAAAAAAAAAGCATACGTAATGTTGGTACGTAGCGCCATTGAAGAAAAAATCGATGGTCCATAAAATAGGATTTTCTACTATTTTAAAATAAAATATATTACTCTATAAACTGATGCAAATATGCGTAGTTAAACTAGATCATCTACAATAGAAAAATCAAATATCCTATCAATGCTCTTTAAATGTCCTATATTTAAATTATTTTAGAATCATGGATCTAATTTGTGATCCAGTTGGATTCCTCTAATTAAATAAACTATTGATGTCTATGTTCCTAAATACATCGTAATACATGATGTCGACATGTAACAAAAAAAATGTTATGATAATATTTTAAGAAAAGAATAACGAATTACCCTTGAACTATTACGGTCGACCGAATTACCCGCATAAACCCGAAAACCAGCCAGCTTTCACCCTCAACTATTAATACCAGAGTGGTTTTGGTCCTAGGTGACAGTTCAGTCAGCATTTTCTTAAAAAAATGGTGGGACCCATATATCATATCTCTTCCTCACCCCTTCATCATCTCTCTCTCTTCTCCCTCCACATCTGTCAATCGGCAAGGCTAGGGGCGACGAGCGGCAGAGGTGACTCCTCCTCGCCCTCTGCCAGCGCGCGCCTCCTTGACGGTCGCGTGGTTTCTCCTCGACCTCCACTGGTGCATGAAGAAGTTGACATGGCGGGGCAGAGGAGCTCGAGCGGTGGAGGATGCTCCTCCTCAGCTATCTCGGCAACTACATGTGCACTCCAGCGGAGGCCGTCATGTCCATCCTTTCCATTGCATCTCATCGTCACGTGACGAGTGTTGCGGCTGCCGAAGATGAGCACCTGCGTTGGTCCTCAATGGCCAAGTTCGGCTACGCCCCCGCCATCGAGACTCGCACAACAAATGCGGCGGCAGCTCTTTCTACCGTAGCATGTCATCCCACCATAATTCTTAATCGATCCCCACCACCAGTGCCTCTCTCCGGAAGAGACAGCGAGGTAGATCAATCAAGCAAGCAAGACCAAGGGAATAGACAAAGGAGAAGGAGAAGAGCGTCGGCCGGCCCTTGCAGCAATGGGAGGGAGAAGAGAGAGGCCAGGGAATGGGATTGAGGGAGAGAGAGAGAGGTGAGAGGGGAGAGGGACAGAGTGGGTGGAGAATGTGATAGCCATGTAGGAGCAAAACCACTCAGTGTTGTGTTGGGGTGGGGGGGATAATTCATTCGGTATTAATAATTGAGGGTGAAAGATATCTGGTTTTTAGGTTTACGTGGGTAATTCGGTCGACCGTAATAGTTAGGGGGTAATTTGTACTTTTCCTATTTTAAATAATTTTACATCATATTTCAGGTGTTAAATATCACTTGACGAATATACAATGCTAATTTAAAGCTACATGTGTAAAACAATTGAAAACAACACAATTTAGTTGTGTATTTTTAATTTGATATGATTTAATTTTAATTTGTCTAAGATTAAGATTCTCATTTTTTTTCTAATTTATAACTATTTCATTAGTATATGATAAGTGGGCAACACAAATGTTACATAGATGTAAAAAATTATAAAAAATATTTCAAGCCAATGACCTTGCTATAATACAACCACTTAGTTCATCATGAGATTTATAATCATATATGTATATTTTTCTCTTTGTCAAATAGTTTTGGTAACAAATGAACAATCAAGTAACATGCGCAATAAACAACTCATAATATATTTTCTTACAGTTGAGGAATTCCAACATATCAAACATAATTTGATGAATGTATGTCATACATCCTATTGACGTGACTATGAAATATACTTCAATCAATTAGTTATTATAAATAAGTTTGGAAAAATAGATTCATTCTCCAAATTAATTAGTAAATGTGTCTTTTGTGATTATGAAAAATAGGCGCTGAAAAACACCAGATGCAAAATTATAGATATTTTGTCAACATATAACTAACAATATGGTCCTTTAGAGATTTTATCGTGATGGTATTTAAAAAAAACCCTTTATTCAGGTTAAAAAAATAACATATAGCACAAATAGATATGAAACAACTCCATTATTCCATTATTGTTTCATTATCATGACACATGTTGTTCTCATAAATTCATGTTGTTATGATAGCGGTATGGTTTCAAGTGATGCGTCCAAACCATATATTAACAAAAACATGTTTAAAATAGTGTCAAGATCTATGTTAAAAATATAATCCGCATGTAAACATTCACAATAAAAATTCAAGCAACATTAAATAAGTGCCCGCGCATATGCGCGGGCTAACATCTAGTTATTAGAATAGTGCATCTTATTTGTGTCAAACCATCTTATGAGAAAGAAAATTTCTAAAGGAATCTATAAACATACACAATTCCTTTGATAATCGACCTCTGCACTGTGCTGTGCGCCAGTGCATGGCGACCGGGGGTGTTGACAAGCTGCGACCAAAGTTGTCCTCCATGCAGTGCATCGTCTCAAGTAGGACCAAATGTCTGGGACCTCACTAGCATGGGAAATGGGAGCCACGGAGCAAAAAAAAATTCTAAAGCTGCATATCTCTTGGCCGGCATAAAAAGGACAAAAGTGATCCTTATTTTATGTTTACAGTATCTCTCTTCGTAATTTTATGCTTTGATTAATTAATTATATTAGCATCTCTCGTTAAACCTCGGACATTGGCAGCAGCAGAAATGCAGAACAGAGTTGCATGATATTATTTCCTAGTTCATGATATAGTAGCATCGGAGTTTCACTATCAAATTGTCACATTCCACACTAAGTGCACATAAATGAGTAGCTAATGACTGTCACTGTGATTCCAGAATCTAAAACTAGTTCCATTAAAGAATGTTATTAAGACCATTCTGTTCACAAAAACAGTACTAGTAAGGGCACCCACAATGATTATCTATAGGCTCTCTACAAGAGATCCATGTCAGTATATTTTTCTATTTGGAAGAGATTAAATAAAGAGAGAGAGCAAAACTATCTACTAACCTAGAGATAGACTATAGAGAAAAACGAGGCAATAGATTAGAGAGCTATAGATACTCATGTAGACATACCATTGGAGTGGTTTACTATTAATCTAGTCTATTACTAAGATGTATATGTTTTATAGATAGCATCTTACTTTACTATTACGGGTGCTCTAAGGTGAGGGAACATATTATCCAACAGAATATAAAAAAATTCAGATGCTGCATCAACATTATTCGCAGCTTTAATTACTAGAGTGGTTTTTAGATGAATTATTATCATTTTTCGTTACTTGGATGAGCCGCTCTTTTATGAAACAACTCCACGTGTAAAAATATAGTGTACAGATGTAGCACTAGCAGTACAGAACGGCACAAAGGCATCAGCTCCTAGGAAAGAATCCAGTGCGCCCATGCTCCAGTGCATCAAAACTCCTAAACAAATCCTCTCAAAAAAAAAAACTCCTAAACAATGAAATTCAGTCATGTAAAATATACTTGTACTCCAGTACTGTAGCTGGTAGCAGTCCAAACAAACCATCAGAGAACCACCCTGCATTTGACACAAATCTCGAGGCACCATCAACGGCTGATGAAACAAAACAATTGAAACATAAACTGATCTCATTTGGTTTTGAGTAAGGCCTGGTTTAGTTCCCAACTTTTTCTTTAAATTTTTAAATTTTCTATTACATTAAAGCTTTTTTACACACGTAAACTTCTAACTTTTTCATCACATCGTTTTAATTTCAATCAAACTTCCAATATTAGCGTGAAAACACACCCTAATTGTCGTCCTTGGCCTGAATTATTGGGAGGCGTCAGGCCCCGGAATGTCACGTGAGCCTTCAATTATGTCGCCCGGAGGCCGGAGCTCTGCCTCGCGTCCATGGCGTCGTCCCTACCTACGTACTGTAGCGCAGTTGTAACTGCGTATGCGAGTCGTGATATTTTACCGGAGTCGGGACGAACGCTCGTCGCGCGCTGCGCGCACGCACCTACCCCAGATTTGCCCTCGGCATTTACGCCCTCACCTACAATCTCAAGCGAGCCCGATTAATGCCCTCTTTATAGTCCCACCATTGCCGAGCTCATCCCAATGCAGAAACCATCCAGCGTGTAGTGTGTAGCGTGTAGTGTGTCGTCACGATGTCGCGCGCCATGGCGGCCTCCAGGCGGGTCTCGGTGTTCGTCGCCGCGTTGGTCTGCTGCTCACTCGTGCGGCTCTCCCGGTGCGGCGGCGGCGGCGGCGGGCAGAGGGCGCAGAACTACACCTCGATGTTCAGCTTCGGCGACTCGCTGACGGACACCGGCAACCTCGTCGTGTCCAGCCCGCTCTCCTTCAGCATCGTCGGCAAGTACCCCTACGGCATGACATACTTCCACCGCCCCACCGGCCGCTGCTCCGACGGCCGCCTCGTCGTCGACTTCCTCGGTGCGCGCCGCCGCCGCCCGCCCCAATGCCGTCGCATTTCTCTCTCTCTCTCTGCACATTTGATTTGACATTATCGATCTTGTCGTGTTGGCCTCGCAGCGCAAGCGTTCGGGCTGCCGCTGCTGCAGCCGTACCTGTCGCGCGGCGAGGACGTCACGCGGGGCGTCAACTTCGCCGTCGGCGGCGCGACGGCCATGGATCCGCCGTTCTTCGAGGAGATCGGCGCGTCCGACAAGCTCTGGACCAACCTGTCGCTCAGCGTCCAGCTCGGCTGGTTCGAGCAGCTCAAGCCCTCACTCTGCAGCTCACCCAAAGGTCTCTCTGCACATTTCTCATTCCTGCGATTTGGTTCGAATCGTACGCGTTGATACTGATTCTGAGACTGGATTCTTGACATTTTTCTGTGCTGAATCGGAGCAGATTGCAAGGAGTTCTTCAGCAAGTCACTCTTCCTCGTCGGGGAGATTGGGGGAAACGACTACAACTACGCCTTCTTCAAGGGCAAGAGCTTGGACGACGCCAAATCCTACGTCCCCACCGTCGCCGGCGCCGTCGCCGACGCCACCGAAGTGCATCTCTTCACTACACCAAACACTGAAACAATAATCACAGAATGTACATCCATTCTCTCATCTTGCAATGGTGGATTTTTTTTCAATTTCCAGAGGCTGATCAAGGCAGGGGCGGTGCACCTGGTGGTGCCCGGGAACCTGCCGATCGGCTGCTCGTCAGCGTACCTGACGCTGCACCCGAGCAGCAACAGGAGCGACTACGACTCCACCGGCTGCCTCAAGACGTACAACGACTTCGCCCAGCACCACAACGCCGTGCTCCAGGACAAGCTCCGGCTGCTTCGCCGGAGCTACCCGGAGGCCAGGATCATGTACGCCGACTACTACGGCGCCGCCATGTCCTTCGCCCAGAACCCCAAGCAGTTCGGTGAGTGAGCTCTCTCACACACACAAAAACCTCACTCCAATTTCACACTCATTTCGCTGTCCTAGTTAAGCTAAGCCAGTTGAGCTGATAGCCTTAGCTGTCCAGTTGAAATTGAATGAATGGACAGAGAGGCAACTGACTGAACTGTTGTGCATTTGCATCGCTGATGCTGGAATTGACAGCGATAGAGATTAGAACGGTAGCAATCACGATGGCCCCGCCACGATCTCTCATCAATCATCTTCGATATGGGCGTGTAGATACATTTAGGAGCGTGTGAGATGCAGTGGGAGATTGTCGGGCTCTTTCAGAAAAGATTAGAGGATTTGGGACTCCTATTGGCCACTCTTCTTTAGGGAAAATATTACTTCTTTGTTGCACTGAAAAGCTCAGTGTCTTCGTCATCTCATCTGAACTAGGATAAAACTACATGGTCAGTGAAAGTGATACATGGATCTTCTTTAGTCGTTTTGCTTTAGAATTTTGAGCTATGTCATTCTCAGGAAAGACAGTATAGGCACTGATCATCCGTTGCTGTTAATCAGGACAATACTGAACCTCTGAGGCTCTGCCTATGTGTAACTATTTGCTGATAGCTGATTAGTTTCTTTGTTAGTGTTGGATCAGGTTCTAGAAGTATGTACTACATTTGTTTGACGTGTATTAATAAGCATTGATTTCAAGTCATGTGACATGCTTAAGCCTAACTGTTACTCCATAATAGTAGTATTTAGTACTCCACCATGTTCACCAACTCCCAGCGATATACTCCTACTAGGTGTCATCAATAGCATGTCATGTCAATTTATCTGGCGCCCGGCGGTTACCAGGTTTCGGTTGGCCGGTTAAGCTCTCACCAATTTGGAGCTGAATTATCATTGCAGTAGCATTGGCAGCTCAGTGAACAGTACATATGCTCTCAAGGCTAGTTCAGTGTTCACAATTTCAGAATGAAATCTCTGAAACTTTTGGGGTCTACCAATGCATCCTGAAATTCCGGATGTGTCTGAACTTGGCAAAATAAATGTTCAAATTCAGCAGAACCTGTTCCAAATTTAACAATTTCCATTCGGAATTCACCGAATTTTTTCCCCCGTTCCGAAACCGTGAACCTGTGGGTTAGCTCACCGATGAACTGGAGCTGAGCTGTGTGGGTGGCTGCACTGTCTGTCTCTGTGTCCCTGCAGGGTTCAGGCACGGGGCGCTGAGGACGTGCTGCGGCGGCGGAGGGCCGTACAACTTCAACCCGAAGGCGAGCTGCGGCGTGCGGGGCTCCAGCGTGTGCACGGACCCGTCGGCGTACGCCAACTGGGACGGCGTCCACCTGACGGAGGCCGGCTACCACGCCATCGCCAACAGCATCCTCAATGGCCCTTACACCAGCCCAAGGCTGCTCTGACCATCCCCCGTTCTCTCGACCTGGTGTTAGCTGCTGCTGCTGCTGCTGCACTCTGCAATGTAAACTGATCTGTAATGTAGTGATATGAGCTAGTGGTGGTTTTGAGTTTTGACAGTGTGTGGGCTTTGGCTACTTGAGTCTCCAGGCACAGTACAGTATGTCTGTCGAGTGTCATCAGCTTTGGGCGTGACTGTGTCCGTGCTACTTTTGACTTTGCAAGTACTGAATTATAGTACTCAGCACAACTGCACAAACCTTTCTTTCATGTGTTACGTCTGGATTTCACGAGACGAGTTGAAATCAGGCGGTATATATATACGTCTGGATTTCAGAACAATTAGTTTCAGAAACATACGGCGTGGCATACACCAGTCAAATGATATATACAAGAGATTTGCTCCAGACTAATAAAAAATATCTCGAGATATCGGTACCTCACGATACTAAATCGTTTACGATCGTTGAATCAACGATCGAAAACGATTTAGCACCACGAGCTTATCCTGTCCAGCTAGATCAATGATGCATCCATGAGCTTAAATAATCATCCTACTACAAGCCAACAAAATCAAACAAGTAGAGCTTTCTTTTGTTTTCCCCTCACATTAGATTAAGGGACTTATTTAGAACATTGACTGCTGTCGTCGTATCCTAATTCCTTACTAGTGGCGGATTACTTGAGGATCTATAAATTCTGACAAAAAAAAACAAGAAGAAAACATCAGATGCTGCAAAATCTATTAGTATGTTTGATGCGGATGTCACATGGGAAATGGGATATTAATGGCATGCTGACGTTGTTGTCTTGTTGAGGAATCAATAAATAATCAATCAACCTCTGCGCAGCACGCCGTCAACCCCGGACCCGAACCTCTCGCCCGTTCGGTGAGACGTTCTTCGGCCGGCCCACTGGACGCGCCAGCGATGGCCGCCTCGTGCTCGATCGACTTCATCGGTAGCATACATAAGAGCAAGTTCAATAGTATAGTCAACTACAACCTCCAATTCATCTATAGCCAATCTAATAGCTTATTCATATAATAGTTACATACTACACTATTAATAATTGATCCCACCTATCATACACACACTGCGTCTTGAAGTCCATATTAATTAGGCTCAATAGATTCGTCTCGCAAATTAGTTCGGGGTTATGGAATAGGTTTTATCATTAGTCCATGTTTAATACTCCTTCTATCTATTTTTGATAGTCATATTTCCAAATCTGAAAAATTTATTTTTGATAGACATATTTCAATCCAACAACCTATCATCTTAATAATTTTCTCGGATTTAATGCATGACTCTCCATTCTTCCACACTAGATTGGCTACATGGGCATCGAGAAATGTAAATATTAATGAATCATTTGTTTATGAGGAATGACTAGTAACATGTTTAAATAGATGATAAGTAGAATTATTTATCCTTAGTCTGTGTGCTAAGATGAAATATGACTATCAAAAGTAGATAGAGGGAGTACTTCTAATTAGTGTTCCAATATTCGATGTGACAGGGACTGAAAATAAGTCCCTAGATCCAAACAGGGTCTCAGTTGTTACACCACCCTATTATACTTCCCTTATTTTTCATTGGTGCATATGCTTTATAGCCCGCACACATTTTTTTTTACCTTTTTAAGGTATTAGGTTATTTTTGTTTTAACTTCGTACAAAATCATTAAGGCCTTGTTCGGTTAATCCGAGGGGATTTATTCCATACCTATTGTGGTGTGGAATTATTCAGCCTCAATCCTCTTCAATCCTCTCTAAACCGAATAATGCCTAAATTAGGCGACCATGAGTCTATGGCTGCCTCATTGGAAGGAACATACATATCCTTCAAGTATTGTTTTTCTCAAACAGGTCAATAGTTAATTGCTAGAAACAAAATTAATCATATGAATATGTATTTTAAATATACTCCGAATAGCTCAAGCTTGACCAATAAATCTTCACTAAAAGGATGGGGTTTATTTGTAAAATAGTTTTTACTATAGGTACAAATTGTAAAATGATATGCACAAGTTTATCTTTTCCTCTCTTTATTCTCTATTTTATTTCTTTTTTGTTTCTTCTCAAGTAGACTCGTGCATCTCCGGAAGCATCTTGAATTTTACCATCGTCTTCCAAAGATTAATTCAACCTCTTTTGTCTCCCAGTGAATCTAACGGCTAATATTATCGGGATGAGGTGCCTCATCCTCATTTTATTTTGGGTTCACTTTTCATTAGTCTAAGATGCGTCAGTCAGGTTAGGTTAAGGGCTCGTTCATTTCAAAATAAATGCAAAAAAAAGTACATAAATATGCCATTCATTTTAAAGGAAATCCACCAAAGGAAAATTCCCTATCCCTCAACACAGGGAAAAAAAATAATCCACTCCAAAACAATATTTTCAACCCTTTGGATTGTTTGCTGAACAACCATAAGAAAGTTTCCTATGTTTTTCTACTTTAGTTTTGCATATGTATTCTGGTACTATTTGTACGCTTTTTCTATTATTATGTTTTGAAAATCCTACAACTGAACAAGCTCCTAATTATCTCTTTCACGTGAGGTGGATGCAGCGGATGCTCTGGAATTACCTATCGTGCAGCTGTATATGGCCAAGGTGCAGGACTTCGCCGTGGTGGGGGACCTGCTCTGAACCTGACGTACCATTCACTCTTTCAGGGACAGAGCGATGCGGTGGGCCGGCGAGCCCGTATTGCAACCAAACGTGCCGAGTTTATTGGTCCAGATTCAGCTCAAAGCAGTGCAGCCGTGGACCCGTTTACTTGTCTGTGTTAAGCCCAACAGCCTGCTCGTTTGCACCCGCCCAAACTGCTCGTTTTTTTTCGATTTTGCTATATATTTATTGATAAATTTTCTTTTAAATATTTGTCAAAAGTACATACAGTATACTTATAGTGTAATTACGTTGTAATTTACATGTATGTAACTATAATGTAATTTGTATATAACTTTCGCGTAACTTTAAATCGTTAGATTTACTTCAAGATTCATGCAAGTTGGGAAGAAAAAAACTCATAGCATGTTACCATGAGATTTGTTAGAGTTACATACAAATCATATTATAGTGACATGCAAGTTAAAATATAATTATATTATAATTGTATAATATTTATATTAGTTAAAATTTTAAGAGAAAACTTGTCGACAAATGTATAGGTATTCCTGTGATAGTTTTAGTTGTAGAAAATGTTAAGAAGCCAACTCAAAATAGATTAAAGTGTGACGTGTATATACAATCAATATAACATAGAGTCATCAATAAAATAAGTAACAATCCAGCAACAATATCACAATATCGCAATTACGCATCGGCCCAAACTACTAAATCCCAACTATTGTGTAATTGCGTACACAAGCGGACACGCACCACTACGTACCTCTATAGTGTACGCCCAAACTACTACTGTGTACCATGTTCACTATAGAGGCTGAAAAATACCACATTACTAGAAGAGAAAAAATATATAAGGTTTTGCACTGTTACATCATGGTTAGTCCAAATTATAAATTATAATGGTGTAGATCAATCGATAAGTCGCATATCACTAAAAGCAGAAGCTAAGAGTTGTATATCAAATTTGATCCTACTCTTAAAATATAATATAGAGGATAAGAGTTGCATATGAAATCTGATTATATTTTTAAGTATCATGGAAACATCATAATTTTACTGGTAGAAATAGGAGATAGAGTTATATATATCAAATATAATTATATTTTATCTAAAGTGTGCAAAACTATGTAGGAAAATCCATTGCTCCATGCGTCCAAAAGAAAACTCAAACTAGTGTGACATTCTGGCTCAATTAAGATTTGGCCTGTGTGGCCCATGAGAGCTGTGTGTATATTTAGTACCACCTTGCTAGTTTAGCAAGGTTGGAATCAACTTATAAGACATCTTTTCTCCAATCACGTTACTATTGGGTTAACCCTTTTATACGAAACGAGGACGAAAATGTAAGTGGAGTGGTATGTGTAAGTGGACCCTTGCTACGCGATTCTTGAGGGAGAGCTATTACAAATGGTATCAGAGCTGACCCTCTCACACCCTCGTGGTTGCACACCCTCGTGGTTGCGCGTATGACGGGTTAGCATGCGGGCGCATGACATATGTGGGCTCTGTGCAAGGCACATGGCATGGCATATCGCAATGGCACTGGACATGCATTAAGAGGGGGTGTGTTCCTGGACATTTTTTCCTATATGCCTGTGTGGCTATTGGGCTCTGTGTGAGGCACATGGCATGGCATATCGCACCGGCACTAGACGTACGGACGTGCATTAAGAGAGGCACCTGGACATTTTGGCATGGCATATCGCACTGGCACTGGACATGCATTAAGAGGGGGTGTGTTCCTGGACATTTTTTCCTATATGCCTGTGTGGCTATTGGGCTCTGTGTGAGGCACATGGCATGGCATATCGCACCGGCACTGGACGTACGGACGTGCATTAAGAGAGGCCCCTGGACATTTTCCTATATACCTGTGTGGCTATTTGGGTGAGTTGGACCAATGGGTGTATGTGACATCCTAGTCTAATTATGATTTAGCCTGTGTGACCCATAAGAGCTATGTGCATGTTTAGTACCACTTTGTTAGCCTAATTATGATTTGGCCTGTGTGACTCGTAAGAGCTGCGTGCATGTTTAGTACCACTTTGTTAATTTAGCAAGATCGGAACCAATTTATAAGGTCTCTTTCATCCAGCCATGTCACTCCCGGATTAACTCTTTTTACACGAAGCGATGATAAAAGTATAAGTGGAGTGGTATGTGTAAGTGGGACCGATGAGATGGCTATGCGGTTCTGGTGGGAAGGCTGTTACAAATAGCTAGGATAATCACTACAGCAGAAACAACCCCTAGAGACGGTTTTTATGTGATGTAGAGACGGCTATACCCGTCTCTATTATAGGTAGAGACAGTTTTAGCACCCGTCTCATAGGCGTTGCCATTGCTCCCGTACCAAACGATTAGACACGTTTCAAATAGCCGTGTGTACGTCTAGAGACGGTCGATAGATACGGTTGGGATCGTCGCTACACGCATGACTACAAATTCAAATCAAATTTGTAGACACGCCGAAAACCGTCTCTACTTTAAATTTGACCGTCTCTAATATAAATTACGAACATTCCAAATTTGAAATACAAATTTTCAGATTAAACATGTAGAGACACTTGATGATCTTAGCCACGGTTGCTTCCGTCTCTATCATATAGTAGAGACGGTTTATGTCTTGTTTAGGCACGGTTCTAACCGTCTCTATTAATGGTTAATATATTACTTATTTCTCTCCTAGAGACAATATCCATTTCTATAGACACGGGTGCACCCGTTTCTACACAGTGTCTAATTAACAAATAATACCCGCATCTAGCGCTATTAGTCACATATGCCAAACATTTCATTCAGAAAATCCATAAACACAATAATATCACCAGACTGAGTTACTATCATACCACATTGATAATATTTTCAACACCAGTAGCTTAGCATTAAAGAAAAAGCAATATCCATACATTGTTCCTGACGAGAAAACTTAAATATGTTTCCGGCAGCAGCAAGTGCTAATTCTAATGCAACAAGTAGTGCGAAATGATGCAGTTGCCATTGTAAATCAGTCATCTTCACTTCAAGTCTGAGATGATGCTGTAGTACTAGACGATGGAGCAGTATTTGGTGGCTGGCTTCCTTGGTTAAATTCGGATCAAACTGAAGAGAGGATAGAATGGAGGATTATTTGATGACTAACTTCCTTGGTTCTGATCAACCTACATTTACATCCATGAATATGTTATTTTGTCAGCTTATGGCTATATAAGTTGCAACATTAAAAACATTAATCTTGTGCCCATACCTCTTGTCTTGGAATGAGCCTAGCAAGTGAAGGTGGCAGCCTAGACATCAAATTATCTTCTGGATATTTCTCAGCAAGATATGATACCATAAAACTAATGAAGCCATTTACATTACTGGAGCTACTCCCTTGTTCACTTCTTCCTCACATATTCGAAAATCTTCCACCATAATAGTCTGTTGGAGTAATGGTTGGACCCATGCCTCTAACTCTACCATTATGATCCTTTCCAAACACTTCTAACATAGCTTGTTCAAAATCAGCTTCACTGAGTTCTTGGCCATCTACTCTTTTCTCAGCCAATTTCATATATACCTCATTCTACATGGAAAAATTGTACTCTTACTACAGTGTATTTTATTATAGAAAGAGTTAAAGAAAAACAAGTAATACGTCATACCATTTTGTCTTGTGTAGCATCATTAACATATCTGCCATCTTTTGTCTTATGGCATTCATCAAAGAAGGTTGCTCTGTCCACCTCCACTCCATCATGTTCCTGCAGATTATACATGTCAAGTGCATGAGAAATAGAAGCAATAATGAATGAAGAAATAAATGCTAAACTTCTTACCAGCTCTTTCCTCTTTCTTGCAAAGCTCTTTCTTCCTAATGTGTGTGGATGCTTAATATTTTGTGCATTCTCTTGGTTTTGATCACTGATTTTCTAATGATACAACATATACCATCAATGAGTTGATATAAATCAAAGCGATGGCTGTTCACTCACTAAAAAGTTCAACACATATTTACCTTAGAGTCCTCTGAGTACCAGTAAGAAACTAGTGTAGGCCATTGAGATTCATTAACAGTTTGGGGTACCGTTTGCAATACTCGTTCCATGGGTAAGTTAGCCTTGTAATACTTTTTCTTCAGATTTGACTTGTATTGCCTCCATTTTCCATCTAACTGGTGGAGAAGCCAATCCTTAGCTCTTCCATGAATTGCAAACTTTCTCTAGCACATATGAAAAGAGTGAATGGATTATACAGGAATCACCATAAAAATATGATTTTAAAAACCATGTGAATTAAACAAAGCAATACCTGTACTTCAGAAATCAATTTTGGATGATATATTCTCTTATAAAGTTTATCATTCCATTTAAGAATGTTCAGTGGAGCTAGATGTGGCTTCCTGACAAGTGTTCCTAAATAGGATCCAAGAACTACAGAAGATTGTGAGCAAGGTGCATTGAAACGATCCAATTTGACAATAATCTTAACACCTTCAGAAGATTTTCAACATTTGCCAGTTTAGTTGGTCCTCGACGTCTTTTAATGCGGCCATCAGGATCTGTCATGTTTAAAGATTTAGTCCACAAGCATACAAGTTTTAAAAGCAAATAAACAATATATCTTACGATACTCATAGCAGTTTGAACGCCATTCTGCATTTGTTATGTTCTATTCTTCAACATAGTGATCATTTGGGACCATTTCTTGATTCTGTACTCCATTCTCTGAAAAATCCAAGCCTTGCAGTCTTTGGGACCTTGCTGCCATTTGCACTATATTTAAAAAACAGATTAGAATGTTACAGGTGCATAAGTAACAATATAACCCTTGCATATTGAGGTACATTAGAGAATGCAAATTCTAGGAATTGAGATACTCCTGTTTTATATGCAGCAGTTGTTCTGGGCTTATTAATCCAGTCCCTATTCATTTATCCAGTACTCAATTACTGAAAAACATAAAGAAAATAACATCGAGGAATTAGAATGTTAGGAGAGCCAATGTTTGATGTATTGTTGATTGTTAATAAGTTACTATGCGTCGTATTAGGTGCTATCAATATAATGGATAGAGAAGCAACAATCCAATTCATATAAATTACTGTAAATAACAATACCAGATATTATGTGGAGCATTATTTGATTATAAATATTTCGAGATCACAACAATATACTATTGCTACATTATAGGTAATTTATCTTTTCCACTGATCAAACTAAATTGACCAAAGTATAAATTCTAATGTTTGCTGAAGTATTAAGTAGGTCTACATCTTACAAGCCTAGAGTTCAAGAGAGCATCAAAAAGTTCAGATCATGCTGTGTTCCCAATCAATTTTGGCACAAACATGATTATAAATTGGAAGATACGTATTCGAATTAGTTGACCACACATAATCAAATATTGTACTCACCAAGTTCTGCAAATTATACTGATGTTTCCCTTAGCTGCTAGCTGTTGTAAATATCCTCTATGATGGCCAAATTACAGTTGCACAAATATGCAAAGTTACATGCCAGTCACCTATACATTATAAAATAATTAGATGCAAGCAGGAAAAACAAACCATCTGTGCATTAAATTTTTTCCCCCATATACTTGGGTTGCTATAACAGATAATTAAGAATTAAATACTTTGTCTGTAAGCAGAACACATATCAAACATCAGCTGTGCAAGTGTGCAGAAATAGTATTGCAATTAGGATCGCTACTGTTGCCAGGATTCGATGGCTGAGGAATTTGGGCAATACCAGGAAGAAAATCACTGATGAATCTGCGGCGTGTCGATGCTGCTGCTGTGGGGCAAACGATGGGCGTGTGGCTGGCTGATGACACGGGGGGCACGCAGCTCTGGCGGCGCTCAGCCTGGAAGGCACAGGCGGCGATGGGTGGACGGTGGGTGCTAGGCGGCACAGGCGGCGTTGACCCTGGACGGCGCAGGCGGCAATGGCGTGGGCAGTAGGTGCGCAGCCCAAGCGTCGCCGGCGGCGCTGAGCCCAGACGGCACAGGCGGCGGCCGTGGGGCTCGTACGCGAGAGGCCATCGTCTTCACGGTGGAGCTAATAGAAAGATTGGAACAGATCGTATAGGAGAAGGAGATGGGTTTGTTCTCTTAGATAATATCGTAACTACTTCCGAGTTCCAAGGGAGATAAAAAAAATCCGCGGGAGTGAGGTAAAAATGTGGAAAAAATTGATCTTTTTGGAGGGAACGCGCGAAAAAAAAATTCCGACCAAATTGTTTGGCGCTGATTAATGTGATTGTAGAGACGGTCTATTATCCTGTCCCTAATTAGCGTATCTACGTAAGAGGCAAAGTGGGAGATGAGTTGTAATAGGGACGACGTGCTTAGCCGTCTCTTATAGAACGCCTCTACATGCCCTTTTTGCAGTAGTGAATCTGGACAGAGGTATAACTATATTTTTTTACACAGGAATATGTTTCAAATCTAAACAAATGAACCTAAGAAAACATGTGCATTTACTCTGAATATAAATTGTATGCATATTTCTAAGTTATCATCCAAATTTATGTTTAATCTATTAGTAATACCTTATCCGTTCGATGTCCATATCTAGAAATTAAAGGTGCCTGTCAGTCATGAGTCATGACTTCAATTTTCTGCAATCACAAGCTTCGTATTATTCTCGTCATCTCTAAATAAGTTTAGTTTCAGCCTTAATATTTATTTCTAAATAAGTGTAGTTTTAGATGGTCCACTATACCTCTTTAATACTACTTTATCTGTTTCTTCTTGTCTTTAACCATCGAACCAATAACAGTCCCTCCTTATTTTCTTCTCTCCTCTTTTTCTCTCCATATTAATGAAGGTCATAGTAATCTTTTAACATCTTGCTTAATATATCTTCGAATAGCTAAAATTATACTCACTATATTATTTAGAGACGGGGCATATCACTATATTTATTTTAGATAATGTATAAAATCTAGCCCCAATTTTAAAAGAAGCTAGTTGGTTGTATCGGATAGCATGAATGTCAATTAGTAACTAATTGATCTATATATGCATATTGCAAGCATGATGTGAGTCAGTTTTGCAAAAAAATCAGTGTAAAAAAGGGAAATCTTCTATCTTTGTCTGTCATAATATGGGTTCGATGTGGCACAGTGACAGCGGCACACTGGCACCTGCATGCATAGGCGAATCGCTGGCGGAGACGCCGGCAACTTGGTCCTGGCAAACAAATGTATCCCGAACCTTTCGACGTGACGTTCTTCGGCCGCCCCACCAGACGCGCCAGCGACGGCCGCCTCGTGCTCGACTTCAGAAAAAAATATTTAAAATAAATATATACATTTTTTTAATAATGGAATAAAACATTTCGGTCTTTGCTCAAAAGAGGTACAACTAATTATTACTACAATCTAGCACTCTAAAAAGAGTGTAGTTCAAATAAAATTGAAAACATGACAAAATAAGAAATAACCAATGTAAGATAAGGAGTCTATTTATTAATCTCCCTCCACAATTGACAAAAAGTTGCATAACCGTCGTCTCAAATTTACGACATGCAATTTTTATAAACTCTCAATCTTCATGACACCTTTGGAGTTGTGCGTAAAACCGGAGCTAATATTGCCTGAAAATTAACTGCAAATATGAAATAGATGGTGATTTGTCAAAAACCATATCAATCCTGCTCAACCACAGAGCCTAACATATAGCTCCAACAAGTATAAGTTTGCTCTTTTTCTTGTCCACCCCAAAAGCCACCCATCAAAATATGATATATGCTACTAGTAAGGTAAAAGCACACCCTAGCTGGCACTATCTTCCGGGCGGCCTCTGGACTAGCACTTGCGGGACATTTTTCCTTTAGACCACGGGACAGCCGTCTGCTGTCTTGTGGCAGGCCCCGTACTCAATCTTCAATGAGGGGAAAAATAATGATTGAGTGCTTACGTACTCAATCATTATTTTCCCCCTCGTGAAGATTATGGTTTATTTCTAGTCCTAAGTCGTTGTTTGTGGATTGGGTCTAATTGCGTTAAGTTTTGTTGTTCTTTCTGTGTTTGCTGATTACATTTTCGAGGTTGTTTCAAAAGTGTGACCTCATATATCATACAATATCTACATTATATATAGTCGCTACGATGTATCTCCGTTGGATACCAGCAAGTTTTCTTGGGACTGGTATCGGTATTATAGTTCTGTGAGAGTTGATTGACATCGTTCACTTGTGGCACACTTTATCTGGCATCTCTATAGGTGGTATTAGAACGGGTATGAGCATGATGTGATATAGATGATATTAGAGCATAGGTTTAGTATAATGAATGAAACTCGCTCTCTCGTAGAATTCCCATGAGGATCTTATATTGAAATACAATAGCTACTCCCTCCGTCCTAAAAAGAATTAATCTAGGAGGAAAATATAACCCCTCCGTTTAATAGATTGATGTGAGTATACAAACTCGCCGGTGACGCGCACGATCTGTCAGCAAGGATGCAAACTCGCTTGCTCCGCACGAGTTCGCTTGGCTGGACAGCGAAATGGCTACCAAATTAAATGCTAATGAATACACACCTTACCAAATAAAATGAGTACACATGCTTAAAAACGCACCTTCGGACCCTGTTCCATTGGCCGGCGGTCAAAAACGCACCCTAGCTGGCACTATCTTCGGGGCGGCCTCTGGACTAGCACTTGCGGACATTTTTACTCTAGACCACGGGACAGCTGTCTGCTGCCTTGTGGCAGGCCCCGTCATGGCCGTAATGGGTTGTAACGCACGGTAAGCAGCCGAAAATGGGAGACCCAGTACCCATTTCTTTAATATAAAGTTATTTAAAATGTAGTTGGAAAGAGGTAGTAATTGTCTAGATCCGGGCTGCCACTTGCTTTAGCAAATCAAGCAGTCACAACAAATTTTAGTTAATTAGATTTAATGGTGAAATCCAACCCTGAACCGGTTGTCAGGCTACGATACTATGTTTGCATCAAGCAACTTCTATCTCTCTACTCAACTGCTAGTTCCTTTTTACTTTTGTTATTGACAAGGCATCAACGATCTCATTTTTGACTTTGGCTCCGAGAGAGCCATCTACAACTGTAGCCCACTGCTTTAACTCAAGTACCTAATTTGAACATCATTCAATATTCTCTCTATATAGGTCCGTTTCAAACTATGCAGGGTTGTAATGACCGAGCACGTTCCATACTTAGGGTTTTATGAGTGCATGCATCATCACGATGCCATCATATTGTCATCTCGACAACACAACAACTATGGACCCTAGATATGAGATATTCTACAGATACGTACTTACCTTAACGGGACCACTGTATACCAAGTCCTATATGAAAATAAACTTAATACATATGGATAAAAATTTTGAGCAGATAAGAAAAAAAGTCCGACTCTCAGATGACGAAAGAAATACTCAAAAGTCCTATTTGGACCCATCTAGGATTATTCGGATTGTATCAGGACTCGTCTCTCTATTTCTACTTGAACTACATGAGGGTTTAAAAACAAAGCCCCCTGAAGGGGAGAAAATTAACAACCCAAGAGAGATACAGGAACAAGATAATATTAGCCACCTATAACCTCGTCCAGTCAGCACTACATAGAGAAGCTAACGACATCTAGCCACCGACGACTACTATGCTTGAGACTGGATTAGATTTTTCCTTTGCATACTTTCTACTCATGAGGTTGATATATAATGACAACACCGGTCTCCAATCAATAAGAGTAGGGTTATTATTAATATAGGAATCTGAACGAGAAAGGCACGGGTCTTCCCGGCTAGCAACGAAAGCTACAAGCTAGCCGGTCCGGGTTCGAGCCTCACCCCCTCCTTAATTAAAAATCAATCTACTCCTTCCTAGATTGGTCCCATATTGGAATCTAAACCTATATGCTGCCTCCGTCCCATAATAATTGCATTTCTAGAAAATTAGAGACAACTTAACAGCAACCACAATTTACCACAATAACCCTATTTAATAACTATACTGCATGTGCATATTCCGTATGTATACTTGATTAAATGAAATGTTGAGGAACACATTCCATATGTAAACTTAACTAAAAGGAAGGTTAGGGTACACATTCCATTTGTTGTGTCCCATCTTATCAAAAATACAATTTTTGTGGAATAAAATTAAATGATAGAAATGTAATTATTATGAGACGGATGTAGTAAAAATCTATATCTCCTCTATCTTCCTTACTCTTTGTAAAGCGTCATAATTTACATCCTCGTATCAGCCAATTGGCAAGACCTTAAAATACACGTACAAAAGTGAGGATCTACCTTCCATGGATACGAAGAATATATACTGTATATTAATTCTTAATAATCGTCTGTTTTTTTTCTGATTGATCGATTAGTTCCTAGTCCATTCGAGGTTGATTCTTTTCTAAAATTGAAGAAGAGGTCCCAATCATGACTTCCCATTTTAGAGTACTATCCAACTATTCAAGAGTATCAGAGTTAGCTGAAATGTCAATGATCGAGTAATTAATTGATCTAATGCATATGGATAGCGTGAATGCGTGATGCAAGTGTCGAGAGCACCGGTTGCAAATCACTGTCGAAGAAATCTCAACAATGTCTTCCGTCACAACTACTTTAGTACTATTTATACAATATCACAGCTGCTTTCGTAGCACTCCCTCCATTTTAATTATATCATTACCCATTTTGAATTTAGACAAATTTCTTTTAATTTAATTAATTTTATAAAAAAAAACATAGCAGCATTTTTAACCCAAAAAATAATATTAAAATATATTTCATGTTAGATGTGATAGAATTAATTTGGTATTTAATGTTGCTAAATTTTTTGTAAACTTAACTTTGATTAAAAAAATAATACTACTCTATCCGTTTCATATTATAATTCGTTTGACTTTTTTTTCCTAGTCGAACCTTATTAAGTTTGATAATATGCTTGTTTTTTTAAATACTATTATATTGTTTATAAACTTGGTTAAACTTTAAAAAGTTTGACTAGAAAAAAAACAAATGATTTATAATATAAAACGAAGAGAGTACTAACTAGCTGTGGTAACTAAATGCCCGGTGCATGCACTGATGCACGCTGAAAAGAATGGGAGTGTGAATGGCAATTCTGCATGCAAGTACAAAACTCATGGTGTTTTGTACTAGAACGTAACCCTACTACTCAATTTCCTTATATTTCGCGGACAGAGGAAGTAACACAGTGATCTTTTATACGTATCTTAGCCAAATCGCATATGCAGCTTGCGAATGGACCGGACATTTGATTGCAGCAGCTAGATAGCCCTTGTGGGCCCCTTTGATTTAGAGGAAAAAGCATAGAAATTTTAGAGGATTTCAATCCTAAATGAAAAATTCCTATGAATGACTTTAAATTAAAGGATTAAATTCTATCCAATTCTTTGAAATTCCTATGGAATGGACAATCCTACGTAGATTTTGGATGAAATTTGGCAAGAGCTCAGAGCTCTTGAAAAATTTCCTTTGAGTCTGTCTCTCTCACCTGATTTCTGTATTTTTTCTACGATCCAATCAAACGGTTATTCATATGTTTTTTTCTGTGTTTTGTAATCATATGTTTTACACGTTCATTCCGATTAGAATCCTATGTTTTCCCTGCTCTTTCATTTTTTCATTGCTGTGATTCAAATGGGCCTTTATTTGAAGATTACCAGATGGATGGCTGGTCTGGCCGATGGATGGTCAATTGTTAATTTGCAACAAAATTTCGACAAATTAACCCTTACAAAAACCATCTATACATTTTAGAACAATTTAACTCTAAAACTTGACATGAAAAATCATCACTAACAATTCTTAGTTAGAACTCATGGGCACTACACCTTAACATACAAGCATGCATGCCACAAGTCCACAACATCACCCACTATTAATTATATTTTAAAATTAATTCTAAATCTAATGTAAGCATGGCACACCACTTACAATTATTACATACTTGCAAGTATATTAAATATCATCTTGCACACATCATTTTCACAATATTTTAAAATATATCTATACATTGTTTCTACATTACATAATTGTTGGCTAGCTATACCTAACAACTATATTTTAAGAGTATACATGATAATAAAACTAAAGTATACGTGAGATTTTGGTAAAGAGATGCATGGGGGTGTGGTTTCATCCCAAAATTTTCCAGAACAAAACTTGTTAGGTATAAAAATCAGGAACGGTTGGTAGGCTATACCTGACAACTATATTAGTATGCAGGGCATTGATACAAAGGTATACGTGAGATTGTGTTAAAGAGATGCATGGGGTGTGGTTGCATCCCAAAATTTTCCGGAACAAAACTTGGTAGGTATAAAAATCAGGACAGCTGCGAAATACATGTAAGTTATGTCATTTGCTTTGACGTTAATCATGTAGAGCTAATTCATTATCTTCACTATATCATGGTGAGATTACAACGCCGCACGACGGTTTATAAAAGGTATATATATGGTGGAACCCTAAAAGAGATGCCCCAAAATATATATCAGCATGGTAGTAAATTAGACACATCCTACTACTGGCCTCCGCTCTACTACGGCAGAAGCTGGCCTTTATTAAGTGCAAATGAATTTGGATCATAACTCAACAATGGAAAGACTTCCCTCCATTCCCAAATATAGGTATCTAGATAGATTTCCTTCATCCCGCAATTTAACAACATAATATTAGATTAGACACATCGTAGTAATACTATGTGGACGTATAGTAATAATAGGATGTATCTAACTTATTACTGTGTTGTTATATTTTGAGACGAAAACATATACATATCGTAGTAGTAGGATGTGTCTAATTTACTACCACGCCGATATATATTTTGGGACATACGATGTATTTTGGATGTTGCCAGCGCTATTCCTAAAAAAATACTACCAACGCCTGTTAAAAAAAAAAATCTCTTGCTTCAGATTTTGCCGGCGCTTCTTTTTCAGAAAAAATGTTGGGCACGCTGATGAGCAAACTCAAGACCTTTGGGATAGACTAGGGATGCAACTATCACTCTCACCACTATCACTAGACCACTTGACCAATTGGTACGACATGATTGGGATGGCCCAAGTATTTAACATAAGGTCAGTTCCAGATATAGTAGCGCTGATTTCCCTTAAAAAAAAAGATATAGTAGCGCTGAGCACTTGCCAAAGTGAATTTTGAGATTCAACGTGGCAAAATCTCAACGCCAAATATATATTGCAAATAAATATTGGACGTTGACGCTATTGAGTCTAAGTTTTTGACATTATAACAAGTACTTTAAAGGGGTTACTTCCTCCGTTTCACAATATAAGTCATTCTAGTATTTTTCACATTTATATTGATATTAATAAATCTACATAGATATATATGTCTAGATTCATTAACATTAATATAAATGTGAAAAATGCTAAAATGACTTACATTGTGAAACGGAGGGAGTAATTGTCAAAATTTTGGATTGTGCATGCCCTGCCTGAACGGCTCTGCTATGCCAGACGAAGAAGCGGTGCTGCAGCAACGCGTTGCCACTCCAATCACAATGGTGTCCCTGTAGGGTCGAATACAATAACTGAACATATCAGGGAAGTGGGAAGGGGGGTGTTGAATTGTACGAATACCAGGAACCAAAATTTTTAGCGGAAATTAAGGTTTACATGAAATCTTTGGCGTAGCCAATCTGATCACCATGTGCAAACTGGTATGACTGCACCTTTGTTGTCAGTCTGACCAGCATTGTTCTATCGGTCGAACTACCGCCTCCCTGTCTGCTCTAGCTTGCCGCCACCTATCTAACTGTTTGCCTACCGCCTGTTTGCCTACAATCAAACGTTGACCAAACCGCAATAGCATACGGACATTAGAAGTCAGGATCCAGAAACACGTATCGACGAAACTATTGAAAATAGATCAACTTTATTGCATCAATATGTGTTTACAAAGTGCATCTAAAGTACCCCTCTCTCAACTCACGAATTACAATCGAAGCATTAAAACAAACCTTAACTTTTTTTATCCCAAAAAGTCAATATCTTCTAGCCTCAACCCTTCTTTTATTTATACCCACAATGTGGCTGCCCCTAGCCATGAACCCAACTAGAAATAAGACTCTTAATCACATAGAAACCTAGCAAACAAGGGAAACATCCCCATACAACTTTACGCTCCAATCTTTTTAAACTTGGACTCTAATCCAAATTTGACTTTTCTTTCCATACGCACACAACACCACGTTTATGCCATATAGAAACCTTCACTTCCACGTGCACTATTCATTAGTCTAAGCATTGCGCGTGATATCCTTCACCATCTTGACCTCAACTTCTCTTAAGTCTAGTCCCGATCCATCACCGGCTATACTCCCATGGCCTCAAGCAACACCTGCACATGAACAGAAAAAAAACTATATCCGAATACAAGTTTGCACCAACTTAGCTCACATCAACACACAATAGTATAACATACGAATAAAAACCATTTAGAAGTCATAAACATGAAGCAATCTAGAAATTCCACGAAAACAAACCAAGGCCGACACCCTCCCAGAATATGCCGGTTTGACCGTCGGGCTACCCGGTCGGACCACCCGGACACCTCCAGACTAACCATCACCGACAGATAACACTATTCACCGTATATTCATACACATTCACATTTGACAATTTGTTCATCACCAAAATTAATCATCACATGATTCTACAGTGGCAATACTTCAACTTGGCAAATCTGTCTATAGAGGTATGTTTTTGCCACGTCAATATATATGTATGCTATGACAGTATAGTTCACCACGTCAGTCTAGTTGGTGTGGCAGTTTAAAATACAAATAAAAATTTGAAGGTTCATTAATAAAAGATGTTTAATTAATGGTTCAAAAATAATTAATAAAAAAGTTCTGCAGGGCACCGGTTGCAAATCTCACTGTCAAAGAAATATTCAATTATAGTCACAACTTGGACTAGCTAGTTGTGGGCTCGTGGCAAACTTGCAGATAAAAAAAATAAATTGTTCATAAAACAGGTACTACAGTGCTATTTGACGCATGTGCTTCCCAAGATAAGCACACAGATTGGCCGTCCTGCCAGCCAAGCAGGTGTAACATGAACTGCAGAGGACCAACTAAATCAAACACAAATCAACCGGGGAGTACATATGATGAGTACATTAGTACATACAAAAAAAAATCATTTAGAGACATGATACACACATTTGCAGAGCAACCCAGCAGCAGAGAACTCCAAAGGCAGGGCGGCGGAGCTCCCTGTGCACGGCTGCGCGGCGGCTTTCGGACGGCGGCGGATCGCCGGACTAGGAATGTGACGGCGGTGAAGGGCGGCCGGCGACGCCATGGTACCGGAAAGACGACGGGAAACAACGCGGCGAAGACCGGTGGAAAAGGGCCGGCGATGTCGTATCAGGCGGGCAGTGAAACCTGAACTCAAATGGAACAACCATAGCATTTTTTAATAGCTGGGTATTTCTGTTTTAAAAAAATGAAAGATACTACATATGTAGACCACGCATATCACAGGAAAGGAGATCTACTGTATATATATCCTCTATCTTTAATTATTATTATCTCTGTTCTAAAATAATTAGCGTTCTAGATTATTTAGGAAAGATTAATATTTAAAAAGAAATAACCATATAAAGTATCCTCTATTAAATGAAATGAGGTGGTAGTTGGGGTAGGATATAGAAAAGTTTGAATTAGAATAATTGATATGACAAAACGTACTCTAAAGTAATAAGTTTTGGGAGATAAATTTTGAATCATACAATGACAACTAATTTTAAGATGGAGGGAGTATGTTAGTATGCAACAAACCGTGAATCAACTAGAAGAGAGCTAACTTGATGGTACCAATACAAATAAAAAAAATATTAGCAATAACAGTTCTTTAAGATTTGTTAAAAATGAGAGCCCTAAACATTCAATCAAAAACCATTCAATTAAAAAATACCGTTCTTTTAATTTACACTTAATTTGTTAATTAAATATATTTTCCAAACAAATTTGACATACCTCCTTTCTAGATAATCAAGAGATGATTGATAATTGTTTATATGGATGAATTAAAAACAAGTACGGTACTCTCAACTCGCTAGTCTCAACTTACTACACATGGTTGTCTATATAACCTGAAGGATCTAATTAGTGGTGGCAACCAGCCTGAATTCCTGAAGTCCTAAGCTATAGCTAGCACTAGCAGCTAGTTGCTCCAAAGCCCAAACCATGCAGCACTCACCTTCAAACGAAATGACCCTCCTTCTCCTTCTCTTCCTCCTTGGATGCACACACTACGGTCACGCCGGCTCAGACCGTCCCAAGATCGACTCCATCTTCAGCTTCGGCAACTCGTACGCCGACACCGGCAACTTCGTCAAGCTGGCGGCGCCGGTGTTCCCCGGCATCCCTTTCAACAACCTCCCCTACGGCGAGACCTTCTTCGGCCACCCCACCGGCCGCGCCTCCAATGGCCGCCTCAACGTCGACTTCATCGGTGCACTTCCATCCCGAATTATACATTCCCGATTAATAATTAATACAAATCTGTTTCAGTCACAGAGAAACGCACATCAGTGTGATCATTTCAACAACTTTTGCATGCGCAGCTGAGGGCCTTGGAGTCCCCTTGCTCGCCCCGTACCATGGCGAGTCGCAGGACTTCAGCCATGGCGCCAACTTCGCCGTCGTCGGCGCCACGGCGCTCGATCTCGCCTTCTTCCAGAAGAACAACATCACCAGCGTGCCCCCGTTCAACACCTCACTGAGCGTGCAGGTCGAGTGGTTCCAAAAGCTCAAGCCTACCTTGTGCTCGACAACCCAAGGTACGTAGATAGTATAATGTATGCACACGTATTTGTGATATCGGTTGATGATCAGTTTTGCAGAAGATAGTACGGTGGTTAGGGGTGTGTGATTTCAGTCTCAAGGTATCCCATGTTCAATTCCCAATAAACTTAATTTTTTTGGAGGGACGTCGATCGATATCCCTATCTTTGATATCTTCAGGAAGTGTATATATATGCTCGGTTGGTGTCGATCAGAGAGTTAAATGATCGTCGGTTACTTTTTCAAAAATAACAAAAATAAACACACAGCTGAAATAATAAAAACAAATTAATGACACAAAAAGTTATTTTAACATTATCAGAGAAATTAATCCATCACGCCCAGCACAATTAATACTTGAATGGTGTTGTTACAGTACTCGCGTTGAAAATCAACCCCGTAAACAGTAAACGTCAAATCGCTTTAAACTAAAAACGAAAATCAAGAACTTCACCAATTCATTCGATGTGAAATTTGAAAATAAGTTCTAGACATAGTCTAAGTTCTTTTTTTAATAGAAAAACACAAAAACAACAGATAAAATTGACGGGATAGAATAAAACATTAATCTAAGCAATCTGATAGGCATGCACGAAAACGTAGGTTAAATAAAACCAACCGATAGACGTAGGTTAAATAAAACTAACCGATAGAATTGAATCATTTCTTTGAGGTAAAAGCTAATTTCACTACGAATCTAACAAAACAACTACACTCAAATCCGACAGTTCCATCAAAATTTGAATGCAATATAAGATTAGTGAAAAGCTTATCTAAACTCACCTTGCGCAAAATCGGAATTTAATTGCGTGAATATCCTCGTCCCATATCTTTCATCTTCATGCGAACAAGCTAGAGCATGACTATATATTAACATCTCTTGACCGATTATGACCTGAAAACCCCCACCGTAGTCTCGGTCCCTCGACACTCACCATGCATTATCACCTTCTAGCTTCTCATGTGCATCAAAGATAAAAAAGAAAGAGCAATTTTATATCTCTCAGAAACAAAGTCCTTCTAACTTCATCCACCTAATTAAGGCCCTGCTTGATTCAGCTTAGGATTATTATAATCTGGATTATTAGAAGTAAGCTGAAACAAACAAGTAGATTATTATGCTAAATTATTATAATCTATAATCCAATAATCTCCTCTAGAGGAGCTTTTTTTAGATTATTGAGTGGCTAGAGACCCACTACCCTTAGATGCCTCTAATAATCCAGAGAAACAAACAACTCGTAGCTTATTTTATGTCAACTTATTATAATCCAGCTTAGAGTAATCTGATTTAATAATCTAGATTACGATAATCTTAAACTGAAACAAACAGGGCCTAAGTCCAAACAATAATCATTGTAGCCAATTATTAATCACCCATGTAACACATGATATTTTACAGGGTGCAAAGACTACTTCGAGAGATCGCTCTTCTTCATGGGCGAGATAGGCGGTAACGACTACGTCTTCCTCTATGCCGCCGGCAAGACCGTCGACGAGGCCATGTCATACGTGCCAAAGGTCGTCCAAGCCATCTCTGCCGGCGTCGAGGTAGATAGATCACTGATCATAGATGTTCCTTAATCTCTCTCACATTCTGAGTTGCAGTCGTATCCAAGCTGGTTAACTAATTAACTAAACCAAAATGCAGGCGGTGATCAAGGAGGGAGCCAGGTACGTGGTGGTGCCGGGCCAGCTGCCGACGGGCTGCCTCCCGATCATCCTCACGCTGTACGCGAGCCCGGCCGCGGCGGACTACGACGCCGGCACCGGCTGCCTGTGGCGGTTCAACGCGCTCGCACGCTACCACAACGCGGTGCTGTTCGCGGCGGTGTCGCTGCTCCGGGCCAAGCACCCGTCGGTCGCCATCGTCTTCGCGGACTACTACCGCCCGGTGATCAAGTTCGTGCAAAACCCAGACGAATTCGGTGAGTCATTCGATCGATCACATCGGTTGGCTGATTATAAGCATAAGCCAAATGATATATTTGCAGGTGAAAAATAATTCGTGAATAAAATTTTTATATACGTGTCCTTAAATATTTAAAAATAAAGGCTGAAAGATAAACTACGATAAAAAAATCCTAAAATCAACTTCAAACTGATAAGTAGTATAAACGAAAAGACGAGGCTAATTGATCGATCGAAGCTTCGGCCCTAGCTGTATGTTCATGCATATCGCTAATAAACAACATGGTTCCATTAATTGATTAACTCACGCTGCATGCAGGGTTCAGCGAGTCGTCGAAGCTCCGGGCGTGCTGCGGCGGCGGCGGCGGGGCGTACAACTACGACGTGGCGGCGGCGTGCGGCTTCCCCGGCGCGGCGGCGTGCCCGGACCCCGACGCGGCGATCAACTGGGACGGCATCCACCTCACGGAGGCGGCCTACGGCCAGGTCGCCGCCGGCTGGCTCCGCGGCCCGTACGCGCATCCGCCCATCCTCGCGGCCGTGCAACGATCTGACGAAGGAAACCCCATCCAAATGGCTACGTCGATGCCTGCCTCTTTCTGATACGCTCTCCTTTTGAGTCACTTTGTCTCTGTTATTCTTAATCCAAGAGTACCCCAGCTGTTAATTGTATATGCTCCTTTAAAAAGGAGTCCATAAGTGACAGTTACTGGAAGTCGGAGCTGCTTCATCGATTGCGATGAGTTTGGCAGCGATATATAACCGGTGACGAGTCTGAGTAGTTGCGTTGTTCTGGGGTTTTGCTTATGCTTTCTGTGTGGTTTTTGCTGGTTTTTCATAAATGAACCGTGTGGTTGTATGGTTCTGTGCATGAATGGTTGTAGTACCTTTTAAAAACTGATCATGTAGAATATCTTAAAATTAATAAAGTCATCATGCACAAACAATTTACTATTGACGGGTATGTCACCTATAACTGAAAACATCATATGGTCATCGTAGATAGTGCGCGCGGGAGGCTCTTATTCGTGAGTGTGCTAGAAGAAAAAAGTAACGAGAATTAAGGTTTACTGGGATAATAAAGTAACCTAGAAACGGCTCACTAAGATCTGTTAAACTCTTTGTGAACTGATATCAAACACTATTATGATGGACCGTATAAGCTCTACTTCTTTTCATTCCAAGGCGCCAACATAAGTGATAGGATAGAATTTTATCCTCAAGTCATTTTTTCTTTTTTTCTTTATAAAAAAAGGAGAGGCAGATTCTGCCCCGTTTCATTAAATTAAGAAACAAGAGGATTACATACGTTTTAGAAAAGAGAGAGATTACAACGGTATACCGTTTCAACGAAATAGCTAATGATGATATCGTAGGTACCAGATAGATATCGAATTTAGTACTTTCGATACCAAATGTGATTCCCCATAGGTATCAAACTTAATAAGACGACATTGGTATGATACTGTAGGTATCGAATATGGTGCCTCCAATATTAGACGGAAGGTATCATATGCGATATATAAGTACCATGCTGACGCCAGCATGATACCGTAGGTACCGGATCTTGTACCGAAGATACCAGATATGATCAGGCGTGGTACCATATCTATCTCGTACCTATATATCAAGATGATATCAGCTACTACCTTTGTCCTAAATTAGATGTGGTTTTGACTTTTTACTTATAACGCTTAACCATTCGTCTTATTTAAAAAATTAATACAAATATAAAAAAAGATATGTCATACTTAAATTAATTTTGATAATAAAGTAAATCACAAACAAAATAAATAATAATTCTATAATCTTTTAAATAAGACAAATGATCAACGTTACAAACAAAAACTTAAAACGATAGCTATTTTGGGACGAAGGGAGTACTTCGTTAGAACAATATACCTTTATATAATATTTCTGTTAAGAAAAGCATGCAAACACAAGGTGCCATCCCACCAGATTGCAGCTTCACCAAAACGCTTTTTCCTAATCGGAAAAAAATTTGGTGCAGACCGGCTGCAAACCAAGGCCGCTGCAGCCCTGACCTGGATAGATGCCGCGTAGACAGAAGTCTAATCGAACGCTTGCTATGAATATGCCCAGAGAGGACGTTCAGCGGCTCGGTTCTCGTTCGACTCCGTGGAAAGGCGCGCGCTTGGCTCGGCGCGTTCGAGTAGGTGAATCGACATATTATTTCGATACCCTAGATCACGCGGGGACGCGGAGAGAGACGACGTCTCGCCAGATCACGGCCAAAATCGCCGGCAACCGCTGCCGCCATGACAGAAGCTTCATGGATGACGCAACCACCATGGCAAGAGGAGGGCAAGGGAAGGATCCAGCCGCCGGGTTTCTTGTGACCGGACGTAAGCCATTTTCGCCTGCACTAGCACATGGCATGGCAGCAAATGATTATTTTTATTTACACTGTTATTTGTGACAATGAATTTGGTACCAACGTTTGAGAAGGATCAGGTTTTAGACATCACATTTCAGATTTTACCTTCATGATTTCAGATTGCATAATTTTCTATATTGAATTTTTCAAAGGAATTGAATAAGAGAAAAAATCACTTTTTTTAACACATCCATCACATTGCATGATTCAGAACACCCAACATGCCATCTATATTTCAGATTAAAGAATACATTGCACATTTATACCTTGCAAATTGACCAAAAAAAGTACAGATTACAGCTTGCAGCATAAATCCTTGCAAACTCTACAATTTACAGATTACAAAGAAAGTCTATAATCAACAAACTGCAATCCTCTTTTGCCGCATTTACAGTCCTTTCAGGCAGAGCATTTCTCTCTTCTGTATTTTGCCCAAAACATAGAGAACCACAGGGTGACATGCAGAGTATTTCCCTCTTCTATATTTTGCACAAAAGATAGAGAACCCCCATTGCTCCATCAGGCTAAGAACCTACAAAAGAATGCGGATTTTTGTCATGGATGGAGGTCTACTTGTTATGTAATTCAAGGTTTGGGAAACAATTGAAAAAACTCTGAACAACATTTGGATGCCATCTTCTGAATTTCTGACGTACGTACTGAACAATAGGCTCATCACAAACAACATAAAAAAGCTCTCATCTCTACCTAAGCTTGTAAACATGTGCAGCCACCACTCATCCTGGTTTGCCGTGCTCCATGTTGCTCCGATCTCGCAAATCAATATATGGATTTAACTTCTAATCTGATGAAATGTACACACGCTGGATGGAGTGTACACACTGACACTGCAAAACTACAGCTCTCTACACCAATGTGTTGATGGGGGTCAACGGCTAGGTACACGCGCAGAGTAGGGATGGCAATGGGTCCCCGTCCCCCGATTCCCCACGGTGAATCCTCCTATTAGGAGGCGGGGGTGGTATGAATTATGCCTCCATGGAGGATTAAATGGAGGAAAAATGTCACGCCCCGAACTAGCCCCGAGCGGAACTAGCCCGTGACGCTCAAAATTAACCTGTTAATCGATACCAGTCCCAGGAAACAGTGCTGGTATCACAGGAAGACAGAATATCACAGCAACAGAGGTCTCTTTATTACAGAGTAGGAGTACAGTCATGTTGGGCTGCGGACAGATCCCGAGCTCACAACTGCATTACAAAAGGGAGAGCGGAAGCCAAGACTTGGACCATTCATCACAGGCGCGACTTGGGAACTAGGCCGAAACCCTAAAACTCATCGTAGCCGACTTGCTCCTGGAAGAACTCCTCGTCAGCGAAATCCACTTCATCTTCTTCAGCAACTGGGGGGAGATTATTTATATAGAGCAAGGGTGAGTACAGGAGTACTCAGCAAGCCATGGGAATTAAGTGTTTAATGCAAGCTTCAAAGGAAGGGCTGTTGTTTTTGCAATTGATTTTATTTAAACTCCTTTTTGAAACAACTAAGTGTGTGCTTATCAAACGACATGGATGAGACAGTGTGTCTCTTCCGGTCGGAGTATGTGCAATGTATCAGTCTTTGAATTGATTCAAGGTTGGCACCCGGCCAACAGCTTTCAACCGGCCACCCGGGCCTGGCTGATCCCATCAGTCGCATATTTTCCAAACATCGAACCCATTCCACAACAGTAATTTCACAAGCAGTAGCCTAACAAAACTACGCTAGGAATCACCTCACATCCGCCCATGACCATGGGCACGGCTGTTCGAACAGTTTAATAACCTCTGCAGAGGGGGTACACTTTACCCACACGACATTACTAACCTTGGTCACCTAGCCCGTGTGGATCAGACACGTCTGGTGACTTGGGGCTTTCACGACAAGGCATTTCGAAAGCCGACACAGGTTCACCATATGCCAACGAGAGGGGTCCCATACCGACATCAGGTTAGGTCCTAGACCATACTGTGCCAGGAAGCCCGGGGGTTCTCCCCGGCACCACCCCGTTGAATCCACATGTCTCTTGGCATCATGGTTCCCCCGATTAGCTAATTACTCAGCCAGGGGTGTCTCATTCCACCCATGTGGTCGCACTTGCATTATGTTCGGATGAAATTCCAAGGAAACAATCCTTAAGTGCAAGAACGGGAAACCGTACTCCCAGTGCATCTCCCGGTCCGCGATTTTGGAAATTCATTTTAGTTCGCAAGCACCGACCCAGGTGTCGGGTTTTCCCAGTCTTTTGTAAAACCCCAAGTTTTACCCATCGTTGGATGTTTTAAATTTGAGGGGAGGTGTTCCGATGCGCGTGCCCAAAGGCCAGTGCATCGAAGCAAAACAGTCGACAAAGGAGGTTTAAGTGTTCAATAATTCAAGGAGGGTAATTGCAGCAATTAGGATTGGGGGCCGGCATGCTATCTTGCAAGCCGCGGCCGAATTACTTGTTTAAATCCTATTCATGCAATATTTGCGGAAAATAAATACTTAGATTTAAATTATAGGTGCAAGATGATCAAATGTGACTTGCCTTGCTCGAGATCTTGAGCTTGATCCTCGAAATCCGCGCACTCCAGGTCTTCGGGCTCCGAGGCTACACGCGAACGAGACGACTCAACAAACGGCGAAATTAAAGCCCTATTATTGACCTCTAAGCGTGCCATTGGATAGATCTCGAAATTTGAGGAATTTTGGAAGTTGAATGCAGTCAAACGGACATACGGTTGAGAAGATATTGAATTCATAAGATTATTGGATTTTTGGTCTAAGGGAAAAGGATTTAATTAAATCCTTTTGAAAAAGAGAAAAGAAAGAGGGAGGGGAAATAGACTTCCCTCGGGCGGCTAGGGCGTGGCCCGAGAGAAGAGGCGCGGCTCGGCCGAGCTAATGGGCCGGCCGGCCTGAGAAGGTGGCCCAAGGGCACGCGCGGGGAGAGAGGGTGGGGGAACCGGTGGACCGGGCTCACCTCGTGTGGTCCCGAGTGGGACCCGCTTGTCGGTGACACGGTTCACCGTGCGGAGGGAGCACGCGGCGCACTAGGGTTTGGGGGAGGGACGCGATGCACGCGTGCGGCTCACGGTGGGTGCGGAAGCGGCGGGCCCACGCGCAGCCTCACGGCTCGCGGTGGATCGCGCGCGCGAGCGGGGCAGAGGGGAACTGGCGAACGGGGGTCAGCTTGACCCAGTCGCGGCCGAGGTGGCGCCTACGTGGCTGCCACGCGGGTCGGCGGGAGGAAGACGACGACGTCGGCCGGAACGGACGGCGGACGACGGCGGCGAGCAGTGGGGCGATCTACAGTGATGCAGGCAAGGGCGAGCGCACCGGGAGGTTGCGCGGGACGAGGGGAGACGAGCCAACGGCTTGGATTCGCCGGAGGGGGCCCGACGGCGGCGGATTGCGGCGGCGGCAACCGGCGGCGAGAGAAGGGGGAAACGGCGACGGCGCGACGGGAGATCGATTCGGGTGAGCTAGAGTATCTACGCGACTCCGGGAATCTGTTTCTAGCGTTGGATTGGACGGAGACACTACGAGAGAGGCCGGCGACGTGCGGGTGCTACGGAGCACGGGCGCTGACGGCGGCGAGCACACAGCGAGCGGCGGCAGCGGTCGGGGCGGCGCCAGCTAGCTACGGGGAGGCTATACAAGCTTCTACCGAAAGCTAAGGGGAAGAGGAGGAACGAGGAGGGAGAACGGGGAGATGCCCTACCGAGACGAGGCGGGGCGCTGTGACGAGAGGCCGTCGGCACGGGAGTGATCTCTCCGGCCTCGGGCCGGGGAAGAGGAAGAAGACGAGTGCCTGGAGTCCCCTTCCGCGTCCTAGCGCGCACCGGCTCCTCCGGCACACGCGACGACGGCGGTCGTCGATAGAGAGACAGAGGGGACAGCAATGGCGCGGTGGAGCGAGGGCGAATGGGAGAGGGAAAGAAAGGGAGGGCGCCTTGGTTTAATAGGAGGGCAATGTCGGTTTGGAAACCGACCTAGGGCGGTCAAGGAGCGAGCTGGCGCTCGGCGGTCGCAGCCAAAACGGCGACAGGGAGGATGACGCCGGCGGGGAGAAAAAGGAAGAAAAGAAAGAGGGAAAGGAGACTTGCCTCTTGCCACTTTGGGAAAAGAAGGAAGGAGAGAGAGAGAGAGCGACGAGGCAGTGGGAGGAGGAGCTCTGCCTCCAATCCTTGGGAGCATGCGCGGCAGTGGCGGGGCCGGGTCATGACGACGGCGATGACGGCGGGGGAGGTTTGGAAGGGCGCGACTACAGGGCGGCAGGCGCTGACGGCGGCAGCGACTGGTCGGTCGGCCAGCACGGCGCGCGCGCGCGGGAAGCAACGGCGCGGGGGATTCAAAACTTGGGGGCGGGGCTCGCCGGGGAGAGAGAGACGGGGAGTGGGAGAGCGAGAGAACGAGAGAGCGGAGAGAGAGAGAGATGGCGCTCGGCTTGGCGTCGGCTCACGCGCACGTGCGTGTGACGCACGTGCGGGGCGAGGGAGAGGAGGGCTGAGGGAGGGAGAGAGAGAGAGATGGGCCGAGAGGAAATCGGCCCACCGAACCTGAGGGAGGCAAAATAGACTTTTGCGGAGGAATTTGATTCGGGAAGGATTTGGATTCGGGATTTGAATTTGACGATAGATCGGGGATTCGAGATCAGAGATTGGCACGGAGACTGACAACAAGCAAAGAAACAGATTTCGCAATTAGGGTTTTTAGAATTTAAATTTTCCTGCTATGCGCCACGACGGAACGGGCGCTACAAAAAATAGGCTCCATCGGGTCTGGCGGGGGCGGGTATGGTTCACCGTCCCCCGTCCCCGCCCTCCGTGGAGGCCCAATGCAACAATGTGTGTGCTTCGTTTTATGTATATTTGGCCCAGTTAGCCCATAGAAACCAGGCCCAAAACATAGAGTATATAATGAAAAACCCTAGGCACCACCCACACAGGGGATACAACTCCACTCCCTCCCATCCCTGTTCCCCACGCCTCCGTCCCAGGCTCCCAGCGGCGCCGTCCCGTGCAGGGCCACCCCGCGCGCCTGCGAGCGCCGCCTCTCCTCGCCTCCACGGCCTGTCTCTCGGCGGCGCCGAGGACTCAGCAGTTAGCACCGGGAGTCGACCTTCTCTTCTGCCCTCCCTTTGTTCGTTCCAAATTTACGATGCGTCACATTTAGGCTTATTTGTTTTACTCTGCTGGGATGGTGGATGCAGGTGAAGGCTACGACAGCAAAGAAAGGGGAAAACGACGAGTCCACATGAACGGCCAGTAGTGTTGTTGCCTGTTGCATCTGATGAACGGCCAGCAGTGCTGCTGCAGTGCCGTTGTCTGTTGCATTTGTGAACCTGTGATATGAATTTGTGAACTTGTATTCTTGTATAATTATGTTGTTGCTGATGTGCTGAAATTGCATGGTTGAAAGTGCTGTTTTTAGTGATAAATCTTGTGTATGAGAATTATTATTTGATATGTGAAATATACATGCTGAAAAACTTGAGAGCGGGGATGGAGCCTCCACGGGGATAAATTACCCACACGGAGGCGGTGATGGTGAAAGATGCTGCCCAATTGCATTTCACGGGGGCGGGGACGGGGGAAATTCTCCTCCGCGGGGGCGGGTCTGGTTATGTATCCTCCGACGGGGAATTCCCCGTTGCCACCTCTAGCGCAGAGTGACTGTACCATCACAATTTCAGCATCAGGAACAGATAGAGCAGTCGCTTCCTCACATTCGCCGACACCAATATTTCTGGGCCCGCCGCTGTTGCCGAGAGAAGAATGCACCTCGTGCTCACCATTGCCGACCCGGCCATCGCTGGATTCGCTGCCGTCATCGACGGCGCCCATGGCCAAGAGATAGGGAGGTGGAGAGGAACGCGCCTCGTGATCACCCTTGCTGGCCCGGCCGCCGTCTTCAGTGAGACGAGGGAGGAGATTGTGGATGAGCGAGCCGATGCGAGACACGTCTTAACTAGGGAGTCGAGCGAGCCGAAAGGGAATTGAGCCAAACGCGCCGATATCACCTGCTTGGAGCCGAGCAAATCTCACTGTTAGATCGATAGCCTATCCACGCGGCATCTATCCAGGTCGGGACTGCAGCGGCGTTGGTTTGCAGCCGGTCTACACCAAATTTATTTTTTTTTGAGAGAATCCATTATATGCCTCTGAATTTTTCACACGTCCACGATTTGCAACTGATTTTATCACGTTCTAAAATATGCCATCATCTTTTGCTTAACTTCTATGATTTACCATCGCCGTCCAGTTAGTCTCCGTTAGTACTGTACAAATTTATCGAAATGACCAAAATACCCCTAGGATAAAACCTTTCAAAATGTGGATAAAAATTTTAAAATATCAGATTTTAAGTTTTTGGCTAAATTTTGGATGTTAACAATCTTATGTATATAATATGATATTTTGATAATTTTATCTAAATTTTTTTAAGTTTTTGTCCTAGAGGTATTTTGGTCATTTGGATAAAATTGTACAGTGCTAACGGAGGCTAACCGGACAGCGATGGTAAATCGTAGAAGTTAAGAAAAAATCGATGGCATATTATGTAGAACGTGACAAAGTCAGTGGCAAATCATAGACGTGTGACAAAGTCAATAGCATATAATGAATTCTCTCAATTTATTTTTCCCAATACAAATCAGCTTCTAACCTAATCTCAGTTGGGCCAGCCCAAAATGCACTACAGGTTGTGTAGTCCTTGCGCCGGTTTGGTCTACTACAAGCGAGGCCCTAGGTATCTGGGCTAAGATGAGAAAAAACTTCGGCATTTCTCTGCAACACTGGATCGCACTGCCGCCGCCGCCGACGCCTCAACTTATCGACAGCGATCGATAGCCACGGCCGGCGACGCACGGCACGACTCTCTCAATCGGTCGCGGCCACGCGCGGTCGGCGAGGCCACCGTGTACGCCGGTAAGAACACGCCGCCAAGAGGTTAGTCGCTGGACATCGTTTTTCAAGATCAGATTAATTATGATTAATCACACCTTTGCACGTACTACCAATTAGTCCCCCAACTACTTGCCAATTGATCCAGTCACTACTCACTACTAGTGCTTAGATTCTTTTTATAATGATGATTCATCTTATAAGTATTAGTATTAATGATGTTAAATACAGATATAAAATTGCTGCTAGGGAATATTTATCGAAGGAAGATAAGAAGTTTATAACATTATATCATTACTTCACTAGTTCTCTGACTAAGAAAATATCTAGTTTTCAGAGTGTGCGCCATGATCGATTGGTATTAATTTTTGTTGTAGTTTTTAGGGATTTTAGTTGTTATTAGTTGCTACTACAATGTTTTGTGCAAATGCGTAAAATTATGCTTAAAGTACTTTAGTAATAAAATAACTTATAACAAAATAAAAAATAATTATGTTTTTAATTAGATAAATTTTTAAACATGTGTTAAAAACTCAACGACGTCATCTATTAAAAAAGGAGGCAGTACTACCTATGTTATTTTTTATTTTGACGCTTCAATATCAACGCAATCTTCAAAGTACATATTTTATCACTAATTTTCTAACTTATATACTCCCTCTGCCCAAAAAGTCCAAAAATATAACAAGTATTAGTTATGAATCTAGACACACATGATTCATAGCTAAACTTATATTTTAAGATGAGGGTAGTATTTATCAAATTTAATAAAAGTATAACTGGAAACTATGAAGTATAAACATGTACTACTAATTGCTCTGTCATTATCAAACAAATACATGTTAATAACATGAAGGATCTCACTGGTGGCGCCAATCCTGAATTCCTGCAGGCCTAAGCTAGCAGTTGGACAAAAGCCCAAATTAACCATGGAGCACTCACCTTCAAACAGGATGACCTTCCTTCTCCTTCTCCTCCTCCAACTCCTCATTGGATGCACACACTATGCTCAGGCCAACCCTGGCCATCACATGATCGACTCCATCTTCAGCTTCGGCAACTCGTACTCCGACACCGGCAACTTCGTCAAGCTTGCCGCGCCGCTGCTTCCCGTCATCCCATTGGACAACCTCCCCTACGGCGAGACCTTCTTCGGCCACCCCGCTGGCCGTGCCTCCAATGGCCGACTCATCATCGACTTCATCGGTACAGTACATACTTGTTTTCCAATTAATGCCGGATGGCATGGTGGCTACCTGATCGACTGTCTGACGAACTAATTATCGATCGTTTCAAGCAGCCGGGCACTTTGGAGTCCCTTTCCTCCCCCCATATCTTGGCCAGGTGCAGAACTTCAGCCATGGCGCCAACTTCGCCGTCGTCGGCGCCACGGCGCTCGACCTCGCCTTCTTCCAGAAGAACAACATCACAAACGTTCCCCCGTTCAACAGCTCACTGAGCGTGCAGCTCGAGTGGTTCCACAAGCTCAGACCTACCTTGTGCTCGAAAACCCAAGGTACGTGTAAATTGTAATGTTATAGGTAATCTTGGTTAATTGATCGATTTGGTATTTTTTGGTCGTTGAATTCAGCAGCTAGTAAGCTAGCTAGGACGATTCATCGATCTCTCATGTTCCTTTGATCTCTTCAGGGTGCAAACATTACTTCGAGAGATCGCTCTTCTTCATGGGAGAGTTCGGCGGGAACGACTACGTCTTCCTCTTGGCCGCCGGCAAAACCGTCGACGAAGTCATGTCATGCTACGTACCAAAGGTCATCGGAGCCATCTCTGCCGGCGTCGAGGTTAGCACAGGATTTCCTTCACGTCTCTCTCAGATGCAGTCTTGCTGTTGCAGCCACGTCGACGTCCTTCACCTCTGAAAAAACCTACTCAATCCATCCCAAAATATAACAACTTTAGACCTATTCACTTTGATACCATTTTTAACCTTACCAAATTTTGGTATTGTCAAAATTTTGGCATAATTACCAAAATTTTGGTAGCAGGATTTCTTATATAGTTATCAAAATTTGGCAGCAAACTAAATGTAGCCACTTTTTTGGCAACTTTACCAAAATTTGGTAAGGTTGAAAATGGCATCAAAGTGAACAGTCCCTTTTAGCCCTCAGGATTTGTCCCAAAATATAACTTCTCCATCAACATTCTCTTCCCAACCAATCTCAACTCTCCACGATTCGCTTTTCCCACCAACATCCATTACTTATTCAATCACAATCCTCCACCATTTACTTCTACCTAATTTCTTAATAACTGTGTCCAACTCTAAAATTTTTTATATTTCGGTACAGAGGAAATAATATATAACAATATATAACATACCGGTTCACTTAAAACCAGCGTACGAGCCATTTCTCGATTATCCCGACACACATACGTAAGGGTAAAAGTAAAAGTTAATTAAGAATCGGCATATATGAGAATATATATGTGTGCGCCCCAGTTTTAAAAAATCGGTACATATGTTATTAGCACATTTACAAGTATATAACATATGCGGTAGTTTTGAAAAGTGGCACATATGAACGTCATATATGTGATGTTTTTTTAAAAAAAAATGGCATATAGAAGTGCAAGGGTATAAGTATTGGTTTTAAAGAACCAACATATATATACAATCATATATAAGTGTTTGTTCTTTGAAAAATTGACACTAAATACCAATATCACTTATTTGTGCATTTTTAAGGTGTGAATATCGAGGGATATATAGCTTTATAGTTGATATTTTTTTTCATTTGAGATCATTTACATGTCCAATGCAAATATATATATGCGTTAGGTGTTCACTGAACTGTTTGGATAAATGGGTTTATAAGATTTTCAAACGGATTTGCTTATGAAATTTGTACATCGACAATATGTAAAAGTATGTACTCCAGTTGACAATTAATCTTTTTGTTTGAACTTATCTAGACTACCAAATTCACTTTACAAGTTTCAACGGGAGCAGTAAAAGAAGCATCTATTTCGTAGACACGAAGTTTTTATATGTAAGATGATGAGAACGGTAGCATGCGTGGAGATGTCTTGTATTTCCTAGTAAAATATTTGTTTTCGCTAGAAAAAAATGTCAAAGAACTATATAAGCCTTGTCCAGTTGTCTTAGATTAAATGTGTTATATGCATTAAAAAACAGTTTATATGTGTTGTTCCAGAACCACATGCGTGCTGTTCGGTTTCCTAGGTAGGATATTAAATCTAGCTTGCTATTGTACTTGGTCTAAGAGGTTTGGAACCAACACTCTTAGAGTCTGCAGCCCGGTCCACCAACCGTGGGCCACCCAGGTCACATTAGGCCTGCTCCACCACAGGCCCAACCGGAGCCACAACTTTAGATTCTGGACCTACACAACCCAAAAGACTAGTCTGATGGGTGAGGACCGCGCGCCCCCATCTTTTTTAAGTCGTGCTCCCCCATCGTCAATTACTGATGTGAGACTAAACCCAATAATCTCCCTCGGCACACATCGGGCCCAATAATCTCCCCCGTCACATTAACTCATGTGACCCCGAAGACTTGTTACCTAGCCTCCCCATCATGTGACCTATGGAAATCGTTCCTGGTTCCAAACCTTGGCTCTGATACGACTTGTTATAAAAGTTAGTCGATATAGCGGAACGACAACTAACCTTTCTGATCGCTTCATTCATTGATCTCCCAAGATATGCCAGATGGCGACTACAATGTAGCATAGATATGCAGGGAGAGGATGGCGGCGTGGCTATGGACTCGTAGCGGCTAGGTGTTATATTGGTTGGGGAGGAGCGCCCATAATCAGAGCCCTAGGGATGTAGGCTTATGCTAAACCTTGTTAACAAATATCGTGTGTGTCTGTGTCGTCATCTGGCATGTCTTGGAAGATCAATGACTGAAACGATCGGGAAAGTTAGTCGTCGTTTCGCTATATCGACTAACTTTTATAACAAACATGGATTAAGTTTAATTTTTATATTTAGTGCACGCTGATTAACTAAATCAAAATGCAGGCGGTGATCGAGGAGGGAGCCAGGTACGTGGTGGTGCCGGGCCAGCAGCCGACGGGTTGCCTCCCGGTCGTCCTCACGCCATACGCGAGCCCGAACGCGACGGACTACGACGCCGGCACCGGCTGCCTGTGGCGGTTCAACGAGCTCGCACGCTACCACAACGCGGCGCTGTTGGCGGCGGTGTCGCTGCTCCGGCGCAAGTACCCGTCGGCCACCATCGTCTTTGCCGACTACTACGACCCGGTGATCGAGTTCATGCAGAAGCCAGACGATTTCGGTGAGTCATTATTGTCTCATTATTTGATCGATCTCTGATTCTCTGATTCTTTTCTTTTTAAGCTTAATTGGCAGCCGGATGGCTGCAAATCCCCATCGAAGGTAAATGCTTGCCTTATATATATGAGTATCTCTCTACTTTCTCCATCCTAAAATAGTTTAGTACGTATAATACTATATTAGAAATAATCTAATATAATGAATCTCAGATATCATTATTATTTTATGTTGTAATTTGTGTGTATATATCATTGGTCTGATGTACTACTTTCCTTTCATATTATAAGTTTCTCTTTTTTCGCTATTTTTCTACTCAATTTTCTTTAGATTTGACTAGGTTCATAAAAAAATTAACAATATTTGCAACGCTAAATTAGTTTCATTAAATATAACATTGAGAGAAATTTTTGGTACATGAGAATGTACCTGAAGATACCTAAATTTTACACTAAAAGTTTTGATTTCTCAAGATACTTATTAGTATATGGAGGTACTAAGTTTTATACTAGAAAATATGTATCTCTTAGTACTTTTTCAAGAATGATAAAATTACTCTAATATTAAATATATTTTGATAATATGTTTGCTTTGTGTTAAAAATATTACTATATTTTCTTTATAAACTTAACTAAACTTAAAAAGGTTTAACTAATAAAATAGTGAAAGCGACCTATAACAATTATAAATGGAGGGAGCAGTAGCGTGAAATCTGAATATAATTATTTTCTCTCTTTCTGACGTCACTAGCTAACTTGGTCACCTACACTGCAGCATTCAGTGACTCGTCCAAGCTCCGGGCGTGCTGCGGCGGCGGCGGCGGACCATACAACTACAACGCGACGGTGGCGTGCGGCCTCCCAGGCACAAGCGTGTGCCCGACCCCCAACACGTCCATCAACTGGGACGGGATCCACCTCACGGAGGCGGCCTACGCCCGCATCGCCGCCTGCTGGCTGCACGGCCCGCACGCGCATCCGCCCATCCTGGCGGCCGTGCGCCGCCGCACGTAGACGGATTTGAGGTTATGTAGAAATCCATCTACTGAAATGCTGATAATACTCTAAGCTACCCTTTGTCAACTTCACTTTAGTTTTTCACAAGCTCGTTTTGTAAACTGATAAACGATACGTTTTCTAATAAAAAATAGAATAGGAAAGTTACTTTGAAAAGATCATATTATTTTTCAAAAATAAGTTAAGTTAATATTTAATTAATCATGTGTTCATGCATGGGTATCACGTAAGTGGATATATGGTACTTATTGAATCTTTTATGGGCCTGAGTCGGTATGTAAGATATATATATCATACATTGTTTATCGATGCCGATTATATAATTCTTATTATGATGTCGTAGTTGCTATTGTTAACATTGCTAGCCTCCAAAGCTGAGCAGGTCATGCGGTTGTGGGTCATCGTGTGTATTTAAATTTATAACCTCTGCTATGTAGTATGTAGTCAATTTATTGTTTTAGTGTAACCTGGAGATCGATTACTATGTAAGAGCTAGCAAAAATTACACTGATCGAAGATATATATATATATATGAATTTGTAAGATAGGTACAATTTAGTATACATACTTGTTTTGGTATATGTGGTTGTATAGAACGTGAAACCGGAGAAAAACAACTCACTATAAGTCTATAACTAATATATTTTTAACAAAATAATAAATATATTGAGTTGGACGCTAATTCGATGTCACTTAAGGATATAACACATGCTATGTGCAAATAATCTATATTTATTATTTTCTCTTTTCTATCTATTAATTGCATCATTTCCCTATATGTGCATTTTATCTCTATTAACATAAATTGGCCGTATAATTCTTAATATTAACTCTGAATAATCGTACATGGTGCATCCACGTTCTGATTAATCGATTAATTGTACATTTGTCCGTTCGACGCCGTCATGTGGACTTTCCAAACACTGAAGAAGAGGTGGCAGCCATTATTTTCCATTTTCTACAATCACGAGCTAGTTCGTATCAGCTATCCAAGAGTATCAGAAAGCTGGAATGTCAATGAGTAATTAATTGATCTATGCATATTGCAAGCATGTTGTGTGGACCTCCGGCGCAGAATCACTGTCAAAGAGATCTTCAATTTAGTCTGTCATAACATGGGCTAGTTGTGCACTCCATATACTTGCGTATAAAAAATTGCATATCGGGAAACGACAAAATTCTTCGGCCATTACAGCTAGGATTAGAATTTCAGTAGTGTAATAATAAAGAGAATCTACACCATGCCATCCAATTTACGCTAGTTCAATATTTTTTCATATTTTTTCCTTTCTATAATATAGTACTGAATTCATCAATTCTTTCTACAATATGCCATTCGATCATATTTTTTTTGAAAAAAAAAACCTCGATCAAAATATCATACCTAGTGAGGAGTGTCTATAATCAGAGTCTTGGAGATATAGGTTTTGGCGGAACCTTGTTAATAAATAACGTGTATTTCTGTATCGTTATCTGATATGTCTGACTTGATCAATGGCTGAAGCTATCGTGAATGTTAGTCGTCGTTCTGCTATCTCTGTTAACTTTTGTAATTAGTGATTGTGTCAATAGTATATTATTGAACACACGCTAACTCAGTGGTAGCATAGAGTAGATTTTCTCAATAATAAATTCAACATTTTTCTATAGTAAGCATGGGAATGCTTCTATGTCTTACATTTTCAGTAGCAAAAAGGATAACTGCATACTATAGCTTCTTTTTAGGCACTGTTTAGATCCCACCCTAAAATTTTTCACCCTGTCGCATTAAACGTTTGAACACCTGCATGAAGTATTAAATATAGGCTAAAAAATAACTAATTACACAAGTTGCGACTAATTACGAGACGAATATTTTAAGCCTAATTGCTCCATGATTTGATAATGTGGTGCTATGGTAAACATTTGCTAATAATGGATTAATTAGGCTTAATAAATTCGTCTCACGGTTTACTGACGGATTCTGTAATTAGTTTTTTTATTAGTGCTCGAACATCTCATGCGACACCCTATATAATACTCGATGTGATACGCCAAAACTTTACACCCCTGAATCTAAATACCCCCTTATTTTTCTTGTATAACGCTCAAGTATCGATTCATGTATAACTTGCTGGTTGTATTCTTTTGTGGCTGGCACATAAAAGGACAGACATGGGAAACGCATGTTTGATTTTTGTCGTTGCCTGCAGAAAATTGAGGCTTATATAGGATGCCAAAAAATGCATGAAACGAGAGTAAAAGGAAATTCAAAACTATATATATTGTTATTGTTTATTTTCATGGTATACTAATTAATTCGAGGTGATATATATATATATGGAAAAAAAACTTGACAATAAATCAAGTGAAACGTATTTCCAAATGTACTAGCTAAATGCTCGTGGCTTTGCATTTTTCTCTTGAATAATTTCTAAATGTACTAAATCAAGTTGAAATTAATGCAGCGGTCAAATTCTGACGTGTTTTGTCAACGTAAACGGAACTTTCCTGCAGGTGAGAAAAAGAAAAGGTACTCATCCGTTTTATATTACTATAAGTTACCTTTTTAAGTTTGATTAAGTTCATCGAAAGAATTAGCAACATCAAAAACATCGAATTAGTTTTTATTGGATCTAACATTGCATAGATTTTAATATTATATTTGTTTTATGTTGAAAATGCTAATATATTTTTCTATAAATTTGATCAAACTTAAAAAAAATAAGTAGAAACAAATTCAAAGCGATTTATCCTATCATACTATAAAGTTATAACCCACTACATACAAAGATACCACGTCATCATGCATTAACAAGATGCCACATCATCATCCACTAAGAATTATTACATTTAAACATCATGCAAGCATGCTATATTATCTATAATTTTATAAGTTATTAAGTTTTAGAGTTTTAAAATATAAGCATGTTAAATTATCATCCCACATAGTTCACATAATATTTCAATATACCTTTTCATAATTTTTTATAATATCATATATATATACCTATATGATTCATCCTCACTTAGTATTATTTCTCTCTTTTCCCATTAAATCATATCACATCAGTTTTTAGTTTTTAGCCTTAGATGATTAATCTATGGTCCAAAGTATCTCACTGCCTTTCTTCTTTCATAAAACCACATCATCTTACTTTTACATTTGAATCATCATTCTATATACTATTTAAATTTAAATTATCATAAACCATATCAACTTATATAAATTTATATTGTTTTGTTATCTTACCCATTTTGTTTACTTATTGTTATCATGTTGAACTTCCGCAATAATGCGTGGGGTTTCACCTAGTAATATTAAATATGAAACGGAGGGAGCAGATATACGTACCTGCAATGTTTTTTTTTTCCATATATTTTCTAAAAGGAGTATATGTTACTGTAAGTCAATTTAAACATGGCCGGCTGTAAAATCAATTTAGTCAACACAAGCAATGCCACTATATGGCTATATAACCTGAACTCCTGAAGGGATCTTATTGGTGGCAATCCGCCTGAATTCCTGCAGCTGCAATTGCCCCATGGAGCACTCACCTTCAAACAAAATGACCCTCCTTCTCCTCCTCCTCCTCCTCCTTGGATGCACGCACCACGGTCAGGCGAACATGTACTCCGGCCATCCCAAGATCGACTCCATCTTCAGCTTCGGCAACTCGTACTCCGACACCGGCAACTTCGTCAAGCTGGCGGCGCCGGTGATTCCCGTCATCGCTTTCAACAACCTCCCCTACGGCGAGACCTTCTTCGGCCACCCCACCGGCCGTGCCTCCGACGGCCGCCTCAACGTCGACTTCATCGGTGCGCGCGCTTCAATTCCCTCGTGATTACTGCACCGGCGAGCATGGATACTTGATCGATCGATCGATCGATATATTGATCATTTGAACAACATTGCAGCTGAGGACTTTGGAGTCCCCTTGCTCCCCCCGTACCTTGGCGAGTCCAAGAACTTCAGCCATGGCGCCAACTTCGCCGTCGTCGGCGCCACAGCGCTCGACCTCGCCTTCTTCCAGAAGAACAACATCACCAGCGTGCCCCCGTTCAACACCTCATTGAGCGTGCAGGTCGAGTGGTTCCACAAGCTCAAGCCTACCTTGTGCTCGACGACCCAAGGTACGTACGTCCGTGTAATGCTACATCTAATCTTGGTAATTAACCGATCATTAATTTTGGTGGAAGAGAATTCATCGATCGATCACCTGTTTGATTGATCTGTACGTCTTCAGGTTGCAGAGATTACTTCGAGAGATCGCTCTTCTTCATGGGCGAGTTCGGCGGCAACGACTACGTCTTCCTCTTGGCCGCCGGCAAGACCGTCGACGAGGCCATGTCGTACGTGCCAAAGGTCGTCGGAGTTATCTCTGCCGGCGTCGAGGTTACCACAGTTCTCTTTCCTTCAGACGCTAATTAATTAAGTTGCTGTCACGTCCTAGCTGATTAATTAATCAATTAATTAAACCAAAATGCAGGCGGTGATCGAGGAGGGAGCCAGGTACGTGGTGGTGCCGGGTCAGCTGCCGACGGGGTGCCTCCCGATCATCCTCACGCTGTACGCGAGCGCGAACGCGACGGACTACGAGTCCGGCGCCGGCTGCCTGAGGCGGTTCAACGAGCTCGCACGCTACCACAACGCGGCGCTGTTCGCGGCGGTGTCGCTGCTCCGGGGCAAGCACCCGTCGGCCGCCATCGTCTTCGCCGACTACTACCAGCCGGTGATCGAGTTCGTGCGAATGCCAGAAAATTTCGGTGAGTGTATATATAATTATATGATTTGTTCGATTTCTCTGATTCTCTGCACACGCACGTACGGCTGAATTTAATGCTTCAAGAATTTTGACCTGAATTAGCAGGCGGATGGCTTAGTTGCAAGTCTCCATCGCGAAAGTAAACGTTGTCTTGTTGTTGAGTACGCTAGTTGCATGCATCGCAAAAAAAAAGTCCACGGTCGACTAGAAAATTTAGTGATGTTGAAACGAGAATTTTTGAAATTGTCTGGAATGAGCTCATGTCTCGCGCAAACAGAGTAATTAATAAAGAGTTTACGATACGAATATATCACTGGTCTGATATACTTATATGACCATATTTTCGCCGACTTGATCGATTCGGAGATCTACGAGTTGAAACATCAAAGTACTTAATTAGTGATCTGAAATGCTTTCTGTTTTGTTGTTGTCTCTTTCTGACCTCGCTAATAACTTTGGTTGCCAACGCTGCATGCAGGGTTCAGTCGCTCGTCGAGGCTCCGGGCGTGCTGCGGCGGCGGGGGGCGGTACAACTACAACGCGACGGCGGCGTGCGGCCTCGCCGGCGCGACGGCGTGCCCGGACCCCGCCGCGTCGATCAACTGGGACGGCGTCCACCTGACGGAGGCGGCCTACGGCCGCATCGCCGCCGGCTGGCTGCGCGGCCCGTACGCGCAGCCGCCCATCCTCGCGGCCGTGCGCCCGTAGCGACGACGTGACTGCGTCTCACGTGTATACGTACGTAGTTGAGTCCACGTCGTGGAGATTCGTGCGGATTCGTTTCGTCCTTTGATTGGTTTATACTGGAATGGTAATGCAAATTAGAGACGCACTTAGTTAATGCAGTGGTAAGAAATATGTGGTTTCAACTAGGAAATCTCGTGGTTTTTTTTTAAAAAAGAATGTTTGGAGGAACGCCTCTCTCTTTAAATCTTGTTTTTTTTATTGTAAACTATTAAAGTGGGCCATGATGCATTATGACTTATGAGTTGGACTGTTCTTCGTGGGGTGTATAGTACTAGGCCCATGAGTGAAAACATAAATTCCAGAATTGTGTTATTTCTTAGCCTAGTCTGGCCCAATATTTTTACTGTTTTGCTAACCCGTGCAATGCAACCACGTGGAGTCGTGCACTAATCCACACGTAGTATATACATTGATACCTGATATATTCATATGATTTGATTTTGAGTCACTTGTCAGTTATTCTTCTTAATCTAAAATTCCTCATGTTATATATAGAAGAGGGATTCTTTTTTTCACGAATAAAAAAAATACGCAAAAGCAGAATTCCAGTTACACAACACAGTGGCCAAAAAGACCATTGCCAAGGGACATGAAAAAAGGGAAAAGAGCTGAAAGGATAGCTAAGCTTAAACCATGAAAAACAACCTAGTTTGGCCAAAAATATTCATGTTTTATCATCTAATAACAATAAAAATAATATTCTTAATTTTTTTAAAATAAGATAGAGTCAAACGTTGTATGAAAAACTAAAAAATAAAGTCTTTGTAAAATAAATGGATTAGTATCTATCATGCGTGAATTATCGAAATGAGCCATTAGACTTGTGCCAATTAGGCCATTAGAGGAGAAAGGATGGAGCAAGGCCTAGAAAGATTATTTTATTTGTTTTTTGGTTTGAATACACCCTTCGTTTTCGTTTTTTGTTTTTTTTTTTCATACACATACGTATTACATATTGCATATACCTATTTTGTTTTGTTAAAATAAATGGGTATTCGTTTGAATACCCTTGGCTCTAGGTCCGCCCATGTTGTGAACTGATGTATCACACATTGATTCAATTTTTTGTGACCTTATGGATGATATGCAAAATATGATATACTCTTGAGGTATGAAAAAACACCTCCTACATATTTGGATAACCCCAGGAAAATTGCTTGTATAAAGGTGTAAAAACGAGCTAAAAAACATTCAGAGGGGTCTATTTGTCTCTAGTGAAATAGTCATCAGTATTTTTTACTCCCTTTCTTCAAGAATCAAGATAGATCTACAATCTTTATGGAAGCCATGTTCCGTTTGGTTGACATTTTTGCTTTTTTCCGGGGGAGCTTGTTGACTTAGTGCTACAATGCTACTGATGGCCTCGTGGCTAATAGATCACCACATTCAATGCAGTTCTTCCGATTAAATTACAAGGATTGTTCGTATTAGAGTGCAGCTCATCTTAAAGAATTTCTTGAAGTAAACTTATGTGCATTGGTGAAGCACCTACATAAACTCCAGCACTTAGCAATCCTGCAGCTGAAAGCTCAGTCACAGCTCCTCACTCCTCACTGAACTCAAGCCATGGAGCACTCAAAACCAGTAGCTTTCGTCCTCCTCCTCCTCTTAGCCTGCCTGCATTACGCTCAGGCGAACCCCAGCCGCCGTCCCTTGGTCCAGTCCATCTTCAGCTTCGGCAACTCGTACGCCGACACCGGCAACTTCGTCAGGCTGGCCGCGCCGCTGCTTCCGGTCATCCCTTTCAACAACCTCCCCTACGGCGAGACCTTCTTCGGCCACCCCACCGGCCGTGCCTCCAATGGCCGCATCATCATGGATTTCATCGGTACATATATATATATACGTTTGCTTTGTCACATTCAGATTAACAGTGAGTTGTTAACAATGGCCATTGTTAATTCGTCATGGATCCAACTTTGCAGCCGAGAAGTTTCAGGTCCCATTCGTCCCACCATCTCTTGGCCAAGGTGAGGACTTCACCCATGGCGCCAACTTCGCCGTCGTCGGCGCCAGCGCCCTCGATCTAGCCTTCTTCCTCCACAACAACATCACCAGCGTCCCACCATTCAAAACCTCCCTCAGCGTGCAGCTGGAGTGGTTCCACAAGCTCAAACCTACACTGTGCTCAACAGCCCAAGGTTACACTTGCAATGAGTACACAATTTTGTTTCTCCTGATCTGATCACCTGATGCATTGCTGATTCTTCAGTGATCTGATTCAAATTAACTCATGCTTACACAGAATGCAGAGACTACTTCAGGAGATCACTCTTCTTCATGGGAGAGTTCGGCGGGAACGACTACGTCTTCCTCCAGGCCGCCGGGAAAACCGTCGAGCAGCTTATCCCCTACGTGCCAAAGGTCGTCGGAGCCATCTCCGCCGGCATCGAGGTCTCGTACATTTTCACCGACATTTGCAGAGACACAAACTATACATATAATCCTCAATTCACAAACGGAATTGACGTTAATTACTGTGTGATCGATGCATTTATTCAGGCGGTGATAAAGGAAGGGGCGGTGCAGGTGGTGGTGCCGGGGGAGCTGCCCAACGGCTGCGTGCCCATCATCCTGACGCTGTACGCGAGCAAGAGCAGAGGCGACTACGACGCGCGCGGCTGCCTGAAGAAGCAGAACGCGCTCGCGCGCTACCACAACTCGGCGCTGTTCGAGGCGGTGTCGCGGCTGAGGCACAGGTACCCTTGGGTGAAGATCGTCTACGCCGACTACTACAAGCCGGTGATCGACTTCATCAAGAAACCGTCCAGATTCGGTGAGTGTGTGGTTAATTTGGCTGTTCGTTTCATTTCTGCAATACTGTTTGGCATCTCTTCGTTTAAGAATTATTAGAGTGGATCTAATCGGAGGGGATCCCTCCATCCCACGAAAAACGAATCTAAAACTACATGTCGCATATTGTAGGAGTACAACAAATCTGAAAAAAGGTATATCTAGATTCATAGTAGTAAGATATGTCACATATAATATTAGATTGGTTTCTACGGGAAGATAAGTATGCCTAAGCGAACTAAAACCAAAATAGGTTTATAGGTTTATCGATAGTAAACGCTTTGGGTATTATCTACTCCAATTTCTGTGGTGATGCTGCACATGCAGGCTGCAGATCCCTAGCTAAAAGGTTGAAGACTGTCCCAACTACTGGGATAGCTCATCGTGATTAAGTAACAATTAATCACCTTTCCCATTGACCTCGACGTCCTCTTTTATCTACAGTAAATTCTTCACAAGGAGAAGAAAAAAAATAAAGAAAACCAGCTTCGAATCGATGTGCTAACCTGATCGATTGCTGACGACGCTGCAGGGTTCAGTGCCTCGTCGAGGCTCCGGGCGTGCTGCGGCGGCGGCGGCGGCGGGCCGTACAACTACAACGCGACGGCGGCGTGCGGCTTCCCCGGCGCGAGCGCGTGCCCGGACCCCGCCGCGTCCATCAGCTGGGACGGCATCCACCTCACGGAGGCGGCCTACGCCCGCATCGCCGCCGGCTGGCTGCGCGGCCCGTACGCGCATCCGCCTATCCTCGCGGCCGTGCGCCAGTAGGCCGTGGCGTCGTGGGCTCGATCGTGGTCCATGTCTGCATTTTGGCCCGTTAATGTGTGGGAGCCGTTTGTTCAATGGAAAAGTGTACCGAAGGTCCCTCAACTTGTCATTGAGTTACAAAATTGTCCTCGAACCGCAAAACCGGATACAACGCATCCCTCAACTTACAAAACCAGTGCAAACTAATCCCTCGGCGGGTTTGACTCCGGTTTTGCCTTACGTGACAGCTGACTCAGCGTGGGACGGTCCCACATGTCAGCCTCTTCTTCCCCTCCCCTCTCCACTTCTCTTCCTCTCTCCTCTTCTTTTCTCACTTTCTTCCTCAGTTGGACAGCGCAGCCGGTGGGGTGGGGAGGAGGCCGGTGGGGGAGGCGGGAGTCCGGCGGCGACGGCTGGCGATGAGGCGGCGGCGGGTGACGAGGCGACGATGCTGGAGAAGGGAAACGCCTGCATCCCGCCGCCTCGCTTTCGCCTCCCAGCCCCACGGGAGATGGGGTTGGCGATGTTTGGGACACGCCGCTGTTGCCATTACACCACACCGCCGCCGCCGCCGCCGACGACGACGACAACGACACCTCCCCACCGGCGATCGAGACCAGCAGAGGCACATGCGAAGTGGGTTCCCATGGCGCCATGATGGCATGAAGCAGCGAGAGCGAGTACTACTCGGAGGAGGAGGTGGGATGGGAGGAGGAAGGTCTCGGAAGCGAAGGCGAGGAGGAGACGAGGGAATGGGCACTGAAGCGGCTCGACAGCCTCGGCAAGCGCGGGGTGTGCTACCTCAGCCGCGTCCCTCCCAACATGAACCCGTCGCACGTCCGTCTCCGTCGGTTGCTCTCCAAGCACGGCGAGGTGTAGATGATTTACCTTGTCTAGTTCATGCCACTAGAGTTGAAGCCGTGTTCGATTCAATTTGGGATATGTATGGTGGTTAACTTCAAAGCTCGGTGCTTATTAGAGAAACCTGGAAGCTGCAATTATTATATACTACTACGGCACCGAGCGGAGCAGACCAGCTCGCCGGCCTCCCGGTCCTCCTCGCCAACCCCGCCTCCTACCTCCCTGTCTCTCGCCGCCGGTCTCCCCGCCGCCCTCGACGGCTGCACGTGGCCGAGCAGCACGGCCGGGACCCACTTCTCCTTCTCCTCCTCCCCAATCTCCCCGCCTCCTTTTCTTCCCCAATCCGGCAACACGGCGGTGTGATCACGGTGAGGCAACGCGCATGAGTCGAGGGAGACCACGGTGAGAGAGCAGCTGGAGAGGAGGTTCTTGGGAAGGAACCCGCTGCGGTGCAGGCGGACGACGAGCTCAGAGAGGCCGCGGTCGGCGGATTCGGCAGAAGGCGGAGGAGTCGAGGAGACCCGCGGGGCTAGGAGGCGAAGGCGAGGCGACGAATGCAGAGCGTCTCCCTTATCCAGCATCGTCGCCTCGTCGCCCGCCGCCGCCACCTCGTCGCCCATCGCCGCGTCGTCACCGCCGGACTCCCGCTTCCCCCAACGGCCTCCTCCCCACCCCGCCGGCTGCGCTGCCCAACCGAGGAGAAAATTTGAGAGAAAAGAAGAGAGTTGGGGAGGGGAGGGGAGGGGAGGGGAAGGGAACGAGAGGCTGACATGTGGGACCCACATGGGTCCCACGATGAGTTAGCTGCCCCGTCGGATAAAATCGGAGTCAAAACCGCCGAGGGACCTAGTTTGCACTGGTTTTGTAAGTTGAGGGATACGTTGTATCCGGTTTTGTAGTTCGAGGATGATTTTATAACTCGATGCCAAGTTGAGGGACCTTCAGCGTACTTTTTCCTTTTCAAATGAGGCCCAGTATGGCTGGCCGTTTATATGTGTTAGGAAAAAGTACACCGAAGGTCCTTCAACTTGTCATCGGGATAAAAAACGTCCTCGAACCGCAAAACCAGATATCAACTATACAAAACCGGTCACCTAAGATCTCTCGGTGTTTTTCAACCCGGTTTTATCCGATGTAGCGGCTGAGTCAGCGTGAGCCCCACATGTCAGCTGGCCTAATCATTACCCTCCCCTCCTCTCCCTTTCTCCTCTCTCTCTCTCACTCTTCTCGTTTGGGTAGGCAGCTGGGGAGGACATCGGCGGTTGCTGCCTTTGGCGGGGCGTCGGCGGCCGGCGACGGGCGACACGACGGCGGCGGCTAGCGACTGGTGACCCGCCGGCGCCGTCGGTAGCAGCAACCGTGCCTCCGGTCACGCGCGTAGCCCACACCACCACAAGGGCCGCGTCGATGGTGGCGTCCAGGTCGCCTGGAACATCTCAGCCGTCGGAATGACGAGACGGCGCGGCGGCTCGTGGTGTCTGGGCGGATCCACGAGGGAACGGCCCCTCCGAGGTCTCAGCGATGCCGGTGAGGCGGCGGCAGACACGGCGGAGGGAGACGGGGGCGGCGGAGAGGTACAGGGAGATGGGAATATCGGCCGCGCTGTCGTGGCCGTGGGACTACCCGACGGCGTGCGGCGAGATCGTCGCGCTCCTCCGAATCGGGTACGGATGTGCGGCCGAAAGCCCTCCGAATCGCTCTGCTTCCCCCTCCTCGGCAATGGCCCACGCGCCGTCACCTGCTCTGTCTCCTTCTTGCAGTTGCAGCTCGTCGTCGTCGTCGTTGATCTTTGGCTATATAGTATTCCCTCTTGCTGCTGCTGCTGCTGCACGGACGCAGGGAGGAGGAAGTGCTCGTGACTTGTTCATCAGGAGGGAGTACGGTAGTACAGTAGTACAGTTCTTAGTCGCTGATCGATCGAGGTCATCGTCGTCGCCATCCATGGCGTGGAGGAGCGGGTTCGGGGAGGAGGATGCGGTGACCGCGGGGGAGAGTGGCCTCGAGCTCAGCCTTGGCCTCCCCGCCTACTTCTCCTCCTCCAAGCCCTCAGAGGGATCAACCGCTGCTCCTGCTTTTGCTCTCCAATACAATGGAACCACGGCCTCCAAGCCAAGGTTTGTTAATTTATTCAAGAGAAATGGAGGGGGAATCAAGCTAATTAAATATTGATGCTTAATTTGTGTGTGAATGCATGAGCAGGGAAGCAGCTGCGGCGCCGGTTGTGGGGTGGCCGCCGGTGCGGTCGTTCCGGCGGACGAGAGTGAGGTCGCCGCCCGCCTCGCTTTGCTTGCTCCGCTGCTCTCCTCGTCGCCCAACGCCGCGGGGCTGCTTCACCGCCGGCAGCGACACAACGTCGTCGACAGTATTCGCGACCGGCCACCGCCCTCGCCTTCTCCCGCGTCGCTGCCACCGCCTCCTCTCCCGCGTCGCCCCGGCGGCCTCCTCCCCAACAATGCCACCGCCCTCCTCTCTCTCGCCTCGCTCCGGCGGCCTCCTCCCCAGCAACGCCACCGCCCTCCTCTCTCCCGCCTCTCCTGTCGGCCTCTGCACCCACCGCTTTACCTCGCCCAAAGAGAGAGGAGGAGAAAGAGTGAGGGTGATGACGTGGATTACGCTGACATGTCGGGTCCACATGGGTCCCACGCTGACTCAGTGCCACGTAGGCTAAAACCGGGGTTAAAACCGCTGAGGGATGTTTTGTGACCGGTATTAGTTAAGGGATACAAGATATCTGGTTTTGCGGTTTGGGGACGATTTTGTATTTCGATGACAAGTTGAGGGACCTTGGGTGTACCTTTTCCTATGTGTTATAGCCGTTCACTGGTACTCCCTCCGTTCCATAAAGAAACGAATCTAAGACGGAGGTGATATATTCTAGTTCTACAAATTTGAACAGATTTATGTCTAGATTTATAGTACTATGATTTGTCACATCTAGTACTAGATTGGTTTTTATGAGACTGAGGGAGTATGGCTGAATTTTTTTATTTAAAATGAATAATATTTTTTATTATTGAAACAAAGTAGACATTCATTTCATTTTTTTTTAAAAAAATGTACTTATGTGGCCACAAATAACATGGCATGGCATGGAGGTGCTACACAATTTCAAATGGTTATAGAGCTTTATGTAATTATTTGAAATGGTGATAAAAGGTACAGCAACTTTTTATAAATATTTTTCTACCAAATATTTAACAATATACCATCGGATGATAAAATTTCTCACGAAGTGGAATAGTATTATTCTATCTTAAAATATAGCAACTTTTGACTATTAATCTAAACAAATTCTTGATCAGATTTATTTAATCTTGGTCCTAAAATGGAGGTGATAGTTAAAACCATACAATGTTTTGACATTTTGACATATGTTGGTTGAGCACATAACAGTACAAACTCTATTTAATACTACCTCCGTCTCAATATATAATATTTTTTTGCAATGAATCCGGACAAACATAGCTATGAATGCTTATGTTTTGGAGAGGGGAGTATAGTTGGCCATAAGGCCCAAGGCCCGACAGCCTGATCCAAGGCACGGGATTTTGGTCCGGCCCGGCCCAGGCACGGCATGGTCCGATCGCTATCGGGCCCGTGCCGGCACAGCTCGGCTATTGGGCCGTGCCTGGGCCTATGCCTCGGCACGGTGGGCTAGCCCGGTAGAGCACGAACTTCAGCGAGGTGAAGTAGGCTTATTTTCAACCATATGTAAGACAGGGCACAAAGAATAAGGAGGGCAAATAGACATATTATATGGCACGGCCCAAAGATTAGGGATGTAAAATAGACTTATTTTAGCTATATATATATATTCACAACTGTAGACCCTCGATTTTGGAAATCGGAAATCATCTGTGTTTATCCGTACCAATCCCTGGATCAGTAGTTGGTACACACATACATAGTTGAATCACAACATATCACGAATGAATTCAGGCTAAAAAAGTTAAATACTTACATTAGGGCCAGGTAGGCCAACAACTATCAGAGAACAACAGCGGAAGACAAAATAATATAAGGGTCCGGTTAACATGCCACAGGCAGTCGACTGGGGAACGAGACCTAGAACAAGACCGCACTCCGATCATCTTGTTGGATACGCAAGCGTACCGACAAGGGCTTCTCTTCAACACTCTCCTAAAAGATATATGAATAGCAAGGGTGAGTACCAACCGTACTCAGCAAGCCACCACAACAACAATGCATATGATAGAGGGTATTTCAAGGAATGGCTTCAGGTTCTTTTGCATAAAGCTAATTTTACAATTCTTTTCACAAGCCTAAAACCTAGCATAGACTGATCAAATTTTAGTACCAGTGTTCACTTTAAACAACGACGGTTCTGTCCACCATCTATTGTGATCCCAAGGATAGCTTCCCGCCATTGAATCGTCATGGTTTTCTGAGGATGTCCACCTTCCCTCCTCTCGGGAAGTGGCTCCATCAGCATAAAATTCATCATGCAATATCCCATCCCCCACAAGTTAAGAATTTAGAGTCTAGCCAAGTGTAATACATGTCCCGGTGCTCAATAACCGCGAGCACGGCTATTCGAATAGATTTGGTTTACTCACACTGCAGTGGATGTACACTTTACCCGCACTCCGCGACTGCCCAACACATGAGCCTCGTCCCAACACATGAGACGTGTCACGGCAAAGTTTTTCGATAACCTCGCATTGGCAGTACCCGCTCCATGAACTTAAATCCTCATGCACTCTAGGCGTACATGTTTCTAGCAGTGAGAGGAGTTCTGGCGCTCCCGGGAAAGAGAAGTCTCACACACATATTAAATTAGGGTTCAAGTTAAGTTCTCTCTCTCACACACTCATGGCAGTCCTACCAATGGCGACACCGATGTAGGGCACACCTCTCGGCCCTACCTCAACGGCTGTCCCACCGTAGCGCACCTGCCTCACTCAGGGGTGAACCATCTATGCAGGGAAACTGCCTCCGCTCGGCTATCTAATCCGCTAGGTCTATACCCATACGAGAAGTGCAGTTATACGGGGGTCGTTTCATGCTTAACTTCATGGCTCGGTCCTTAATTGACCGGGGACGGTACTAGCCTTTTCCAGATACCACCCAAATCCTCCGTATGCATCTATCTAAATAGGACGGTTATATACTAGAGGTTCTGTTGTTAGATGGATTTAGGATCAATCAAACAATTACAGTGAATTATTTGTATTATTATTTTATTGATGGAAGCTTTACTTTAATTATGAACATATTTTACTTGCCATTATAAATTATAAAAGGGCTAATAATTATCCATGCTCTATATGTTAAATTCGGGAAGTTTATAATATTATAGTTTCAGATTATCTCTTAATGAACAATCCGGAGTTACAATTGAACTATGAACATATGAGGTCAAGATTTATAATTAGTACTTATCTACTATTCATGTTTGTTATATACTCCCTAGTTTAATATATGAAAAAGATAAATTAATTGTATAACTATAATGGGATGTACAATATATGTGTGCAACAACGTATAAGGTTTTGGTCGCCTACTGTACAAGAGCTTATTTAGAAAGTGTACTACCCAATGCTCCAAGTGATTCCTGAATATATTGTAGTTTAATTATACATTAGCTAGTTTCTATGAGTAATATTGTATATGTGATGCGACAAGTTTAAACACTGGTTCTATTGGGTTACTAATAAGTGGTAATCAATTTAGGCATATATATGCTATTCTATATGGTATTGCATCGATTAATTTACTTAGTGATTCCTCCACATCTAGCTCTATTATTATTCTCCTAAACAGGTTAAAGATTCATCTATGTGTGTTTATATTTTAGTTACATAATCATAAGGCTACACTTGATTTAAATAACCTATAAGCCATGGATTTAATTATATGGCCATCGAATATTAAATAAGTACTAGTATTTTCCTATACATCCATTCATTTGAGACATCACATAAAATTAGTTTGTGTGGTTGTTACAGTGGCAAGACATGTTAGAGACAAATATTATTACATCTACTCTACTGTACAATACTAATTTTATTTATTAACATATTTTTAAGTTGACTATTATGCATCATCTTGATATTAATTATTTAATATTTATAAATATATTTTTATCAAATAGTGAATTATATATCATTGGAAAGCTTATGAATTTAGATGAATTTAGGTTCAAGTCTCACTCAAATCGGAGCTAAAATGAATAAGTTATGCTAGTGTAAAGATTCAAATTTGAATAAATCCGAGAAATTGTAAAAAGGCACTGTTCCTAATTCATTTATTTATAATACAACCTTATCCACAAGCTATAGTGACTGACAGGTGGGGCCCACTCTACCCTCTCTTCTCTTTTCTCCCTCTCCCTTTCTCTGTCTTCTCCTCTCTTTCTCACGGCCGAGCGGCGCGGCGCGGCTACCGGCAACGAAGGGAGGGGGCGGAAGGCTTACCGACGGCGGCGACGGTGGCGGCGGCGGTGGCGACGCACGGCGCGGCACACGGCGCGGCGCGGCGGTACTGAGGGCGGCGGCGCGGCGGCACGAGGGCGGCGGCGCGGTGGAGAGGAAAGAGGGGAGGAAGAGGGGAATAGGGAAATGGTGTGGGGTGGAAAGGGGGGTGGCCGGAGGGACTTTATAGGGCGCGGGGAGGGGGTGGCTGGCCCTAATGGCGACGCGACGGCGCGCACGGGGCTCGGGGCGGCGACGTGACGCGCGGCGGCACTGGGCTCAAGGCGCGGCGGCGGCTCCTGGCTTGGCGACGGTGCGCGGTCGGGCGGGGGCGCGGGGCGCGAGGCAGCAGGCACGCGGCACGGCGACGGGATGGCGGCGACGGGACGGTCATGCGGCGTTAGGCGGCGATGGCAACGGCGCGCGGCAGCAGGCGGCGACAGCGGCGACGCGACGGCGCGGCGCGGAGCTCGGCGTGGCGCGGCACGGGGCTCGGCGCGACGGCGACGGCGATGCGATGACGACGCGGTGCGGGGCGCGAGGCGGCGGAGCGACGGACGAGCGGCGCGTGGGCGCGGGGCGCGAGGCGACGAAGCGACGAACGAGCGGCGCGTGGGCGCGGGGCGCGAGGCGACGATGAGACGGACGAGCGGCGACGGGACGGCCGACGGCGACGGCGCGGCAGCGGCGACGCGACGGCGGGCGGCGTGGCGCGGGGCGCGAGGCAGCCAGGCGCGCGCGGCTGAGGAGGGGGAAAATAGGGCCAGGGACCACGTCGAGCACCTAGAGTGCAATGAACAGTGCCATTTTCTATTTAACCCGATTTTAGTTTATCCCTTGTATAAATTTCATTCTATAAATCTTAATTTTTACATAAATGAGGTTTACCCAATATATGTTTTAATTTAGATGTAAGTTTACCAAATTTTAATATTACCCATATTTTATTCTTATATATATATATATATATTTTTCTATTGTATTATTTAAATGAGGTCTAATTCTAAAATTAGCCTAGATAATTTTGGAGGCTTTGAGGGTTCTAAAATATCCTAGTGTGGCCCTTTTTATTACAATAGCACATTGAACGAACTTATAGCAATATATTTTACACGGATAGGTTGAATCTATTTATTCTATAAATAGTATATTAAGACTCGGTACAACATTAATCTAATTTTAAACACTCACATATTCTTGTTTATATATAAGGATTAATTTATTTATATGACCATTATTTTATATGAGTGATTTTCATGTCATGAGTAACTCGGCGACATGTTGCAAGTATCGATCTATATATTCCGGTGAATTACTTATTTATAAACACGATCACTATAGTGGTGATCATCATTTCATGTGTTCTTATATTTCATGTGAGATTGGATTCAAATGAATTGGATTTAATCTTACTATTTCTTTAGCTAATTGTGACATCAAGCTATCAATCATGGTTCGAATATCTAATACCTGATTTGTAATTTGTAATAGAAATTAATATTTGACTTTACTATCTTGTGCATAATTATTTGTAGGATTAAATATATTCTCATAAATTATATCTATTGCTTAAATATCGATCTTTTCTTTTCTTTCTTTGTGATCATTTACTGTTTGGCAAGCCATAGCAATCATAACAACCAGCATGATGCGAAAGTTTTAAAAAGTTTGAAATTTTAGTGATTTTTATTGTCAGGGATTTTCAGGATGTTACAACAACCCAAAGAGGAGGAAAGGGAAATAGATTTATTTTAAAAAAAATACGATGGGCTGCTCGTACCTTCGAGCCAGCCTGGCATGGCGCGATCCTTATTGGGTTATGCCTAGACCACAGATGGAGCACGTGGGCCAGCACAGCACGGCCCGGCGTATAGGTCAGGCCATGCCGACCCAACAAATCTTGGCCCGGGCACGACCGGGCCTGGACCTTGCCGTGCCGAGCGGCCCATACGGCCAACTACAGGGGGAGTATATACCTACTCAGTGCAGTCGGTCGAAAGATCTTGTTGACGTTTCCTCTAAAGTTCGTCGCGTCTTCTCTGTTCTTCTTCAGATGGCGAAAGCTCTCACCAAATGGCGACAATTCACAGTACTATAGCATTTTCAAATTGGGATAGTGAATGTAACGCTGCACGGCGCATCGTAGAAGTGTACTCGCCTTTTCAAAAGGCTATATGTTTCTGTCGCCCTTTCAAAAGAAAAAAAAATCCTTCTATCGCCATTTGTATTGGTAACAGAGGTAAAAAACCGATTGAACTACTGATGGGTGCGGATTTTTGTAAAAATATCATATGGAAGTTAACTCTTGTTTTAGTAATTAAAAATATATTCCAAAATGTTTTTTTAAAAAAATGGTATGGTTGTGGTACTAGTATCACATATTGAACAGCATGAAAATTTCCACAATGTTTCATTTATTTTTCTGTTTGGATGCATTCTCATGCCTATCTAATCATAATTTTCTGTTTCATATCAAAAATTATTCTGAAGAAAATATAGTCTATTCAATTTCAGCTATAAGTTTTCTGTTTTATCCAATAGGAAAAAAAAATAGATACATGTGAATAGACGATTCACCATAAATTAGATACAGGTGTGGAGAAGAACGTGACTAATAGTTGATGAAAAAACAATCAACATATAGACACACCCATAAACTTTACAGGCCAAGTTAGTTTGCTTCTCTTTTTTTTCTGTTCTTCCCTAGCGATGGTTGACTTGTTACTTCTCGATCATGGCCTCTTGTGTGGGTTTCTAGATGACAACGTTGAATATAGGCATTTGGATTAAATTACATGCATAGCGCACCGGTGAAAACTCTTACTAAAACTCCATTACCGGAGATGCAAAACCATAGCAGTCCTGCACTGCGGCTGCAGCTTAAGCTAGCTAGGGTTCTTCCTAAGCTATAGCTCACTGAACTCAAACCATGGGGAACTACTCACCCTCAAAACCAGTTGCCTTCCTCCTCCTCCTCCTCCTCTTCGGTTGCCTGCATTACGCTCAGGCGAACCCCGGCCATCGTCGTCCCAAGATCGACTCCGTCTTCAGCTTCGGCAACTCGTTCGCCGACACCGGCAACTTCGTCGAGCTGGCCGCGCCGCTGCTTCCCATCATGCCTTTCAACAACCTCCCCTACGGCGAGACCTTCTTCGGCCACCCCACCGGCCGTGCTACCAATGGCCGCATCATCATGGACTTCATCGGTACAACATACAAATGAACATACAGTAATTTCAGTTTGCTTTCAGTTCTGATTCAAATGAACATACAGTAATTTGCTCTATCCAACTTTGCAGCTGACGAGTTTCATGTGCCGTTCGTACCACCGTTTCTTGGCCAAGGTCGTCAGAACTTCACCCATGGCGCTAACTTCGCCGTCGTCGGTGCCAGCGCTCTTGATCTCGCCTTCTTCCTCAAGAACAACATCACCAACGTGCCCCCGTTGAACATCTCCCTGAGCGTGCAGCTGGAGTGGTTCCAGAAGCTCAAGCCAACCTTGTGCCAAACAGCCCAAGGTACGTATTTTTGTTGTCTTGATCACTCGATTCGATCCATTGCTGACCGGATTTAATTAATCTGAACTTTTTCCTTGCTCGTTCTTACACAGAATGCAGAGAGTACTTCAAGAGATCACTCTTCTTCATGGGAGAGTTTGGTGGCAACGACTACGTCTTCATCTTGGCCGCCGGAAAAACCCTCGAGGAACTTGTCCCCTACGTGCCAAAAGTCGTCCAAGCCATCTCTGCGGGCATCGAGGTCGTACACTCGTACATTTTGAACGATTTTACAATCCTTAAAAAAAATGAAACAATTTTCACAATTTACAGGCCGCCGTAAAATTTTCTCTTACAATTTACACAGAGCTAACACTTCCGCTGTCGCGTACGAATAATATTGTCATTCAGGCGGTGATAAAGGAAGGAGCGAGATACGTGGTGGTGCCGGGGGAGCTGCCCAACGGCTGCGTGCCCATCATCCTGACGCTGTACGCGAGCAAGAGCAGAGGCGACTACGACGCGCGCGGCTGCCTGAAGAAGCAGAACGCGCTCGCGCGCTACCACAACTCGGCGCTGTTCGAGGCGGTGTCGCGGCTGAGGCACAGGTACCCTTGGGTGAAGATCGTCTACGCCGACTACTACAAGCCGGTGATCGACTTCATCAAGAAACCGGCCAGATTCGGTGAGTCCGTTGGTTCAATGGTTAATTAATTCTTCCCCTTAATTGCACATGCGCTTTTAGAAATGCTATCTACTCAATTACTCACCATGATCATCACAGTCCTCACCATGAACAAGTTGCATTGTTTGACTTTGCACGTGTTAAAAGAAAACTAGCTAATGGATTTTTTCGCATAATTTTTACCAAGCTGCTTGATTTCAAAATTAAAGTGGAATGGATGTACAATTCACATCTTCTATTTTTACAGGTATATATTTGTATTAGTATATAATTTATTTTAAAAGTGAATTGGGTTTAATATACAACTCTTTTCTTCTATTTACACACTTCCAATTGTTTTTTTTTTGGATTATATGGTAGACGCATGACGCACATACAACACTATACTTACTCACCTGCGAATGAGTCCTATAACACACACACACTCAAAAGAGACCAAAACCAGTAGTATATATCCCTGATGTTACTAATTCATATTAAAAAATCCAATTACGTGTGCATAGACTTATTTTGGAGGGCGAAATCATACAACCACAATTCCACCAATACACGATTGATGCTTCTCCTACTTCCAGTTGTATTTTTATGATCATTATTTTTCTTGTTCTCTGGGTGTGTTTAGTTCCTGAAAAAAAGTTGGAAATTTGAGGAAAGTTGGGAGTTTGGAAAAAAAGTTAGAAATTTATGTGTGTAGAAAAGTTTTTATGTGATATGATGTGATGGAAAGTTAGAAGTTTGGGGTAGTTGAGAGTGAACTAAACACGGCCTCTATTAACGTGAGAATTTCATGAGTGGAAATATGGTTACTCTACACTGAACTAAGTTTTAAAAGTTGAATTGGATTTCATACTCATAGCTCTGGAAATATTGTGCAATGCTAGTTTTTAAAAGTAGAGGTGGACTTGATATATGTACAATCATTAACTTGTTTTTCCATAAATACAATTGTACTTGTATACACTATAATCGGTCTGAACCCACTATATGTACATCGATTGGTGTAAATGTTTCTCTTTTTCTTGGATCATTAATGTACTAATAAGGTCGTCTCTAGAGCAAACATTATGCTAAACTTTCTTCTGATAATAATTTAATAATATGATCGATACACAGACTAACTTGGCCATTTCAAGATCTAGCAATGCCTCTACAAATTGGAATAAGTAAAGTAGACACGTTGCCCATAGTAAACGCTTCGTGTACTATGTACGTAGACTATCCCCTAAACGGGGTTGAAGTCGTGAAGATAATGCCAATCGTTGAATTCACCCATTCTTAAACTCATCGTGGCAATAATCCAAAATTGACAACTACGGTCTCATCGTGATCGATCAGGACTTAATTGGACTTCTTTCGTAGCCGTCTAGCTCTCTTGTGATCGAACCAGCTATAGCATGTGCTACTCCATCTGTTTCATATTATAAGTCGTTTGACTTTTTATTTAGTTAAACTTTGTTAAATTTGATCAAGTTTATAGAAAAAATAGTTATATTAAATCTAATATTAAATATATTTTGATAATATATTTTTTCTGTGTTAAAAATAGTACTATATCTATATATATATATATATATATATAGTAAATTTGTTTGGTGCTCCATGGTGCCCGGGCACCATTGTTGAAATTGAGTATATACCCAATTCAAATGAGCATGAAACTTTTTCAATTATTTAGGTATTAATATTAACTACTTTACTAACTAGTTGAAAGCAAGTTTGAACTGAATTTGAACTTGTTTTTGTTAGATTTTGATTCTAGGTATATAGCATCCATACATATAATTAGTTAGGTATGTAATCATGGATTGTGAAATAAAGTTAAATTTGAGTTGTTTTGTTGATAGGTATAGGTATGAATCGAATTCTTATAACTAGGTATATACTCACAATTTGAAAATTTTAAAAAATTTGAGTGATTTTGTGCATTTGAAACCATGGTGCCCGAGCACCATGGTGCCCCATATGAGTGTCCTATATATATATATATATATATATATATATATATATATATATATATATATATATATACCTAATAAAAAAATACGTAAGGATTCCCGTATTTCTTCGTCCGTCATCCCACACACGCGCCACTAAAATCTGTTTTAATCCGAGTTGGGTCGGTCCGTTTTTATTGTATTTGCAAAACCGCAGTTGATATAGTATATGTATCTTCCATGTAATCGTATAACACAAGTGGTAATTTGCCTGCTTGGTTTATGTGGAAAATCTTCAATCTGGCCACTAGGGTTCGACTCCCACCTTTCCTCTCATTTTACACACACCTATTATTACTTGCTCTGCATGCGGTCTCTCCTGTAATAAGTCTATCCCTCGTGTACTGTGCCTATAGGACCTCCTTGCCTAACGGGTCGGGCCGACGCACGTTGTTTTGGCCCTTATTCTTTTTTCCCTTATTTTTTCACCCAAAAATCATTAAATGTTTACATAAAAAAAATTTAATCACTTTGAACCATTATTTTAAGATATAAAATTGCTGTAAATTTTGCATGTGCGTTTTAATTTATTTCTAACTAAATGGAACCCACGTGAAGAAAAAAAAAAGTAAGTCTTCGGGTAAAGTTTTTTTCATCGTTCATCACACGCGGAATCACCTTCTTATATTTCGGCAATAATTTGTTTTTTTATAACGAGGGTTTGTTCAGATTGTAGCCAAAATAAACCTTACTAAATTTTGGCATGATATTTTATGTATTTATTAGAGTATGATAAAAAACTAAATGGATACACATATTTGGTAACTTTACTAAAATTTGATAAGGTTTATTTAAGATACAATCTGAACAGGCCCTGACATCAGTTTCCTAATATGCAAAAGCGATATAAAATTTCAAGATTTGGAAGGCATGTACAAATTTGAAATTTTGTACACATGTATCATACAAGTACACAAGCAATATTAGCAATCCATATTTGTTTGATATTCACCCGTTGCAACGCACGGGCATATTTACTATTTATTGTATAAATTTGATCAAATTCAAAGAAATTTGGTTAGAAAAAAGTTAAACGAGATATAATATGAAATTGATGGAGTAATACCCAGGGGCCTGATCGGTTACTGACGCTGCAGGATTCAACGGCTCGTCGACGCTACGCGCGTGCTGCGGCGCCGGCGGCGGGCCGTACAACTACGACGCGACGGCGGCGTGCGGGCTCCCCGGCGCGGCAGCGTGCCCGGACCCGGCGGCGTTCATCAGCTGGGACGGCATCCACCTCACGGAGGCGGCCTACGCCCGCATCTCCGCCGGCTGGCTGCACGGCCCGTACGCGCATCCGCCCATCCTCTCGGCCTTGCGCCATTAGGGCCGTAGCGTAGCACCGTGGCCCATTACTGTTCATGTTTTAGGCTGATTTGTTCTATGTAATCATTTTTTGCCCTGTTTGTGCCTTAGGGCCGACTTATTTTTGTGTAACCTGGGTTTAAGTGTAATTTGATAATTTCGGCCCATCTTTGTGAGCTGGTTGGGCCGTTTCTTCGTAATAAAATCTGAGCCCATATGCCCCATGGTTGCTCTCTGGTACGTGTTATGAAAATAGACGCACAACGGAAACACGAATTTTACGTGGAAAACCCTTGCGGGAAAAAAACCACGGACGCCGACCGGCAATGATCACTATAGAAGAGTTGATTACAAACGTAGCGAGATCAAAATGGGAACGTCACCCCTTCCCGTACGGCTTACAAGAGTATATATAGGAGACAAAAGAAAGACACCTAATCAAATAGACATGGAGTCCTACTAGGAAACTAATCCGAATATACTGTGGAGTCCTACTCACAAAATTCGGATCACATATTTGACAGTACGGATGTGTTCTCGGTTTTTAAGAAATTGGACATTCTGCCACGGTTAAAAGAGGGTTTTGCTTAAATGCTATTCCGCGGGTTGGATTTATTAAAAAGCCACAACCAACCAACGTCAAACCGCTACTTTGCCATATTCACCATTTCATAGGATTTCCACCATTTTTTTTACTTTGCTTGATCAAAATACCCCTTCGATCGGTGAAAAAAGACGAGATGGACACCGCCTAGTGGGTACCAGTGACAACCGCGGGGAGGAGGGAGGAGGAGGATGGGTTGGATGTGGAAGGGTTGCGCAAGTTTGTCAACGTTGTTTGATGAAAACAAAACAACGAACACATAGAAAATAGGGGAACTCTGTATTTTATTAATCATGATTTATTAACATGAATGTTTACAAATACATGAGGGCTTTCGCAGGAGTTCGCCTTTTGTCTTCGCGAGGAATACTTAATGGAAAGGTATGCTGACTGGAGATTGCGTGTAGTCCGCTGATTCTCGGCGCCTAGCAATGAGGGTTAATTACATCCATAGGACGAGCCTATGGAACACCTTCGATTAAGCTGCGCTTGTGATCGTCGTCTTCAAAATTGATTGCTCGACGAAGGTTGAGGTTGGTGCAGAGATTTAATGATAACTGTGATATAGGTGGCTTTGTTTTGCTGAAACCTGGTCACAATATATTATCACCATGTCCATACATGAGTCAGGTATCATAATAAAGGGGATGACTTTTGCCTCGTCGGTGCCCAGTCATATATGCCGGCCTTTATTAGATGTGGATATATCGTTACTTTTGCCTCGTCGGAACCTAGTAACATGTATCCGTTCCTATCTTTTTAGACATGTTAATAATATCGTGACACCGGCCTCGTAAATACTCGGCCATAATTTTTATCTTCCAAAGATCACGAATAGCTCCCATGCGTGTGCATGGTAGTAAAATATATTTTGTAAAACACCGCTTAGATTGTCCAATCACCAATGAAAGTTGGACATATCTAGCGCCGTTGTTATCGGTATCATAGTAACAAATAGATGATCCAATTTCCAATGTGGGTCGGACATCTAGTTTTGAGCATAGAAAATATCAAATAGTATTCGGATAATCCGATCGCCAATGAGGACCGGACCAGCCTTATACCATTGATTGTATAAATGGAGTTTGATGATAACCGTGTTTCGGCTCTCATCGATCTGGCTTTAATCATCAAGATCAAGATAGATTAAAAACACGTAGATGTTTCGATCGCCAATAAGGACTGAACATCTATTGTGTTTAATCTAGAAAATTAATTTTTTTTTCAATTTGCTCACCATCCAGCGCAAATATCCCGAATGATGGCATGTTGTCGATAAATTACTCGACTTGACGAAGGACGCCGGCTGCGGTGTTTAATTCTCTCCGCAGCGGCGCCGGTTTGCTATCATAATAGCCATCGTTTTTTTTTCTTTGCTTATTAATTTTCCATGCATGTTATTTATTGGTAGCAGCAAAAATTAACAGAGATCGACTGGGAAGAGTAGTCGATCGAGTTCCTTTGCTACTGATCAAGACAAGAAAATGCAGAAGGCTAGTGATCATGCTGATCATGCCAGCGCGTGTAACCCCACTTATACTTGGTAGGAGATCCCAGATGATCCACCATTGTCTGGCCATGATAGTGATGAAGGCGTAAGAAAATTGCCCGGCAAGAGAAGGGCCATGGCATGCGAAAAATCTCACGGCGAAAAGATCATTATAAGAAAAAGGGACAGACTGGATGGAGTTTCTCGACAAAGCAGTGGACCCCAAAGCCACTAGGAAAGATTGTAATGGGGATAATTCTGTCGTACGGGCAGGAGGAACCACTCTGCAAGATACAACTGATTTATTTTATTTTATACTTCTCTTTGTACATTCATTTTTTTTCCTTTTTGTATGTAATCAATTTCACACACTGCCCTTCTTCTCATGTGCTCCAGCAAGGTTTCAACAATTGTCCAGTGAATCCAAGAAGTTGTCTATGAATGTTGAGCATATAATCGCCCAAGTTTCACAGGCGGTGAACATGAACATGGCCCAGAGGAAAACTCCCTGCTCAAAGAATTTGATGGGAACAACCCCGTGACCCTGCCGAAACTTTCAGATGTTGTTTCGGCCCGTGGTCTTAAACATGGTTGGTCTGAGATCAAAGCGTTTCAAGAATTACTCAAGCAATGCCCAGTACAAAAGGATGTTGTACTTAAAGAGATAAGCATCAATCTGGATTTGTGGAGTAACTTCTTCTCAAAGCCACCTCCTGAAATGATCACTGGGCGTGCCATTTTGTTTGATGAAAACAAAACAACGAACACACAGAAAATAGGGGAACCCTGTATTTTATTAATTATGATTCATTAACATGAATGTTTACAAATACATGAGGACTCCCGCAGGAGTTCGCCTTTTGCCTTCGCGAGGAATGCTTAATAGAAAGATATGCTGACTGGAGATTGCGTGCAGTCCGCTAATTCCCGGCGCCTAGCAATGAGGCGGCCGGTTAATTACATCCATAGGACGAGCCTATGGAATACCTCCGATTAAGCTGCGCTTCGTGATCGTCGTCTTCAAAATTATTTGCTCGCCGAAGGTTGAGGTTGGTGCAGTTTTAATGTTGAATATAGTGAATGTGGAATGGGTAGCTTTGTTTCGCCAAAATCCGGTCACAGTACACTACCACTACGTCGGTATGCGGAGAGAATTTGGTGAAGCAGGTGACCTTTGCCTCGTCGGTGCCCAGTCATGTACCCTGGTCTTCATCAAACATGGATTTTGTAGTTGCTTTTGCCTCGTCGGTGCCCAACAACGGTGCGTCCGGTTCCCGTCTATTTTAGACGTGTTAATAGTATAGTGACCTGGCCTTGTCGGCACTCGGCCATGGTTTCGTCTAGCCTCGTCGGTCATAGACAAATGAAATGAATGAACAGCTGTAGCCTTGTTAACTTTAGCCAATACGTCGTCCGGTCTCGTCGGTCTCAGACATAGCATAAATAATGATAAATCGGCCATTTTATCTCGTCGACACTCGGCCAAGATGTCGACGTGTGTTTTAAATCTGCACACCTCGCCCTCATGGCTAGCGTTATTTTATTTAGCGAATAATGCTTGTCTTCAGGAATTGTGAGAATTGCTCCCGTCCATCCGGTAGAATTTGGAGAGGGAAGGAATTGCTCCCGTACATGACATGCACGAGGCAATATGTGACTCATTCGGCATGAATATAAATATGTATAAATCATGGTTGGTCTGATGCCAATAAGACTCAAACTCATCCCAAGTTTATATAAATAAATATCCACATCCAATATTTGATATTGATAATTTAGACGGTCTAACCCTCACGAAGGTCAGGCTCGCCTTGTATATATTTGTAGCTCATATTAATCGCTTGACAAAGATGGCGTGTGCGTGTGCATGCGCCGCTGGGGATACTTATATCCATGGCTACAAGTTCATAACACGTCCACGACATATTCGTTAGTGCTCCACTTTACTATTTTACCGGTCGAGCTGCGCAACTGCACAACACTACGGTGTATATTTGCTCCCTCTAGGAGATAATGCCGGGCTATGCATAATATCTGCACAGCACTACAGCGTTGTTGTGTTATCTTGGATAAGCAGCTTGACGGAGAACGAGATCGGCTTCTTGTTGAGGACTCGCCGATAGAGATGCCATCAGCACTAGCGACTACAGATCGTTGATCCGCGATCCGCACCGTGCGCTATGGGCGTGCATCTTCTTTCTGATCTCTCTCTCTGAATATACGTGGGTGCGTGTGTGAACCTCTCTAGGGCATATAGCTGCTTAATGGCGCAGCACTTGTGCTGTGTGTTCCTCTTCTTCCCCCCGTCACGAGAGACGGAGTCGGTGCCTTTTATAGGCAGAGCTAACGATGGATGGATCAGGCTGAGACTCTCAACCGCGTCCGAATACAGCGGCTGATCACGCGTTAATTCCTTGGATAAGAAAACAAACATGCGGGTTAATTCGCTAATCCGCCGATCTGCTCGAGAAGTCGAGATAAAGTCATGGCTACTGCCAATTAAATGATCCTGGGATTAACGGTGCTAATGACAGTGGGCCCATGTGTTTAATCGCCATCGCCAAACTCCAAATTAGAGATAATGACTGCGTGCTCACGTACCAAACTAAAGCAAATAACGATAGCACTTGCTTATTTCTTTTCTTTCCGTAGATGGATTTAAAATCTGCTTGAACCATTATTTTCTATTTGAAATATACAACAAACGAAGTCCAATATTGATTATATTCGGACATCATGTGATATTTGAATTTTCCGGACCCACACGTCATAGAGACACGCCTATCATGTATTCAGTAAAATTGGGCTGCAAATAATATTCTCATATAAAATTAAGTACCCAATAATTTATTATTTCTTCTATGAATTTTTAGCACAAAAATTCATCAAACAGACGTAAAAGGGGGTTTCTCGAGCTTGACTTCGGCGGGGATGGCATCGGCCATCGTAGCGGCGGTGGGGGAGAGCTCGAGTTGCTCGCCGCCGGCAGGCCGCCGCCGCCGAGGCGCTGACCGCGGGGTGGAGGACGGGTTGGATGCAATGGGGTCACGCCAGTTGTGGCCGTAGAAGGGGCTCCTTGAGCTCGGCTTCGGCGGGAGTGACACGGCGTCAGCAGCAACGACATCGGCTGCCACGGCAGGCACGTGAGAGCTCGGGTTGCTCGCCACCCAGCGGGCTGTCGACGGCGACCGTGGGGAGAAGGGAGGAGGACAGGTTAGACTTGGCGGGGTTGTGCCAGTTATCGCCATAGAAGGGGCTCCCCGAGCTCGGCTTCGGCGAGAGCGGTGCAGCATTGGCCGCTGTGGCGGGGACGGGGGAGAGCTTAGGTTGCTCGGGTTTCTGGGAGAGCTTGGGTCTTCAGCCGTCTCCTTCGATGATGGCAACAAATTCATGTGGACAACGTGCTTCGACCATGTGGGCGGGAGGTGGAAACGGCGAAGGAGCGGCCGACGGCGATCGAATGGGTATTTTGTTTAGGCTAAGTGTGAAAAATGATAGAAATCATGTGATATGGCGAATATAGTAAAGCGGCGGTTTGGCATAGGCTTTTTAACGAATTAAATCCGCAGAGTGACATTAGAGTGAAACCCTCTTTCAGCAATGGCAGAATGTATAATTTCTAGTTCTTGTGTCACATGTAAACAGCATGAAATTTTCCATATCAGCGACCTTTCTCTTGTCTTGTTCAAATTAAAAAATGCTGGAAGAGAATTCCATAGACTTCTAAAGGAAGCCCAAGCATGAATATTGCCACCAAAACAAAGTATTAAGTTAGACCAGATAACTGCCAAAACAATCTGTTTATCTTTATAACCACATGAGAACAATTAATTCTTTCTTATCCTTCTTTGCCAACCAATTACAGCATCTTTAATTCACCCCCATTTCTGAGAGAGAATCAGGCATTTCTTCTGTCACTTTGGTAACAATAATCTTCTGTTTCTTTTTTTTCGAGAAAAATTCTTTCCATATAGACCTATATAAAATCAATCTGTATCTATAATTCTTTTTTCCTGTTGATTAATTATTTCCACTATATCCTATCTCAATCATATCACCGGCCGTGATGACAGCAGGTCAGCAGCCGGCCATCAGTGCTGGCCGGTGAGCGCGGCGTAGAAGAGGACGTTCCAGGTATCCGGGAGGCCGGCGACGCACCAGTGGGTGCAGTCGTCGCCGAAGATGCCGCCGTTGTACTTGGTCGGGTGCGCGTCCTTCCTCAGCTGCGACAGGTAGGTGAAGTCCAGCAGGTACACCGGCTTCGCCATGCCGGCGAGGGCGCTCCTCAGCACCGCCTGCTGCGGGATCGGCCCCCCGGGGTACGCCGTGCCGTTCACCGGCCGCGTCTGCCCCATGCACGTCGCACTCGCCGTGTCGCCCCAATCTTGGCCCCTGCATTGCAGCAATTTACAGGGTGGTTAGATCCAGGGGTATAAAGTTTTTAGCTTGCACTAATAAAAAAAACTAATTACAGTTAAAACCGTGAGACAAATTTATTAAGCCTAATTAATCTATCATTAGCAAATGTTTATTTTAGCACCAAATTATCAAATCATGAAGCAATTAGGCTTAAAAATTTATCTCATAAATTAGTCGCAAAATGTGCAATTAATTATTGTTTTAAGCATATATTTAATAATTCATGTAAATGTTCGAACGTTTGATGTGACAGGGTAAAAAGTTTTAGAGTTGGATCTAAACAAGGTCTTAGCTAGGAGTATGTTACTACTGCATGACAATTTGTCGCAGAGTTCATTGCAGAATCAGATGTTTAACCTGTAGTGAGAGGGGGAGATGCCCTGGAAGAAGACTCTGGTGTTGGTCTGGAGGAGGTTGGCGTCGACCCATCTAGCCCAGGTGTTGAGCGCCTTGCTGAACGCCTCCGTCCTGTCCATGTCCTTCACCACCGTGTTGCCCTCCTGGATGTAGTCCCATCTGCAGCAAATTCAGCAATTTTCAGTATGTCACAAAGCGAACCAAACCTGCAGAATTTGAAGATTGAGGAGGAGGTCTCACGGTTGGGTCGGGCCGGAGCGCGGCCACCAGTGCCAGGAATCGAAGACGAGCACGTCGGCGCTGAGCCAGTTGCGTGCCTGGTCGATGGCGTCCAGCTTGAGTACTCGCCCGGCCTTCTCGTTGACAATGTCCACCAGGTAGTGCGTCAGGTAGTACACGATCGTCACGTTGAACTCCTGCATATCCCAGAGTCAGATACTCAGATACCCTGGCTGTTCAGCCGCCAACCCATCTGGCACAACAATGTGTGCGCAGCAACAGAACGCCTCACAGCCACAGCCAGCCAGGACATCGTACATTCGTACTAGTGTATTACTACACATTCTAAGGCTTTGGACGATGTCAGTTGTCACGCTACTTGTGTCCGTCTCGCCATTGAAGAGTGACCTACCAAAACAGTGCTAAAAACGGCAGCGCAACCACCGAAAATGCACGCGCGGTCGCGGGCGCGTCGGCGAGCGTACGTACGTGTCTGCGCGAAATAACGCCCAAGAGCTGGACGCCAGCAAAAAGGGCCAAGAAGGGACACTGGCTGATCAATATTTTCAGGACCTCACGGCCTGACACGGACACATGAAACGCACACAGGGGCAAGTTTAACGAGGAGATCGGAGGCAGAGCCCCCAACCAAACGGAACAGTCAGTGGCAATGTTAGTACTAGTTTTACTTTTTGCCGTGCAGATTTTGTGCACACCTACCACGAACATCGCCACGCGAGATCTGTCGTGATAGATACATCAAACAACACCAGCGCCACCACCAGCAACAGCAAGCATGCACACAGCGAGGCAGCAAATCGTCCAGGCCAGCTCACTTTGTGTCAGCTCTTGTGTTTGTGCTAGACTGCTCTGTCTGTCCGCTCTCTACCTTGTTTTTTCTCCAAGAGGAAACGGAAAACAAGAAAGAAACGCCAACGCGGGGCAGTCAAAATCGCCAGAGAGAAAACCGCAGAATTTGATGTGCGCGGCGCGGTGCGAGACCTCGCGGCGACCGCAAGAGACCCAATTAAACTTTGGCCTTTATTTCCATTGACTTCCGCATCCCGCGCGCCGCGACGGACAATGCCAGCGCAGCCGTTGTCCGTATCAATCACCCCGCCATGCCCGTGCCCGCCGCCCCGGTGGCGCGCACGCGCGGCGCCTCTCCGGCCACACTCCCCGCCATCCAATTCTCCTCACCGCGACGAGCAAAGCCATGGTCATGTCGCGACGCGAGCGGCTCACGTCGCACTAAGCAGCTGGTGGTGGTGGTGGTGGTCACTGGCTCACTGCTCATCATGGTGAGGCGGCCCCAGGGCTCCAACCGCCATAGCCGTCGGTTTCGTGAAGAAGGGAAGGGACTAGCTAGGGAGGGGAGGGGAGGTGTACCTCGAAGCGGGCGGTGGTGAGGGGATCGACCTTCCCCGACGCCGGCGTGACGGTGGTCCGGGCGTTGGGCGCGGCGGCGTGCAGCATGCACAGCAGCGACTCGTACTGGTTCAGCGCCAGCGAGTCCCCCACGAACATCACCTTCTTCCCGCTCCACATCCTCAGCAACGCCACCCCGTCGAACCTGCACCCAAATTTCCGGCGAGAATTCTCACAAACACGCGGAGATATACAGCTAACACAGGTGAGTCGCCGCCGCCACCATTACCGACCTGGGCGTGGAGCACGGCGGGCTGGGCTGCCACCGGTACTTGAGGTACTCCTTGTCGGGGCGGCCGTACCGGCGGCAGTCGAACTCGGCGCGGATGAAGGGGCAGGTCGCCGAGTCGTAGAGCGGGTACGACTCGTCCACCACCCAGCTCCCCGCCGCGAACACGTCGCACGCCGCCTTCGCCGCCGCCCCGGACGCCGGCCTGTGCTGGTGCTTCCTCGATATGGTAATCGCCGCCGCCGCCGCCGCGGCGGTGCACGCCACCAGGAACACGACCAGCACCGCCGCGAACACCGCCGCCCGGCCCCTCATCCTCCTACCAGTACAACACAATCGACAACAATGGAGAGGTGAGCGAGCGCGAGGAGGAAGAAGAAGAAGAAGCTGCCAAGAAATGGCCGGTTCTTGTGAGCGCGGAGTCGCGGGAAGTGTGACGAGGTGGGAGGCGGAATGTGACAATATATGTAGGGTGGCTTGATACGCTTTCTTTATGGTAGGAGGGTTTTCCATCCATGGCTGCACAAGGGTGACCACCACATGTGCATGGATTTGCTAGGGTCCAAAGGGAGGAATCACTGGAAGAAGCAGAGTAAATGGTAGGGATTTCATCCATTGATGACTGCTGATTTCGCTCACTGACTGGTTTATTATGCGCGTGATTTCACTCACTGATTGGCAGTAAAAAACGGCCAAACCTTCTGAGAATTGCAGGGAATCCGGATGGGATCAGCCGCCTGATGAGCCCCATGCTTATGAACAATGGATTCTTCCTCCAGCTAGTCCACTGCTGCTGATGTAGTAGTACAAGTGTAGAATTGAGTATTGATTAGAGTAGTGTTGCTGCTGCTTATTATTGAGTGAGTGGAAGAAGTGTTGTCTGATACTGCTACTGATGGAGAACACTGAATTCCAGCTCTGTTTCATGTCACTTTAGAAGTTGACATGTTGGGTTTCAGGATATGTTTTTTTTTTGGGTCATGTATGGGAATATGTATGTGCGAATTGCACTTGATGTGGAAAATGAATTCCTGAAATTGTATTCCCCTGGATCATGCTGTTAATTTTTGTATTATCCACCCAAAGCACAACATAAGATTCTAGCGCCTTTTTTAGGTTCCATGCATGGCACCACTAAATTCATTGTTGTCAATAATTTCATTATCTTAATTGATTTCCTTTTAATGAAAGACAGCTGGTAGTGGGAGGAGAGAGGGATATATCTGCATCAATTCAGCAATCCTAATCCTGATCCTTACCTTGGCTAACTGGCTTTACTGCCATTGACAAAGACCCAAGAGCAAAGTAAAGATACCATCATCAGAATTCGTAATGGAATGGTATAACTGCACGTATAGGGCGGGGCAAAATCTTAGACCACCCAATACAATCATCCTCTCCATCAAGTTATTCCAAGTTCGTTTTTCCTATTATCCCCACTATGCTGTTCGTGCGTGCTATGCTAAATCATTCGTTGCCTTTCTCTGACTGAAATGTAAGATTCTTTCTTCCAGGGACAAAACAAGATTATACTATCTGCTTCACTAGAAAGAACTCGCCTTTCTTTCACTTCTGCCATCTTTTCTCCATCCCAGTTTCTACTGTAGCACACTAGTGTAGTACTGTCCCACTGCTAGCTTCAAGATGCAATCTTGTGCTGCCCATTGGCTAGATCAGAGAAAAGAAAGCATGTTGGGCAGAAAAAAGAAAAGGGCTAAATGACAGCACAGCAGAATCAGCTTTAGTATAGTACAGAGCCCTAGATTGAGATCCTCTCATACAGACCAACATCTTGTGAGTGAGAAACGTGCTGTAGGAGGAATCACAGATGAACCACATCTGTGTTCTCTCTCGCGATCCAATGCAGAACCAAACAGTATCGCCTCCAACCACATGTCTGTAACATGGAGTAGCTCACAGTTTTGTACTTTGCGAAATCAAGGTCAATTCACTGGAGCATGTACTTGAAGAGTAACTACAGCAACTGTCCGAATTAATTACCAGTTGAGGAATATAACTGATTGCAGAAAAAAGGTCTAGTTGTGCAGAGAGAATAACCCCCACTGACATTGTTATTATAGGTTCAGAAGCTGCATGCTAACTAACGCCGAAAACTTGCATCACAAGTGTTACTAAAGGATCCTTTCCAGTTTCCATTAACTTAGCTTTGGGGTCTACAGGCAGTTAGGATTAGAAGCTTTTAGAATCGTTATGTCCTGCTTGCCTCAATTAGTGGCTGTCATATGTAATGCAGTAACGATTACGGTACGTGACTTCAGAAATAAAAACCGGTGAAACGGAACAACGAAAAGGTGACAATGACAGGGCAAATTCTTCTCCCCAGAAATGACATTTGTGACATGATATTCAGAGTTTCAGGCGAAACAAAATTCATATGAGAAAGAAGCAGATGTGTACAAATTAGCACTGTGGCATATGGCTTGATTCCGTCGGACAGGACAGCAAGAGTTGGCACTTCTTGCCATGCTTGCCTGTTTTTTTCTTACTTTGACAAGGATTTGGTTATGAGAACGCTGTTTAATTAACCAGATTAGATGGTGAGATTGGATCAATGATTAGGGCTGCAGTGCAAGCAAGTGAACGAAGTGGCTGCTGGGCTATTTCTGATGCTTGGGGCCACATACTGTTAGTAGTAGTATATGCTTGCAGACGCACGGGCTAACTAACTACCTTAGCTCCCTTCCAATGTACTTGTCTTCCTGACCGGGAAAGAGGTGGCTGGACGCTTCAACCACATACCAATCATGCCAGCTTACGGACCAGCGAAACAGTGTCTTGATTAATGGCAACCACCTTCTGCTCTGTAAACATGCCTCAGCCTCGTTTAATGCAGAAGTTCCACAGAAAATTTGCAGAAATTTCAGTAGAACATGGCTTATAAATTATACGGAGCACTAACCTGTTTGGAACATAGAAAAAAGGTACCCGATTATTGTGAAAAAACTAAGCTGTCCATGAAATTCATTCGCTTGATCAAACAGTGCTTTAATTCCAGCAGCGATAAAGAATTTTCCCCCCTTTCAAAACTGAGGCTTTCAAAATCTACGCTAGTGGACGAAGGTTTTGGTGCGTTTTGGGTCCGTGAACCCACAGTAAAAGACTAGAGATGAATCGATGATGTCCTACTAAATTCGACGCAGATTAGAGCAGTCAGCTTCAGCTAAAGCAGCGTCCCAGACGCGAAGCGAAGTGGACGTGCTCGCCCATAACCGGTGACCTCAGTTTGATATCGTGTTGAAACCGCTCTTCTTTCACGGGCGATTGCCTGATCCGATCGATAATTCCAACGTCGCCGTCGTCATCATTTGTCAATCAGTGACAGTCACGAGAGCCAGTAATGGCGTCTCGTCCGACGACGACGAGCTCGCGCCACCGACGCCACCTCACCCGAAGCCGGCCGGAGTGGTCCGGCCCAGTATGGTAATGGGCCTTCATGGGCCGTACTAGCCGCAAAGCGACAGTGGGTGAAAGGAAAAAGTACACCGAAGGTCCCTCAACTTGTCATCGAGATACAAAATCGTCCCTTAACCGCAAAACCAGATATCCGGCGTCCTCTAACTTACAAAACCAGTGCAAACTAGGTCCCTCAGCAGTTTTGACTCCGGTTTTATTCGATGTGGCAGCTGACTCAGCGTGGGACCCACGCGTCAGCCTCTTCTTACGCTCCCCTCTCCATCTCTCTTCCTCTCTCCTCTCTCCTCTCTTCTTCACAGGCGCGGGTGGGGGAGCAGCTGCACGGGCAGCAGCCGGCGGGCGCAGGTGGTGGGGGAAGGAGCCGTGTGTTTGCGGCTAGAGGAGCGGCGCGTGAGAGGGCGCAGGCGGCGGGGAGCAGCTTCATGGGCGACGACACCGACTGCGGAGGCGGCGGCGGCAGCCGCCTCGTGGCCGTAATCCTCGTGGCGGCGCCATGTCTCTGATGAGGCCGCGCTCCTCCAACGCAAGCTCGACGCCGGTGGCGGCGAAGAAGGAGAAGACGGCGACGAGGTGGTGCTCGCAATCCGCCCAAGAGAAGGTCGTCGTCGTTCGCGTGCAAGGTGTCAGGTTTATCGTGGTCGCTGGTGGGCACGAATAATTTGGTACTTCTGCAATGTTTGACGGCAAAATTAGCCCCTTGCACATGCGCTATCAACCATTTTATCGTTTCACTGATTGATGACGACTCCAAGTTGGCAAGTTCCAGACTTCCATTGCTGCTAGACCTGTGGACGACGAGCACTAGGCGCATCTTGTTGTTTATCCTTTTTCTGAACCTCACAATGAGCAATGCTGCTGAAATTCAGCTGCAGATTACAGGTCTCTGTCTCGGTCATGAACTGCCAAATCGATCACGGTTTAGAATGAGATATGGTGTGAGATCGATCAAAACTAGTCCAGTCTTTATACTGATGAGACGGATGATTCGTATGTGCAGGTGTTCGAGGCCAAGAAGACGTGGTAGCAGAGTCTGACAAGGGCACGTCTCGAGCAGATGCAACTGCGGCGGCCGCGGCGGCGCCGCCGCCTGTGTCCAGCAAGCGGCTGCGGTGGTGGGCGGTGGTCCTTGCCAACATTGTGTTCGTCCTCGGCGGGCAGAGCGTGGGATGCTTCTCGGCCGGATATACTACGATCAGGGGCGGCGACAGCTTGTGGCTGGCGACGGTGGTGCAGTCCTGCGGAGCGCCTCTCACCGTCCTGCTGCTGCTGCTGCTCTACTTCCAAATGGGCTCACCGGCCCCTCCCTTGATCGAGCCCAGCGAGCGGTGGTGGCGGCAGAGCTCGGCTGGGGCCGGGCTCGACGGCCGCCTCTCCCCATCTGCCGCCGGCTCTGTCGAGAAGAGAGGAGAAGAGAAGAAATAAAAAGAAAAGAGAAAAAAAAGAAATAAGACGAGAATGATGATGTGGCGTCCTGACATGTGGGGCCCACGTGGGTCCCACGCCAACTCAGCCGCCACATCAGACAAAACCAGGGTCAAAACTACCGAGGGATCTGAAGTGAACGGTTTTGTAGATTGAAGGATGTCATATATCTGGTATTGTGGTTCGGGGACAATTTTGTAACTCGACTATAAGTTGAGGGACCTTTGGTGTACTTTTTCCTGGGTGAAACAATCAAGGAATAAGTCTATTATACCTCCCTCCACTCTTGCTCATGGATAAATCGTATTCCTCAACCGTAAAACCGGATGTAATGTGTCTCTCATCTTCAAAAACCAGTGCAAATAACCTCCTTTGGTGGTTTGGAAGGTGATTTCGTCTGACGTGGTTGCTTTGACTCCGTTGATTGGTTGAGTCAGCTGGTGGGACCCATATGTCAATGACTAGTAATTAGGTCAAACCACCAAAGGAGGCTGTCTGCACGGGTTTTCAAAAATGGAAGAGGTTTTATACCTAGTTTTACGGTTGAAGGATGCGATTCATCTGGGAGCAAGATATTTGAGGTAATTAAAATAGACTTATTCCAATAATTAACTAAGGCCCATCTATGGACGAGGCCAGAAAATCTCGGCCCATATAACATTATAGTGGGCTCGATGTCGGGACGGAGGAAGAAGAAGATGACGAGGAGGACGGCGGCGATGGCGGTGGCGGTTACACGGTGGGGTAGAAGGGCGAGACGGCGACGCCGCAGGTGCCGTGCGGCGAGGCGACGTCCTTCTCGAGGAGGATGTATCCCTTCTCGCCCCACGTCTTGCCCCACGAGTTCTTGGCCACCCAGTACTTCTTCCCCGACGCGCCGTCCTGGCAGTAGCCGACCAGCGTCACGGCGTGGTTGGTCGTGGGCGCCGCCGCGGCCGCGCCGCTCCCGCTCCCGCACGGGCCCGGGAACACGCCGGAGCCGTAGAACTGGAACGCCGGCCCGCTCGCGTCGATGTACGCCGTCACCGGCTGCCGCGCCACGGCCGTCGCCAGCTGCCGCTCGTCGCCCGGCGGCACGGCGCGGTGCCCGCCGATGCGCGCCGCGTGGTTGAACAGCGCGTCGTCCGCGCGGCACTTCCCCCGGTACCCCTCGTACCGGTACCCGCTCTCCGCCGTGATGCCGCCCTTCGCGGCGACGAGCTCGAACGCGCGGTCGGTGTGGCCGCCGGCGCACCCGGAGCTGCCGGTGTCGCAGTCCACCAGCTCCTGCTCCGATAGCGGCGTCAGCTTCCCCGTCCTGATCTGCGTCAGCCCCTCGATCGCCGCCACCGCCGCGAACGCCCAGCAAGACCCTGCAACGACGACGACCGTCGTGTTAACGTCAGCGAGCAACCAGCTACCGGCCGGTCGCCGCCGGCGACGGCGAGGCGGAGAGCGAGCTACTTACCGCAGGCGCCCTGGTCCTTGACATCGGTGACGGCGCCCTTGTACCTCCAGTCGATGCAGCACGGCAGCCAGATGGGATCCACCCCGCGGGGCGCGTCCTTGGGGCACGGCGGCTTGGCGCCGGTGTGGGTGGAGACGAACTCGTCGTTGGTGAGGTCGGCGAACTGGTTGACGCGCAGGGCGGAGTTGTAGCCCGCCGGTGGCCGGTAGCTCCGGATGAAGCGGACGTTGTCGCGGAAGACGCCGAACCGGTACTCCTTCTCGCCGTGGCACGGGTACTTCTTGCCGAACTTGGCCATCCACTCCTCGAACATCTGCGTCGTCACGCCGTCGTCGCCGCCGCCGCCGTAGGCGTCCGCCGCCATCGCCTGAAACGCCAAAAACGTGCACAAGAGAATGACAGCAATAGCCACTGGACGCGAAGGCGCCATCGTTGATTTGATCACCAGTTTATCACTGGTAATCCTACACTTAATTATTTCGATCGAGATCTTGGTAAAGTTTGATATTTTTAGTCTTATACTGGAGGCTAGCTGCTGCTGCAGCTATATATTGAGATTGTGATTAAGGTCATGGAGTGTTGTGAAACAACCAGGCCTTAAATAAGGGGTTTGTCTTAGTAATGGCTTATGGCTACCTGTAACAGGGACTAGGTTAAGATAGACCAAGTGTATAGTTCACTTCAGTATGCTGTCACATGCAGAAATGTTCATAGCTGTTTTGTCGTCTAAATTATTTACAGAAATGTATCGATCAATAGTTGTTAAAGAATGTGTTGTGCATGGAAGAAGTTTCTTTTGACTATTTATAGCAGATCGTGATGTTTTGTAATTAGTATCCTAACTAATGATTATTTTTGACACAACTTTACATAAAAATGTGCTCTTTGCAAAGTGAGCATAGTTCAACTAGTTATATTCCTTGTGGTGGAAATAGTCTACCTAAGTTTAAATTCTAAACTTGACATAAGTGCTCGGATTTACGACTAATATTTTTTCAGTAGTAATCGGCGTACGTACTCGTCGACAGCGAGACATATCCATGGTGACTTCATTAATATCAAAATTTGCTGACCTAGTCATTCATCCATGGTGACTTCGTCAATTTTAAAATTTGTCAATCCAATCTTTTGTCCATGGTGACTTCGTCAATATTAAAATTTACCGATCCAGTTTTTTGGAGGTGCTCTTAGAAATAGGTTATATGTGTGCGTTCATAGGGACAAGCGTGACGTGTGTTGTGAGCGTATGTGTTTATAATGCGTTTTTGTGAAAAAAAAATGCTCTTTGACATGCACATTCGGACGACCTTTTTCCCTTTGACATGTTCTGTACCGTACGTAGGTAGACACTGAAGTCTGAACCATGCATGCTCAAGAAGAAATTAAGCAGAAGGTTTCTCGTCAGCATGATCGTGATTAATGAAAAACCATCCCCAGTTTTAAGATACTGATACGAACTTACGAAGAGTGCGCTGCATTGCTCTCCTGCGACAAATTTCATGTAAACAAAATGCAGAAATTACATTCACGATTTATATAAACTGTCAAATGCAGACGCAAACGCTTGATACTTTCTCGATCGCTAACTGCTGGGAGGATATATAAATAATTAAGTACACTCTGCTTACAGTGTTATACACATAAAACAGTTGCATTACTTAGTCGATTCGATATAACGATCAGTCTAGCTAGTAGGTAGTTCATCAGTAGTTCGTGATAGAGAAACGCACGCGACCAATTCGATCAAAAGCATGGAGTTTCAATTTCCAAATCATCAATTTCGGTAGCTAGCTAGCTACTAGCACATAATGCAGATGTTTTAATCGTTTTATTACAAGCTGCTTGCCTTCATTACGCATTCATGTATAGCAACTTTGGTTAATTGATAACTGCTGTGTCGACGTACGTTGACGACCAGAATAGGGCAAATCTTACTGCGATTTGGCAGCCATTGACCGATCGCCATCGCTATTCGATGTCTTAGTTTGCTAAATACAAGTACATTCTTACGTACAAAAACGTGTACTTTGGCATATACGTATGAAATTAGCGCGTGAGTTCGTGATGCTAATTCTGAAGATGCTGAAACTATTTCTCTGAAGTGTTCATCACCCTCTCCACGGATTGAAAGGTTTCCTTTTCGCCTACGACGTCAGTACATTTACAATTGACTTGACTTACAGTACAACATCGATCGAGCGAGATGTAGTATTCAGGCCAGCAAATTAATTAGTTCTCGAATTCCACTTGTCACTGATACTTAATGTGCCCAGAAGGTAATACCAGCTGCTGTGACGTGTCGTGCTGCTCTATCATCAAAGATGTTTAATTACATGTAGTTACTAGCACAATCAATAAAAACAATTAAATTTGGCAAAACGAAAGCTTTTAGAGAAACACTCCAGTGTAAAATTAAAATTAGAACTTGTCGCCACCGATGACCTCGAACAATTAGACTGAGTCTCACACGGTCAAAGGATTTGGGGTCCATTTTATTTATTCCCCTCAACACACATCAAGCACATAGTTCCTTGCAAAGTAATTCGCAATCATTCTCATATTAGCAACTAAAATGTACTGGGACTAATTAAGTCTATCAACACCGTACCATATTCTGAACATATTTCCACCGCTTCAGATAGTGATTTATTAATTGCTAGTTGACTAAATTCATAAACCTTCTGGCCTGTTAATCAACACTAGCTAAATTATGCCAATGTTGCAATATAGGAATATCCTTCTGGCCTGTTATATTTATAGTTTATTCATCGGATTATTTGCTCCAAGCTTAAAAAATATGTTTTCTAAAAAAAATCTTCTAATGCATCGTTTGTACCCCTTATTTTAAGTTATATGTTAAGTTTATATTTTTAAATGTTTAAGTTATCCTTATCATCAAATCAATAATCTGTACCGGCAGATTTTGGACTGAAAGCAGTTGTTCAATTTGCCAATCAAACTAAAAGGAAGATCAGGCAAAGAGCACAAAATTTGAGGGAGAAAACTGTGATGAAAATTCTCAATAAGTTTATTAGACGACCTTATGGCAGATTTCCTCAAAGAAAATGTGGCTCATTCCTTTGTTGCAAAGACATTAGCCGACAATTTGGGTGTGATCCATCTTATTCGTCTCACAAAATTCTTTTATTTTTTTTTCTATCAAGGTGGCCTGGCAAGTTATTAGCGAATACGGAAAACTATTCTAAACTCTCGAGGGGACGTCCCCTCGTTATTTGTGTGTCACTCAAATAATTATGAAAAAACAGGAAAAAAACAACAAAATAGATTATTATGTGATAGATTGATCCACAAATATTCAAGGTAAAATTTAGCTTCTACATGTTGCAATGAAAAAAAATTTAACTATGAATATATGTTAACTAGCTACAATTTATTTTTTTGTTGCAATTTGTAGAAGTTAAAATTTAACATGCATGTTTGTGGAGTGATATATCACATGTTAATATATCTTACTCTCTCCGTCCCAAATTATAAGACCTATATTTTTTACACGGTCTTCAATAATATACTTTAACTATTAATTTATTTTATATTATGTTACCAACGAATATAAAATTAGCATCACATGAAAGTACTTTAAAATATAAATCTAGTGATATAACATGTATAATATTTAGTATATATATGGTTAGTATGATTGTTAGTCAAAAGTTATCAAGTTTGATTTTCCTTAAAAAGAGGGCGCCCTATAATTTGGGACGGAGGGAGTATCATTTTTTTAAGTTATTTGAGTGACATGCAAATAATGAGGGGAGTTTAAAATCTACTCTAGCTCTAGCAGATACTCAGATTACTGCATTAAAACATACTTTGATACTACTTCCCTATGTCCAAATAACTTTCTTCTTAGTTATACATACACAAGAATTCCCAAACCCAAAGTCACAAATCACAACATGTCTATATAAACCTTGCTCTACACCACAGCATATGTCTCCCATACAACAAAAGGCATCATAAAGCAGCACGTACGCACTAAGTACACTTAACATAATCTAATCAAAATGGCTTCTTCTAAGCCTAGTTACTACCTAAGCCTTCTCTTCTCCATCGCTTGCCTCCTCTCGCTGCTCCCACTCTCGGCGGCGAACCCGTCGCCGTCGCCGCCGCCGCCATGCGAGAAGTCCGACAAGGAGATGAGGTTCTTGTTCTCGCGGTGGATGGCCCAGTACGGGAAGGCGTACTCGTGGCCGATCGAGCACGAGAAGCGGTACCAGATATGGAAGGACAACTCCAACTTCATCGGCTCGTTCCGGAGCGAGACGGAGATCTCCTCCGGCGTCGGCGCGTTCGCGCCGCAGACCGTCACGGACTCCTTCGTCGGCATGAACAGGTTCGGCGACCTCACCCCGGGCGAGTTCGCCGAGCAGTTCACCGGGTTCAACGCCACCGGCGGGCTGCTCCACGCCGCCCCGCCGCCGTGCCCGATCCCGCCCGACTCGTGGCTGCCGTGCTGCGTCGACTGGCGCTCCAGCGGCGCCGTCACCGGCGTCAAGTTCCAGCGCTCCTGCGGTAAGTAAGATCGACGCCGACATGTTCTCTTCTCTTGGTTAGCTCTCGGACTGATTGGGTGAATCACCAATGGCAGCGTCGTGCTGGGCGTTCGCGGCGGCGGCGGCCATCGAGGGGCTGAACAAGATCAGGACCGGCGAGCTGGTGTCGCTGTCGGAGCAGGTGATGGTGGACTGCGACACCGGGAGCAGCGGCTGCAGCGGCGGCCGGGCCGACACGGCGCTCGGCCTGGTGGCCGCCCGCGGCGGCGTCGCGTCGGAGGAGGAGTACCCGTACACCGGCGTCAGGGGCGGCTGCGACGTGGGGAAGCTGCTGTCCGGCCACTCGGCGTCGCTGTCGGGGTTCCGCGCCGTGCCGCCCAACGACGAGCGGCAGCTGGCGCTGGCGGTGGCGCGGCAGCCGGTGACGGCGTACATCGACGCCGGGGCGCGCGAGTTCATGTTCTACAAGGGCGGCGTGTACCGGGGGCCCTGCTCCGCCGAGAGGGTGAACCACGCCGTCGCCATCGTCGGCTACTGCGAGGGCTTCGGCGGCGACAAGTACTGGATCGCCAAGAACTCGTGGGGCAGCGACTGGGGCGAGCAGGGCTACGTCTACCTCGCCAAGGACGTGTGGTGGCCGCAGGGCACCTGCGGCCTCGCCACCTCGCCCTTCTACCCGACGGCCTGACGCCGCCGCCGCCGTCGCCGGTGATGGCGCCGCCGCGGCGCGTTCGTCAGCGTGCATGCTCAAGTGTAGTGCTGCTAGTGTCTAGTATAACTCTCTACCTGTTGATCACACGGACGGCTCAGATTGAAGGATTGATTTCTACTCCCTCCGTTTTAGATTATAAGTCGTTTTGATTTTTTCAAAGTCAAACATTTTCAAGTTTAACTAAGTTTGTGAACAAATATAGTGATATTTACAATATCAAATTAGTTTCATAAAATCAATAATTGAATATGTTTTCGTAATATATTTGTCTTGGGTTAAAAATGTATCTATTTTTTTCTACAAACTTAATCAAACTTAAAACAATTTGATTTTGATCAAAGTCAAAACGACTTATAATCTGCAACGAAGGGAGTAGTTTTCAACCGCTGTGAGCCTGTGACAATGCAATCATGCAAGGGAATAATACAAATTTCTTCTCCTTTGAGCAATAAACCAGTGGTTTTTCAGATACGTTACAGTAAAATCTTACTCCGAGTCTGAACAAGCTTACATGTCTGTTAAGCCAAAAATGGGATCCAACAGTTTGATTTGCAAACTAAACAAATCTTCTATATATTAACATTAAGAGAAAACAATGCAATGACCTGTACACCCAAACTGGCCTTTGTACTCAAATTTCCCAGTCCACTATTAAGAACTGCCAACAAAAAACTGGAGTGAAAATTTTTAATCAGAAGAAAGTGTTGAGGTCAGAAGTTCAGATTAAGATGAGAAAAACTTAAATGAGCTGCTCACAGCCTCATCTGGAATTTACAGTTATGCCGATGGATAAAAACTCTCACTTTTTCATCCTTCACTGAGATATTAGGAAGGAATTAAGGGAAGTTCTCTTTGCATGAACTTTTCTCCCTTTAACAGCAGATATGGAGCTTTCTGAAGATTTACAAGAGTTCCCAATCATCCTCCAGATCATCCGAGGATGAAACTGCTTGATACCTGACATTTCCTGCTTCTGCCTGGTTCAAATTCCTCTCCTTCTTCGACCACCGGAATTTATTCGCTAAGCTTCTCATCATTTTTTTCTGCAACGAACAAGAACATCAGACGCCTTTATGACGAGCTAAACATACATCACACAGTTGTTTAGTCATATAGCCAGGGTTTACAATTTCGATTTCGGTGATTTCGGTAGTGATTTTTGGCACTTTTCGGACCGGAACTTTTTGAAATTTTGACTGAATTTGAATAAACTTTGATCAAATTCCACAAAAATTTGAGAAAATCCAAAAATTTCGGTCAGTATATTGATTTGCCGGTGGGGTACGAAATTTCGAACCGATATTGTAAACTCTGCATATAGCACTGTTCTATTAATCCTGAAATTTTCTTGACCATGTATAGGAACAAATAAATTCAGAAACAGACATGATAATGTAACAAAATCAATCTACCACGACCACCTTCTTTTTTCAATTGACACTGAGTAGTACCTTGAATGATGTCTTCTTTGGTTGACGAACCGGGGAGACATCTGCCTCTGTCTGCTCCTGATCATCCTGGAGGTCTATATCAAGCCACACATTTGAATCGTCATCGTTGGACATGTCTGTGGTCAAATCATGCGAGATAGTCACGCCGGAAAATTTTGATAAGTCACCTGTTTAGCACAAAGGGACATGAATCCAGTGCAAGTTAGAGGACTTGAATAAGTGAATGTTGTCACTATATGCGATTTTTTGGAATAATGTTTCAATGCTGTGTGGGAATATAAAGTTGCATGACACATTTCAAAAGTGGTACAAATGGCACAAACCATGCTTTCCTGATTCTTCAGTGTCCTTTGTACTGTGTTCTGGCTCTTCACAATTTACAATAGTCCCTTCAGGAATAATTGCGTCATCAAAAGCAGAAGATTCTGCAAGAGAATTGATATTAGGTGAATATTATGGAAATTTTAGTGGATAAATTACTTAATTGCTTGTTAAGATTGAATTATTCTGGGATAATTACTTAAATTTTAGTGAATATTATGGAAGGAGGTTCTATAAGCTATTTAATTGAATGGACAGAACCATGAAATTCAACATACTCCATTACTTTATCTTTGTTCACTACTCCATTACTTTATCTTTGTTCACTTCATGATTTTTACAAAGTCTTGGGATATGTTTTGAGGACATGCGAACCATCTCCGTCGAATTAAATACTGCAGGTAAATCGAAATATTGATGGAAGAAGGCAGACAACCGGTGTGTTGTCAAATCATGTGACTGGCTGACTGCAATTTTAGGTGCAAGCTGGATATCTAGTTTTGATTTATGTATGCCAGAGTCCATTGAAAATGTTCTATGATATGAAAAATCATATAAAGGAAAGCTAGATTACCAGGTGATTGCGGTTCTAAAGGTTTCCTCCATAAAATTAATTCCTTCCCAATTGAAATTGGGTCTTCAGATGTGCAGGAATCCGAGGGCTTCTCTGAATTGCCTGAAAGAACTTCCTCATCGACATCAATAGATTTCCCACCTAAAAACAGGGGAACTAACAGTTATTCTGATGAAATAATTTCATGATAACTGCATCTATCTGAAGGCAAAAGGGGCCTGAAATGTAAGAAGTTAGAAAACTGATACCTGATATTTCAGCTGCTGAGGTGTCCACGGGCAACATGCACTGTTCATTCACTTCTATATTACCCCCTTCAGAAGAATCGCTTTCTGCACAACAATAATACAAGTTAAATGACAACGAAGAATAACTGATTCAGAAACCTAACCAATCACACATGCTTTTATCAAGAGCAAACCTGGACTTTTCGTTAAAATTGATTCAGTTTCGGGAGCATCAGCAACAACTGAGCCTGCAAAACTGTCTTCAGCAGTAACAGTGGAAGTACTGGGACTAGATAGTTCCTTGTTAGAAGCTACGAACTCCATTCTAACGGATGTTGCCGATGATCCAGTGATTACATTGTCATAGAATGAATCCTTCAGTATTTCATTTGCTTTATTCAGTGCTTCATCACTAGGGGAAGGAGCAAACATTCTTTCATGGATGTCTTCCATAAACTCAACGGCTGTATCAACAGCTGTATCGAGATAGTTTTTGGGTAACTGTCAAAAATTAGAAAGCCAATTTCCAAAAATTGTCAGTAAATCCTATCTCACGCTAGAATATTCTGCTAAACGAAACATTACTGACATTATCATGTTTGTTATGAGAAGAACCACACACCTCAATGAATCTTTTCACATTTTCCTCAAACTTATCAAAACTAAAGCCTATGTCAAAGTCGAGTCCACCCATTAGTGACATAGGACTGGTATAATCTGAACCTGCGTCTCCCTCCACCAGCTTTTAGCTTTCTTCGCGTCAGTAGAAGAACTGAAATATATCATGTCTAAGAGTTGCATGGTGGAAATTCAGTATACAATAATCATAATATCCTGATCAATATAACCGTTTTATTGAGGAATCTAGACCACTCTGGGCACAAAAAATCCCAAAGTACTACTACAGTATAGTTCACGGCCTTGTAGAAAGCACGCCAATCTCTCATCACGTTACAATTTGTGAATTGCAGTGCTACCGTATTTATCCACGCAAACAAATTCTAAAAATACATCAGGTCCTAACAAAAACTCTGAAGTGCAGCATTTGCCATTGACATAAACAAACAGTTTGGTTCGAATCATAGAACAAGCTTCACGGGAATTCAAAGACTGGAACCGAACCCAAATTAAAAAAAAAACAAAAAGGTGTAGTTTGTGCCTGAACTATCGACGAACTATTCTAATCTCTCTATACCTGCAAACTTTTGTACTGCTTATCTTGTCCCAAACGAACATGCTCATAAAACCCTTGTACTAAACCCCAATTATGGATGAGAAAGAGGATAGCGCTGCTCACCGGCGACCGGCGAGGATGCGGCGGAAGTGAGACGGAGATCGATCGGCGCAGGCGGCGGGGGGGGGGGGGGGGGGGGGGGGGGAGGAGACACGGAGTCGTCGATCGAGGTGTGGAGGACGAGCGAACGGAGAGATCGATCGACTAAGGAGCGAGCCCGCTACGAGTCGGAGAGCAGTTTGCGGGTTTATGTAAAACCCCGGTTACTTGGGAATCGATCGACTGGTCTGCCACGGCTGAAACGAACTCAAATAAAAATCGCTGAGCACAATTCCAATAGACGTACTACGTGGTACGTGTGAGTTATTATGTAAGTTTCGCATGAGTTTTAGATGTATTTCATATGGAGTGTCTTTTTCGTGCTATTCTGATCCGTGTGGTTTTCACATCATCTGATCGGAGTTCTTTTTTTTTTGTTGTTGTTTTTTCGCGCTATACGTGGGGTGCACTCATGGCGTAAAGGAAATTACTCTAGGAGTGGGCGGTCCAGCAAAATTCATGGATTTGATAACTTGATCCAATTAATACAGAGAATTTACTATTAACCATCTTTCAAAAAGCCAGTGCTCAAATGCCACTTTTCCATATTCTCATTCTCATTTTTCACCCGGTTCTAGTCAAACTCCCCAATGTGCCACTTTTCTCATCCACTAGTAATCATGCACGTGCAATGCACGTTCTTCCCATCATAACATGTTTCGACTAAACTTTACAATTTATCAGCATGAGCCCTTAAAAATATTGGCGGTTCATCTTGAGAAATAAAGCAACACTTCAATGTATAAAAATACCCACTATTATACACTGGAATCTATGTAGCTAAGAAATAAATCTATTTAAACAGAAGTGACACAAGCATCATTTCTATTTTCATGCAAACATAAATGAACAAACAACCAATTCGTGCACATAGGAATCCATGTAGAATATTAATTGAGAAAACACACTCACTCTTACAATCTAATTTGAAGAGGGGGTATATATTATAAATCCACACTCACATTATTATCCTTTCATCACAACAACACCATATAGATACACCCCAAGTGTTACACATAATTTTGTTAAAACTTGAGTGCCCCGGGCCATACCTAGAGGACCACCTCAACAAATCCACAATGGATTCAGCCATGCAGAATCGATCATCCAAAAACAAATTCCTAATACATGAATAAAGACAGGTCACAAGTTTTAGCTGAGAAAAATATCACACATATACAATTGTACAAATAACAAGTTATATCTGCAATCGTACCAGCAGACCTGTAAAGTCACCTCAACTCTAATGCTAACATATTTGTTTCCATTTGGCAGTGGAACTGATCATCTGCACAGTCAGAAGAAAAAGAACATAACAGTAGATTTGTCAGGATCGATGGACGTGCAAAAATTTACCGTATAAATGTTCAATGGGTGAATTAACAATGAAAACTTTGATGTCAGGTCACAACTCTAGGATCCCACTTACAGAACAACCAAGATTTTTCAAGAAATTTATTTCTGGTTCAATCTGCAGTTTCCGTTTAACCAATCATGAGGCAAGTATGTCAAAATTTTAGTGGTTTTTCCTAACATTATTGCCTATAAACTATAGTTACTTCACTAATCCTGAATCTATTTCGATAAAAGAAAACCTAGAAAATCCACTTTGCAGTTTGCACCACGTCGAGCATTCTCATTCTCATTGAAACTAAATAATAGATATTTTTGTGTCATTCCACCAATCATATAGATCATCTCCTCCAAAACTAATTTGTGAACTATGGGAATCTGTCCATACATATTTTAGATCATTAAAGCATCTGATAGTACATCACATTGTATTCCTAATTCTGTAAGCAAGATATTTGCACGCAGGATGTTTTTTTAGAGAAAAGGTCGAAGAACGACCCTGCTTATATAGAAAGCAAATTTGTCTTGCTGGGGATTCTAACTTACATCAATGTGCATACATCGACCAAAAGAGGCCCCTCCGGCCCAGAGAAACAACCAATTTTTAGACAGCAGGGATAACACAAAACCCATAAGTGAAGATACTGTTGAATAGTCCCACATTGGTTGTGGAAGGGCAAAGGATCTAAGATATAAGTGGGGGAGCCCCTCACCTCAATGGCTAGCTTTTGGGGTGGGAAAGGCCCTTTACGATCCTACAATTGGTATCAGAGCCAGGCTAGGTTAACATCTCTGGCCCGATGGACACGTGTGAAGGCCTGATGGACCGTGGGTGCCTGCGGGGCCCGTATACCTGATGGACCGTGGGCCGGTGGGGGCCCGGATACGGTGAAGGGGCGGTGAAGGACTGAGGGACACCAATGTGTGAAGGGGGAGATTGTTGAATAGTCCCACATTTGTTGTGGAAGGGCAAAGGACCTAAGATATAAGTGGGGGAGCCCCTCACCTCAATGGCTAGCTTTTGGGGTGGGAAAGGCCCTTTACGATCCTACAGATACAGCAGGCGCATCAATTCAAAAAGCTTTCCAAAACACCTCCACAAAGTAATAGACAGCAAAAAAACTCTAACTAACCCACCCCAGTTCTGATATTTCGCAGTCCAGCACAACATTCCTTCAGTCTTCTTGTCAGCAACTCCAGTTCATCAGTCTCCACACCTTTGAAAAGTGGTTTCCACTGCTTGTCTTTGCACTCAGGATGTTGATAAAATACAAATTAATTAGCCTCATTTTATTGGTAAAGGGATGATGCGAGTACTATTGCAACTGCCTCCTAGCATCCTTTCCATGTTGTTTTCCTGGCCCTTTAGCTCATTTTCACTTCTAGAAAATTATAATTGGTACCCTTTATATTTAGTCTAAATCAAGACTAATTACCTCGTCTGAATAGAAGCCAAAGCATGTGTAGACACCAATTGTTCATAATTTACTTTCCAACTTCCGTAAATCCTAATTAAAAAAAGTGATCATGATATACCGGTAATCACATGACCTGTAGTAGACAACGTGGTATGTTCAATTTATAAAAGAGCGTATGCTATAAAATTTATGTGTATTGCTCATGTATCAACCCAACGAATTCATTGTACACTAATCTAGTAATTCAGGTTCAGATGAAAGATCAACATATTGGCTATTCACTTAATAAAATAGCATCAATGTGAATACCAGGTATAGGTACATACCAAGAAAATGTTCAGGTTTGCTCTGTTGTTCCAATTTCTTACAGATTTTCCTACAAAATTAAAAGAAACTGCAGTATTTAGCACCAAACATAGCCAATGATTATGCATTAAGGAAAAACTACATAATTTACAAATCTAACCTGAAGTAGTTAATGTAAATCTTCATTGGTCATGAGAGCAACATCATATTTCAAATAGCAAACACCATGTTCAAAACTATTATACATAAAAATATTGGTAATTGGTGCAGCCCACTAATTTTAGGATGATTTTTAAAAAAATTACCTCAACACAATTAGAAGAAGGATCGATGTAGACTATTGTAGGGTTTACGCAAATACATGGGGTGCTTGACTGCTCGATCCAACGGTTGTGGCATGGCGGTTGTGGGTAGGACAATGGCATTGATGTTGTCTCGGTAGTGACCGGGGCGCAGTACAACGGAGTACTTGAATATGTTAAAATAGCTCTTCAATTTGGTGCTAATATAAACAGACTCATCAAAATTCCCCAAATCTACCTCTTGAAATGTTGATGCTTTCCCTTCCTTTTCAATCCATCTTCCCAATTCCCAAATCCACAAATCAGGTATTACAATTTGCAAATCACAAATAAGTATATGAGAAGAGAAAACAGGATCCCAAGCCCAGCTAGCAAATGCTGGCCGACTGCTGCGGTCCTGTTTGCTGCTTACCAGGGAGGCAGCTGATTGCTCCTCGGCGCCCACCCACGTGCTAGCTTGCTGCCCGCACAACACAGTTGCATTGCGCTCTTGTGGCGCCGCCGCCTTGGCTTCTAGTAGTCAGGCCTCGGCCCACCACCACCGCCACCGCCTTTCGGAACGCATGCCGCCTGTGCCCGATCACCGGCGCCGCCTCCCTCAATCTCATACGCTCGTGGCGGTAGTGGCGGCCAGGGACGACCTCGGCTCCGGCAGGGACAGCGATGGAGGGAGGTGGCGGCTGGGGACGACCTTGGCTACGTCGGGGGGCAGCGGTGGAGTGCGGTGGCGGGCGGCGGTGGCTACGGCCGGGGGCGACCACGGCTCGGTCTTCGGTGGGGGTAGCTGTGGAGTGCGGCGACAGCCGGGGGAGACCTCGGTTCTGTCTCCGGCGGGGCAGCGATGGAGTGCGGCGGCGGCGGCACAGCTGGGGACGACCTAGGCTTCGACAGGAGTAGTGGAGGAATGCGGCAGCAACGGGGATAAGCAAGGAGGAGCGAGGAGCGTGGAGGCGGAGTCTTCGCGCGAGCTAAAATCACGGTGGATGGATAGGGTGAAATCACGGTCGCTGTGGGGAGGGTGAAATCGCCGGTGAATGGTGCGGATTAGGGATTAGGCGATGCGGATGCGGATGAACGGTAGGGATTGATCCGGGTGATTTGGCCTGTAGGATTGGAGGGGGACAACTCCTCCTTTTTATATTAGTATAGATATAGATGTGACATCATTTTTAGAAATAACCCCTGTCTGATGTGGAGCTCCAGGCAAAAAAGATAGAAATACCCTTGGGCCTACTTGTAAGTCTTTCCCCTTCCCAGCCTGAGCTAAGCAGATGGGCAGAGGAGGGAGACGAGCAACCGTTGATGAGATTGAAGGAGTTTTGGAGTCAACATGTCTTCCCTAGTAGTGGATGCGGTGGCAACGCCCACGACGGTTTCGGCCACAGCTTACAGGAGAGAATCTCGTTGATGCGACGGTGATTCTCCTATCCTCGTGTTGGCGAGGCTTCCGGGCAGTGAAAGCAAGTCGTCATTGTCTTCTATCTCGAGGATGGCCATGGCCGGGGCCCCTAGGTCGTCGACGCATAGTCATTGTCGTCTGCCTTGGCGACAGGACAACGCCGTTGAGCCCCCTCCATCACCGACACATCAGTTGACCCCGCGATAGGAGTCCATGCCGAGCGCCTTCCGCCACCGACGCCGCGAATCTGCACCTGACCTGCCCTCATTGACTGTCTCTTCTGCCTAGGCTCCTTAGACCTCCGTTGGCCCCCTCCTCCTCATACTACCTCTTCCCAAGCCCAGGGGTGGAGAGAGTCTCGCCTCTCCCCCTCCCCTAGCCAGTCCAACTCCTGTCGCCCGTGTACTCCCGTTCACCATCGCCCCTCCTCCTAGCTTGCCCTTCCGACTCCATGGCCACCATGTGATCTCTTTGCCCCCATACTGCTCAATCTCTTCTCCTTCCTTCTCTCTCTCTCTGGTTAAGTTTAGGTGTTTGGGTGGGGAAAAAGTCTTATATGTGCCCCATGGGTATTACCATCTTTTTGCTTGGAACTCCACGTCGGACACTCGGACTGGCCCTATTTGCAAAAAAGAAAAGGGCATCACGTGGACAAGAAAAATGGTAAAAGTGGCACATGAGAGAGTTTGAGTGAGGCTGGATGGCAATAGAGATAGAATGAAAATTTAGGAGAGTGGCATTCAGGAACTTGCTTTTTAGGATTTTAAAATTAAATTCTCGTGATAAGCTCACAATTGTTTTTTTTTACAAGAATCTCACAACTAATTCTCTCGTGACAATCTATCCCATTGGTCAACACATATTTTGACAAGTAGAGAAAAAAAGACTAGATCTCTATCCCTAATTATTAAACCTAGCTGCTCTGTCCGATGCATGTGGAGAGTAAGGGGGAAACTGTTTTAATCACCCGGGTGGATGTTCACCCGTTTAGTGCATGCCATCTAAATGGTTATGAATAAATTTAAAAATAATTGACAAGATAGATCAATAAGTTATATATCACTCCACAAACATGCAAGTTAAAATTCAACTTCTACAAATTATAACAAAAATAACAAACAAAACTCAAATTATTATATGTATATTTATAGTTAAATTTATTGTTTTTGTTACAATTTATAAATGTTGAATTTGAACTTGCATGTTTATGGAGTGATATATACATATTAATCTATCTTGTCATTTTTTAAAAAAAATTTCGTAATTATTTAGTTGACATGCAATAAACGGGTGGACGTCCACTTACTTATTAGAATCCATCTCCAAGAGCAAGGTCGTTGTTTTGGTTGATGGCTAAGTTCACCACTCCTCATTTTGCTACAAGTGTGTCATGCCATACAAAGTAAGGATATATAGTAATTTGTTGGCCATAAGTGTGACTAAGTTTAGCAAGAATTTGAGCCTATAATCCCATATAAAAGAAGAATTTGAGCCTATAACGCGTGGGCCCAAGAACTAGAAAAGTAAGACATGACACAATTGTGACAACCAACTAAACACTACACTAGAACATGATATAAGTGTGACAACCAGCTAAACACTACAGTAGATCAGTAACAAATTATGATATAACTAAGGTTTGACGCGATAACCTGAGCCAACCAAACAAACCCTAGAAGTTGTTGTTTGCTTGATTGCAGCTTGGACTTTGGAGTACGAATTGAAAGAAACACTCCCCTTGCGTTGAAAACTCTAAATAATGAGCATGTCCTCTCTCTCGCTCCGATCGCCGTCACTCACCGCCGGGAAACGAGAACGAAGCTGGCAGCTGGCGACGACGTGCAGGGCGGGCGGCTGGTCAGGTCAATGTAACTGTACACAGGCGACCTTCAAGTATTCTCCCTTCACTGCATCTGCACACATCCACTGATCTGAGTCTGAGCTGAGCTCTCGTCGACACCACATGTTTCCTCTTCTTCTATTAAAGAAACCCCATGCTGTCGGTGTACCCAGCTCGTTCAATGCGCCCGGTGTCTCCTCCTCCCAACTACACACCCCCGCAATCTCGCTCGCTAGCTCGCTGATCGATCAAGCTCAAGCTCAAGCTAGCTTCGGTCGTCGGCAATGGCGGCGCAGGCGTCTCCTCCAACGAAGAAGGTAACATATGATGATTATAGTGTGTGCATGTTCGCGCGGAGTGTTTGATTCGATCGTACGCGTGTGCAGGTGTTGGTGCCGATCGTCGCCGGCACGGAGCCGGTGGAGGCGGCGGTGCCCATCGACGTCCTCCGCCGCGCCGGCGCGGACGTCACCGTGGCTTCCGCCGATGATGGCGAGCTGGTCGTCGAGGTCATGTACGGCGTCAGGATCGTCGCGGACGCGCTCGTCGCCGGCGGCGACTGCGCCGCCGCTCACTTCGACCTCATCGTCCTCCCGGTACGTACAATATATTGCGGCCAATGGCGACACCGATGGATGCGGCATGGAAGAAGCTCATCTTGAATTCTGCGAGATATGCCGCGCGCAGGGAGGGGTTCCAGGCGCGGCGAACCTCGGCGGCTGCGCGGCGCTGGAAGCCATGGTGAGGAGGCACGCGGCGACCGGAGGTCTCTACGCCGCCATCTGCGCCGCGCCGCCGCTGGCGCTGGCGTCCTGGGGCATGCTCAACGGCCTCAAGGTTGCTAAAGCTAGCAAGTGGTCACTCCAGTCCACTGCTCACTATTGCTATTCTCCACTATCACAATTCACTGCTTAATTTCCAGCTGGTTTTTTTTTTCTAAAATTATACTCCCTCCATTTTAAAATGTTTGACACCGTTGACTTTTTAGTACGTGTTTGACCATTCGTCTTATTCAAAAAATTTAACTAATTATTTATTCTTTTCATATCATTCGATTTATTGTTAAATATACTTTTATGTACACATATAGTTTTACATATTTCACAAAAAAAAATTTGAATAAGACGAACGGTCAAACATATGTTAAAAAGTCAACGGTGTCAAACATTTTGAAACGGAGGGAGTACATAGGTACTTGAGATATACTCCATCCGTTTCAGGATATAAGACGTTTTAACTTTGGTCAAAGTCAATCTGCTTTAAGTTTGATCAAGTTTGTAGAAAAAAGTAGTAGCATTTTCAACCTAAGATAAATTTATTATGAAAATATATTCAATTATTGATTCAATGAAACTAATTTAATATTATAAATAGTATTATATTTATCTATAAGCTTAGTTAAATTTAAAACAGTTTAACTTTGATTAAAGTCAAAACGTCTTATAAACTGGAACGGAGGGATAAGTATTTACCACAAAACACATGTTTAACAGACGACCTCAAAGAAACGAAGGGTGTCGGTAAATACCTAATCTCACTAAATCATGTCCATAATTTAAAACACATGTGTACGTTTTGACATGGAGTATTTTTTAAGAAACCGTATACTTACATAAAATACTTCACCGATTGATTTACATGTATTCAATTAGATAAAAAATGGTTATGGAACCAAGTAACAAATTAATGTTTGTTCAAAAGATTAAAAATACCACATAGTGGAACATTTTGCCATTATCTAGAAAAATAGAACATTTTGCCATAAAAGGATTCCTCAAAATAAATTATAATAAACGGTGTTTGCGTTTTCCTCATTTTATATATGAAATTTACTCTACAGAGAGAGAAGGCACCAAAACTGTGGTGCAAAAAGGTTTGGGGCATTTGCAAATTTGCCACCGGTTTTTAATTTTGCAACGATGCCACTCGAATGATAGTTCTAGTGATATTTTTATAATTTTTTAGTGGCAGTCTTGCAATAACGATTCAAAACAGTGGTAAAACAGTGGTAAGTTTGCAATTGGCTCAAAGGTTTTAAAGTTGAGCTATGATGGTGTACGCACCTACACTCCCAGTAAGCTAATTTTGAAATACACAAAATTAACCACAAATCGTTAATTTATTAATCATGATTCATAACCGTCAAATATGATATGTCTTTGCATGATGAAGGCAACTGCTCATCCGCTGTTCGTGGACAAGTTCCCACCGGAGGTGGCCGCCGTGGATGCGAGCGTGGTGGTGGACGCGAGCGCCGTCACGAGCCGTGGCCCGGCGACGTCGACGGAGTTCGCTCTCGCTCTGGTAGAGCAACTCTACAGCAAGAACAAGGCCGAGCAGATCGCAAAAGAAATGGTAATTAATTATATATATGGTTCTACTAACTTTGGCACTTGATTAATAGCTACCTAACTCCGTCTTAGAGTATAGCACTTAAAGATCGGATGTCTCATCCAATTTTAAACTGTTAGATTGCTATATATTCTAGCACGGAGGTAGTAAAATTTCTCTCATTGGATCTTACCCATTGTTACTCTTGTTGATTTTTTTTTACCATGGCAAGACCTGTCCATTAATTGTAAAGATTTTGAAAAATGTTTTTGTTTGAATTTTTATTTTTAAAGTAAGATTGGTTAGGCTGCTAGCTACTTCCTTCATCTTGCAGTATCAGGCTTGTAAGCATCTTGATATTCAACTTTTAAAATTATTGACCAACAATAATCAGTCTAATAAAAGTCAAATTTTATTTGATGAGAATAATATAATTGGATTGACATTTAAATCCCCTTTCCTACTATAGTTGTAGAATATGATAAACTAAAAGTTAAAGATTAGTTTTATAAACCAAGCTAAATTTGACCGCGTATTATTTGGTGGGAAAATGGTGTGGTACCTCCTATTTTTAATATATGATACTATTTTCTTTTTTGAAAAAAAATTGACCAACAATATTTATTTATTTAGATCTCTGATCAAAAGTACTTTGAGCATGGCTAGTATGTTTGCCTATTTACATAAATATTTAAAAGAAAATAATAGCCAAACGAATTAGAATAATCATTTTAAAAGACAGGTATTTTTAGTTTACTATCAAATGGGTGCTAACATTTTCGACAAAGTTGTGTTTGGTATGTTACCTGAAGTAGTAAACGACCATGGTCCATGGACTATGCCAAACTTAACTAAATTACATAATCTGGTAATCTATATATTTATATAAGCAAGTATATATACTCTCTATATATAGGTGGACCAAATAGACTATAATTAAGCTTTTTTTTAAGAGTATATGGAGTACATCTGCCCATGTACGTCTATATTCATTATTAGTTTTTTTTAGAAGAAATGAACTCGAGAAATATAGGATACTCCCTTCTTGTAAAGGAGGTCGTTTTGGACAGCGACACGGTCTCCAAAACATAATTTTGACTTCTTATTTCTATAAAAATATTTATTGACAAGTGATATATATGTATACTTTTCAAGACAAATCTATTCATATAATTTTTACATTTTCAAACTTAACAACTTAAGAGTTATTCATGATTTATACATCTGCCCATGTACGTATTGTCGGAGATATGGGCCCGGGGATATGCGAAGTGAGGGGAGTTTACCTTCCCATCCTGTCGCGTGACCCTACAGCCTGGTCCTACCCCCGCACCCCGCGAATCGCAGGAGCGGCCCGAGGGGCCTCGGGGTGCCACGTCATGCCCCTTGGGCCCTCGCGTCGCTTTGCCCCGAGGCCCTCGCCCGGCTGCCATCTAGCGGGGGGAGCAAGCGGGGAGGGGGCCCAGGCTGAACCGCCTTTAATGCGCACAACGCCCCAACTGCCCCTTGCGGGCAGACGTGCGGCGTGCCCGACTGGCGTGCGTCAGTCAAGAATGACCGGTCCGTGACCAGCCTGTCGCCGGTCACGTCTGACTGGACGGACGGCCGTGCCCCCACGTCGCATCTGTCTCCGGCAGAGTGGAGGTAGGTATGACCCGTCCCATCGGAGGGTCATTCGGAGCTCTCTCCACGAGAGAGCGGCCACCACAAGTCTTCACCCATTAATGAGGGAATGACAGGGCTGCCCCCCGTGTCAGGCGGGGGACGGCGCTGGCCCCACTCAAGAACGAGCTGTGGCTTAGCTTCCAGGCGAAGGCACGAGTCGAGATCCGGTCAAGGTAGGGTGGGTCCCCACCCGGTAGAAGAGTAGGTAGAGGCGGTGCATGTGGTATCCCCTTGAGCTATAAAAGGAGGACCTTGCCTACCGAGAAAAGGGGGACGACTCTCAGAAAACCTGGGCTCTAGGAGAAGAGGACCGAGAACGCTCTCCGGAGTTTAGGAACCTTTGTAACTCTTACCCTGAATCCCACACACAGGAGTAGGGTATTACACTTCATAGCGGCCCGAACCTGTATAATCTTGTCGTGTACACGCTGCCTAGCAGCCTTCAGGGCGGATACGTGATTTCTAGAGACGAGCTCTTTCCCCCGGCCGAACTCACAAAAGGGGATCCCACGATCTCCCGCTAGAGAGGTTTACATGATTAGTTTTTTTAGAAGAAATGAACTCGAGAAATATAGGATACTCCCTTCGTACTTGTAAAGGAAGTCGTTTTGGACAGCGACACGGTCTCCAAAACACAATTTTGACTTCTTGTTTCTATAAAAATATTTATTGACAAGTGATATATGTATACTTTTCAAGACAAATCTATTCATATAATTTTTACATTTTCAAACTTAACAACTTAAGAGTTATTAATGATTTATATTTCCAAGGTTTGACTTAAACATTATTCTAAACAACTTTTTTTACAAGTACGGAAGGAGTAATTAGGACACAGTTCCTCGTTTCCAGGAATGGGTGGCATAATTTATGAGGAAATGGACGGTACATTGCGGCGGTCTAATAATTGTCTAACGTTGTATTGAATGTTCACTTCACATGTGCCGTTGTCAGCTCAAAATCGGTTGTGGAAAGTCAGGGCAGGAATTTATTGTCTAGATAAGCCCCCATGGCCTCATGGTCATATGGGCCATATGCCGATAGCTGTTGATACTTGATAGTATGATGGTGTGTGTTGACTGCTGCTATGGTCATGGGGCCAAATGTTTCTGAAATGCAGTCAGAGAACTTCATGAGCACTAGAACGGAATATACTGAAAATAAATACTCCATATTTTCCCACCTACTCCATATAATACTTATTGGGTTGAAATAAAATTCTATATGGTCATACTTGGATAATATGTCATACTAATTTGTATAGTATTTGCGATTTCGTTGCTAAAAAAACCATAGGCGATCCCTGATGTGCTCTCTTTTTTTAAAAAAAAATCATTGCTAAAATAAGTGTGGTTAAATTTTAAATGTGAATATAGTAGTTGGATTATTTGAGATCTTCTTTTTTTTTTAGAAAATAGATTAAAACCTGGCCTCTATATCTAACACAGATGTACGCAGCTAAGGTGGATTATTTGTGAATGAAACATACATGACAAAGTTCTGCAATTGCTCTCTTCAAACCCTAAACTCGTGCTAATAGTTCATTAAGAAATGTACTCCCCCATCCCAAAATATAAGAATCTAGAACCGGATAAGACATTTTTTTTATATTTTGGGATGAAGATAGTATACATTAATCTTAAAAGTAGTCAGTGTACCAAGCCAGTCTACTTGATTTGACTATGATAGGACTTTTGGAGAGTGTAGTAGTACTTATATAAGAGAAATTTTACGGTCGTTGAGAAGGTACCGATAGTGTAAATTTTCATAAATTAATTAACATTGGAAAATGTTATTGTAATATATTGTGGAGCATTCTTTTAAACAAAGAAAGTCCATAATACAAGTGTTGACAAATAGGTGGACCAGAAATTAATCAACAAAGTTACCTTGTCCACGGTCCCACCCATCAACTACCTAGGACTAGGAAGCTGGCATTTGTAAGCATGGCAGATTTGAGCTCTGCTCCTTGACTCATCACTTTATGAACAGCAAATCATCCCCCCCCCCCCCCCCCCGCTTTTGTTGTTTTTACTGTCATAGCTTGATCAACATATGAGTTAACTCCCTATATCTTGTGCCTCAAATTGTCAGCTTGTCAGATACGATGCTGGGTATACCATCGATGAAGTCAACTCGGTTCAATGGAAATGTAACGGCACGCCCAAGGTACATATACAAGAGATGAAACCTAAACACTTATCTTAACACTAGCTAGCATTTCATACCTCATAAGTGATCGATGGAGCTCTTCCAAATCACCATGGAGAGAAAAAAAAAAGGATAGCATTTCTTATACAATATAAAAGCCAGAACTTCTCTGAAAATTTGCCTCTGTTTTGTGTCAGGTCCTTGTTCCAGTAGCCAATGGCACCGAGGAGATGGAGCTGATAACAATCATCGACGTCCTGCGCAGAGCCGACGCGGACGTCGTCGTTGCGTCGGCGGAAAACGCCGGCGTCGAGATCGTCGCGCGCCACGGGATGAGGATCGTGGCTGACACGACGCTGGACGAGGCGGCTGCCGATGATCAGACGAGCAGCTTCGACCTGATCATCCTACCGGCAAGCAGCATACACGAACTCTCGCTGTCCAAACCCATTTTGATCTGAACATGTTCAGATCACTGAACGTCTGAACACTTTCTCTCCTCGTCTCAAACAACAGGGTGGCACGCCTGGCGCGAAGACGATGAGCAGCAACGAGAAGCTTGTCACTCTACTGAAGAAGCAGGCGGCGGCGAGCAAGCCCTACGGCGCCATTGGCGCCGCGACGGCTCATGTGCTCGAGCCCCACGGTCTGCTCGAGGTAAATTAAAGAACATTAGACAAGATCGCTTGCTTTTGATCAGTGATATTCTGTCGAGACCTGACACACATCGAGCGGCCGCGCGATTGATTTCAGGGCAAGAAAGCGGCGGATCAGGATGGCGGCGACGAGTGCGAGAGCAGAGTGGTGGTTGATGGGAACGTGATCACGAGCGGAGGCACCGGCACCGCCATGGAGTTCGCCGTGGCCGCCGTCGAGAAGCTGCTCGGCCGCGACGTGGCGCAGAGGGTTGCGGAAGGCTTGCTTTTTGCCTGATCGATCTTCTGTTGGTTTTAGGTGATCAAACCAATGAAAGTTTTCATAATGCAGATGTGTGATCTGTGAAAGAGATAATTTTCCTTCCAAGAAAAAGACATAAAGAGTTGTCATTTGTCAAACCATCAACATTTGTTCTCCCATAAACTTATAAGGGTGTTTTCTTAATTTATAGCTGATGGATTGATTGATGGATAGAAATGAGTTTTTATGACAATTATTCGAGAGCGCACAAATAAATGATTGTCATTAAAATGGTAAAAGATTGATTTGAAAAAAAATTATGGTAAAAGATTGATTTGAAAAAAAATTATGTTGCCGATGAATAAATACAGTTTTTGCAAAGATTGTACCGTTTAGAAACTTGAGAAGTATGCTTCTCATAATCTGCAAGTTGAAAAGAGCTTAACCGTTTAAAGTAGTATCAACGCAACGTAAAATTGGTTTTATAACACTAAAAGATTAGGAGTTTAAAAATATAATATTTGAAGTTCCGGTAACGTCTGAATTCATCTTAGGATGTTGTGAGAATTGGATTTTAGAGAGACGTCTCAATCAAGCATAACCATACTGCAATAATTTTTTTATCAAATGATGAGTTGTTACCTTTCTTTTGTGTGTAAAAATGAAATAGGATGCTAGATAAAACATATTTGTTAATTATTATTTGACATAAAACTAGGGAGCAAATCTTACAGATTTTGGATCATCTAATTGGCTTGAAGATTCGTTACATGTTGAGGTGGAAATATGTTACATGTTGTATAGGTAGCACTGAAAGAAAAAGAAGAATGAGGGCGTCCACAATGTATGACATAAGGAGTCTTAAGTCTCAAGAGTGAGCATTATACATTGTATAAGTAGTTTTTATAGGTGCTCTTTGGATGAGCCATACTTATGCATAAGGGCCGGTCACAAGCACACCACAAGCAATAAAAAAGGCAAAATTGGTTATATAGCATCAAAAGTTCACGTTTTTGGTTTTATAGCACCGAAAGTTACCGGTTCACTTTAATAGCATCCAAAGTTCACCCTGTTCACATTTTTAGCACTTCCGTCAATTTTTCCGTCCGTCTTAATCGTTATTGATCCAGCCACACACATGATATGACATTTCTACCCTCATTGACATGCATTATACTTATACTTGTGAGGGGTACAAACGTCACATTGTGTGGCTGGGTCAAGACGGACGGAAAACGATCGAGAATTGACGGAAGTGTTAAAAATGGGAACATGGTGAACTTTGGGTGCTATTAAAGTGAACCGGTAACTTTCGGTGCTATAAAACCAAAAATGTGAACTTTCGATGCTATATAACCAATTTTGCCAATAAAAAAATACACACTCTCTCACTGCTACTTTTTCTCCCAAACTGTTTCTTACCGCCATGGGAGAGAAGGGAAGAAGAATGGAAGCCTTGCCATGGAAAGGGGAAGAAAGCTCGAAACACCCGGATGGAGTTGCCATCGCCGGAGATCCGCTTGCGAGAGTCGCCTCCGCCGCCGCTTTCTCCGTCACGAGCATTGACGTTGGCGCCAACGCCTCCGCCGCCGATGGATCCGGCCATGCCTGTGAGCGCCGACACCGCCGAATCCAGCCACGCCCACGAGCGCCGACGCCACCGTCGATTCCGGTCCTGCCCGTGAGCACCGTCGCCTACAGATCTAGCCATGCTTGCGAGTACCGATGCCGGATCCGGGCGTGCCTGCGACTGCCGACGCCACTGTCGGAACCGGCCGCGCCCGCGAGCGCTCGCGAGAGAAGAACATGAGAAAAAAAGGGGATCGGATGAAGACGAGGAGAAGAGAAGGGGTAGTTGAGGAGTGGTAAGATTTTTTATTTAGATGGGACCCACCTTGAGGACCAATTTGCTATGTATACATTGTAGCAAGTGTTGAGGCGTCTATAAATCGAGCGTTGTTTTATCAAGTAGACCGGAATTGTTTCAATATTTTTTTTAAAAAAAAAGCTAAAACATAACCAAATGACCTCGTGAAACATTTTGCTACAACATATGAAACAACGATTTCCAAAAAAAATTGGGTGTTGTTTCACCCTATATAAAAAAAATATTTCAGCAAATAACGAAAGAATGTTTCAATTCGCTGCAACATTTGATCCATACATAGTGAAACATCACGAATACACTTGCTAAAACATTGTTGGTGAAAAAAAAAATGAAACGGATTCCCTTAATAGAGCGTTTCCGTAATATGCGGGTGATTTGTTGCAACGACGCGTGTGGTGGGGCGCGTGGGGGGACAGCGTGAAGGCGCGGGCATCGGCAGGCGCCCGATTTTTCTGCCGCTAATCGGGCACGCGATCGCTGGCATTTTCCAGCAAGTGTTAGTATTAGTTAAAGACCGAATTCACATGGGCCCACCTTAAGGACCACTTGAGCCATATACATTGCTCATGCCCAATGGGTTGATCTTACTTCAATACGGATGTTTGGATGTTTGATATCCTGTATCATTTTTGGCTGCGTTCTATATTACATTTTCGCAACTTCTACCTCCTCGTTTTCACACGCACGTTTCCTAAACCGTTAACGGCGCTTTTTTAGAAACAGTTTCTATAGAACAGTTACTCTAAAGATTACTATATTGATCATTTAAGTTTATTTAGTTAAAACTTAATTAGTTATGTGTTAATCCACTGGTCTATTTTTACGTGCTGGTGAAGGCTTCCTAAACCCCCGAGAACACAGCCAGATTGCAGATTTTCACTTGTCCAATATTCAAAACTAAAACTCCGATCAGGGCCGGCCCTGGCGGGGGGCAAGCGGTGCCGCCGATCTGGGCCCCCAGATCGCAGGGGCCCCCACCCACCTCCCCACCCCCTCCCTCCCGCGTCCCTGGCCCGCAGATCGAGCGCATGCATGCGCGGAAGCCGGAAAGGGAAGCGCCCCGCGGCGAAAAGAAAACAGAAACGCGCGTGATTGCCGCCGCCCACATCCCCTCCTCTACTCTTCACGCGCATACGCTCAGCGATCGGCGACCGGGCGATAGCGAATTGGCGAAAAGCCAAAAATCGAAACTGTATCGCGTGTCGCCCGCGGCCGGCGCCGACGTAATTCACTCCATGGCCATCACCAGCTGCTCGGCACCGACGCAATCTCCCTGGTTGCTGCTGCCAGCTGCTCAGCGATGACGCAATCTACTGCGTCGCTGCTGCTCGGCATCTCCTAGCCTCCATCGCCTGCCTTCCCCTCGGCAAGGTTAGCAATCAGCACACCAATACACCATCTCCGTAGCCCAATTATTAATTTAATTACTGTTGTCCAATCTCTCGATATCAAAACATAAACATATGTAGGTCATCTCGACGCACGGCGTCACGGGCATTAGCGCTTAATTGTTTGTTTTGTAGTAGTATGTTAAGAGCAGGTACAATAGCGGGCTATTAGCCAGCTATAAGCATATTTTAATGAGATAAAAGATGAGAAAGAAGAGTAGCGGGCTATAGATCTGTAGCCAGCTGCAGCACGGACTCCAAAACATAATATGTGTATGGTAGGTGGGACCATGTGTTAATAGTATAGTAAGCAACTATTGTACGAATTGGCTATTAGATCGGTTATAGATAAATTGAAGTTAGTAGTGGGCTATACTATTGAACTTGCTCTAAGGGCCCCTATATTTAGTTTTGCACTGGGGCCCTGCCCTGACTCCGATTTGGAAAGATGTACACGTTTCACTTTGCAATAGTACAATATTCTTTGGAGACATGAAACCAACCTCACTTGCCCGCTACCCACTCTGGTCTATCTCCACTGTCCTCTGTTCACATTAAGCCCTTGTTTAGTTAGAAAAAAATTTGAGTTTAATTATCACATCAGATATGCAGACACATATTTGTAGTATTAAACGTAATATAATACAAAACAAATTACAGATTCTGCCTGGAAACTGCGAGACAAATTTATTAAGTCTAATTAATCCGTCATTATCAAATGTGTACTGTAGCACCATATTATCAAATCATGGCATAATTAGGCTTAAAAGATTCGTCTCATAATTTACACGTAATCTGTGTAATTGGTTTTTTCGTGTATATTTAATACTTTATAAATTTATCAAACATTCGATGTGATAGCGTGAATTTTTTTTAACTAAATGGGACTAAAAAGAAGTTGGAGTACTAACTGTTCACCTAACTTGGTTCACCTAAAAAGATTGCGCCGTTTAGAAAATTGGGAAGTATGCTTCTTATAACCTGCAAGTTGAAAAGAACCGAACCGTTTAAAGTATTATCGACGTAACGTAAAATTGGTTTTGTAACCCTAAAAGATTAGGAGTTTAAAATTATCTATACTAATATAAAAAGGAGGAGTTGCCACTTCCAATCCTACAGGTGAAATCATCATCGCTAATCCCTACCGTCCATCCTCATCACATCACATCATCTACCGTGAGTTTGCAATGCAACAGGTGCATCCACGGATCCAATCACCAACGGAGCAATCTCCTCCTCAATTCTCGCAAATGTCGCCCCCATCATCATTTCCTGATTACTCCCCCAATTCATGCTCCCTCTTCCCCGGGATTAAACATTGCACATTCGGCGCCGTCCCCTGCACCACCATGCGATGGAGAGATCGCTTCAGGTATCATTGATCCGCTGCACCTTGATCGCCACCAGGCCACTATCTCCAACTCTCCTCGCACCGTTGTCGCCTGACGACCAACGGACGGACCCTTCGCTATGCGCGGCTCCGCAAGATTGCTGGGGCACCTCCGCTACACCTCCGACGTGCCTCGTGATAGGCTCTTGGTCGAATTGGCATGACTACATCTCGATGGCACCAGCACCGGAGCCGACGTCCGCTTTCTCCGGCGCCAACCTTGTTGCCGGCCGCTGGCTTTAGCAGTTCTGGCCATCTGCATAATCAGCCAACCAACATGCTTGGTTGTGTGTCGTCCACTGCTTCCGTGCGAGCATAGAGGACAGGTTGCTGCTCGGGGCACCACTCCACCGGCTGGACCTAATTGGTTCGATCAGACCGGTTGGAGCTGACTAGTTCGATCAGATTAAGGGTATCCAAAGTCGAAACACATATGAGAATTCATATGCTCCCTTCTGATTCATTTGTTTAGTACTTTTGTGAATGAGCATAGATGAGCATCCATGAATAAATTACATATATATTAAGTAGTTCACAAAGTAATTATATATCTAACCTGAGTCTATGTAATATAGCAGTTCATATGT